AGGATTTTGGTAATTTTCTTGCTTTATAACAATCGAACTGAAAATCTTGATCTTTAATTCTATTTGTATTGCGTCCTACATAAATACATCTTGTTTGAACATAATGCCATGGTATTTCACTTTCGGTCTATCTATTCAGTAGAAAATATATGTAGTCGTGTACTAAGATGCGATATTTTTTACACTTCCATCGCTTTCAGTTAATATTCGTTTCTCACGTACCGATGTACCATGGATTTCCTTATCGTAGTCTTATCATATGCTGTGCCGTCTCTTATAAATATCGTGCTATGCTGTGAGTTTTACATGAATCCTAACAGTAAGTTGATTGTCATATTGTGTTGTTACTTGGTTACTGTCGCTTAATATTCAGATGTCATCTAGAATAATTCGACCTAGGTAAAACAGATTTGAAAAAATATTCGTGATACTTGGAGTATCTTGAAAAACGGAGCAGAACGTGAAATAATGCGAAAATATTCGTACACTGGGAAATTGTGCACGACATTACTATTATGCGTGAAAATTATTTACAAAAAGAACTGAAATACGTGACTACTATCAGTAACATGTCGCTTATAGAACACATAAATTTCTTGTTACTATTATATATTGGGAAGGTAGTTGCGTCTAAACGTGCGTAAAACTGGTACTGGGTCAAGCCATAAATAACTTCCGATGGAAACAGCTATTATTTTCTTTTATCTATAGAAAGATAAAATTCGGTAAGCTGTTTATTAGTTGAGTGTATGAATTCATTAGGAATGGAAACTCGAAATATTTCATATGAATATAAATTTAAACAGAAAACAACCTAAGTTACTTATGGCTCAACCACTAGACATAATTGGCTTTTTATATTTTTAAGCAAGTTTAAATACTTAAATAATTCGCCTCGATCGTGCCTAAAAGCCATCGCTCGTAATTCAAACAATAAATTACATTTTGCATTATTAAAATAAGTTGGTCACATATATGCGCGTATCTTACTGCTAAATTAATAAGCCGACGGTAAAAAAACTTCTTACATGAACATAAATTTCTAGTGATTATCACCGTATGCCTCACTGTATTGCAATATATGCAATTATTCAATTCATACCGGATATGGATACCGGATTCTGTGCCACTAGTTAATCGGTATATTTGTCAATTATTTCGTTACTATATACATAATTACATTAAATTTGGCATATATTGAGCATATCTATTTAGCGTCACCAGCTAAGCTTCTAGAATGAAGTGTTAATATAATAATAAGGAAATGAAAGGTGCAGTAATTACATTTAAAGTAACGAACAAATAAATCAATAGAACTATAATTCCAGTACAGTGTCTTAATTATGAAGAATGTAACGTTTAACGGAATAGAAAACGTATATACGTAATATGCATAAGTGTTTCATAATTTCATAATTACTAATAAATTAATAAGTGACTGAGTACATTTACAGTTATCGGATCGCACATTCAATTAACCAATATATATCGCATAATCTTAGAAAAAAAGAAGATCGAATGATTGCTCAAAATATAGGCGCGCCGGTGAATGTACATCGGAAAGCTCTCAAGTTAATATTTATATAATATATTCAAATTTCTTGTAGCAATATCATAGCGACCGCTCAAATATAATGTTAATGGTTCGCGGTTTTTTTATTTTTTTTCCACGCGATATTATTATTTTACCACTATTATTTAACTATTTTACGTGCGCATCCGTGTTCTATATTTTTCATGTCCTCCTTCTATTTCTTTTATTTAATTAAAGGTGCAGTGTAATTATATCAACTACTTTTGTGCCATATTTATTCCTAGCAGTTCTATATTTTTCATGTTCTATATTTTTCATGTTCTTCTTCTATTTCTTTTATTTAATTAAAAGGTGCAATGTAATTATATCAACTACTTTTGTGCCATATTTATTCCTAGCAGTTATAATTGCAGTTCTATCTTTGAGTTTAAACTTCTTTCGAGTAAGTATTTTTTCTTCAAGCTCAACTTTTCTAGCTCCTTTCGATAAATGATTGAGTCGTGAAAATTCAGTCAACAATTTCACGTTTCAGCTGCTCAATTCCATAACTGGAGAAAAAGATATGAATGAAATGTTTTCGTCGGCGATATTGATTTTTATGCACATTATAGTTATATTTCTGGATAATTATTACGGGCAGAAAATTACAGAATATAACGACGAAATCTTTTATAATGTGTATAAGTATTCGTTCTACTTTCTTACAATCCAAATAGAGATCATATTTTTATGAAATTAAGTTTCGAGAGAACTTCAGAAAATATTAGGAGGTTGAATTAGTTCTGGTCCCTAGCAAAAACTACAATAACAAGTTAATAGTTAGTACGAATATTGAAATCTGGAAACATTGAAAGATTTGACATTTCTCTATGACATATGACAATTTGCGCGCTATTGTTACCGATAATTTTATTGTTTATGTATGCGTCTAAAGTAGATCATACAAAATTGCATTTTCGATTTTCATTATTTTTTTGATTTGATTTGAAAAAATCGGTAACTGAAGTTCATGAAATACTTGTTACAACTTATGGTGATCAAACTCCATCGTATTCCAATTGTAAATTTTGGCTTCAACCATTCAAAAGTGATGATTTCGATTTGAGTGATAAAGAACATACTGGTCAACCAAAAAAATTCGAAGATTCTGAATTGTAAGCATTCTTGAGTGAAAACACCGCTCAAACGGAAAAACAATTGGTTGAACAACACAACGTCGATAAATCAACAATTTCTAAACGCCTACACGCCATAGGAAAAATTCAAAAAGAATTCAAATGTGTTCCACATGAATTGGGTGAAAGTGCTATTGCAAATCGTTTGAATGTCGCTATGTCTTTGTTTGTCAGACAGAAAAAAAGAGTTTTTTTATGGCGAATTGTAACTGGAGATGAAAAGTGAATTTATTTTGATAATCCAAAGTGAAAAAATAATGGGTTGATCTAGGACAACCATCAACATCGATACTAAAACGAAATATTCACGGTCACAAAGCAATGCTCTGTATTTGGTGGGATATGGAAGGTGTGGTGTGTATGTGTGTGTGTGTGTGTCATGAGCTTCTAAAACCAAATAAAACAGTTACGGGGGATACCAGCAACGATTAAACAAATTGAATGATGAATTGATGCAAAAAAGATCAGCTAGCAATAGACGCAAAGTGATCCTTTTGCACGATGATATTCGTCCACATGTTGCTTCAATCGTTAAACAAACATTGTTTGAGCTCAAATGAGAAATCTTTCTGCATCCAGCGTACTCTCCAGACCTAGCATCATCTGATTATCATCTATTTCGATCGATGCAACACGCTTTGGCAAATACATACTTCAATAATTACGAGGATGCAAAAATGGGTGTCTAATTGGGTTGCTTCGAAAGACAGATCGTTCTATCGTCACGAAATCACTATGCTGCCGGAAAGATGAGAAAAAGTCATAGTTAACGACGGAAAATATTTTGATTGATGTAAACTTAACCATTTCTTTAAAATAAAGATAAAATATTTGACGAAATAAGACTAGAATTAATTCAATCTCCTAATATATGTCAGTTCAAAATAATTTTATCATCAAATATAACACGAAATGATACGAGTCTCCAGCAAAAATTTAAAAGTTATTTTTGTGCATCATAAATAACACAACGAAGCCGTATATTATGGATATTGACAATGTAATCGTGGGGTCGATAGAAGGTTTCGCTAAGATATATAACATTCGATGGAAATGAAAAAACTGTCGAAATATGGAAACTTGTCTAATATGTATTTGTTTTATAAAGGGTGTCCCAAAATTCACGCAAGAAGTAATTTTAATAGAAAACATAGGTTTATAATTAAAAATTGTAAATTTTTCATTGATTCATAAAATATACAGTATAGAGTTATGTATGGAATAGCATATCGGGTAAACGGCTACAGCGAAGAGAGTTCGTTGAATGGATTATGGAACAACAACAAGTGGATGCTGATTTTTCGAACAAAATCATCTTCAGCGATAAGGCTCATTTTCATCTTGATGGTTTGGTTAATCGATAAAATTGTCGTATTGGGGTTCAGAAAATCCACAAGTGATTGTTGAGAAACAAATGCATCCACAACGTGTCACTGTTTGGTGCGGATTTTGGGCTGGAGGCATCATCGGACCATTCTTCTTTGTAAATGCGGCTGGTCAGGTAATAACAGTTAATGGTGCTCACTATCGCGATATGATAATCCAGTTTTTTGTGCCTAAATTGCAAGATATGAATGTGGACGACATATGGTTTCAACAAGACGGTGCCACATGCCATACAGCCCGAGAAACAATTCAATTACTACATGAGTCATTTCCTGGTCGTATAATTTCCCGTTTTGGTGATCAGATTTGACCGCCCAGATCATGCGATTTAACGCCGTTGGACTTTTTTCTTGAAGTCTAAGTTTTATGCCAACAAGCCCACGACCACCCACGCCTTGAAGGAGGAAATTGAGCACTATATCAACGAAATTCAGCCACATTTATGCAAAACTGTCATGGAAAATTTCAACAAAAGAGTGCATATGTGCCAGCAAAGCCGTGGGGGACATTTACCCGATATGCTATTCTATACATAACCCTATACTATATACTTTATGAATCAATAAAAAATTTACAATTTTTATTATAAACCTGTGTTTTCTATCAAAATTACTTCTTGTGTGAATTTTGGGACACCCTTTAGTTAATGAGCACGTCAATTTCTTATTTTATGGTAATCTATTCTATGCAATAATGAGAAGGACATTTTACCAAAAGTTATAAGTAACACATAGTTAATTGTACATAGTTGATATGCACATGTCAAGAAAGCATCAAATGTACAATTTGTAAACACACTGTGTACCTTATATTATGGTAATTTATTTTATATAATAATAAAGAAGAGTAAGGAACGAACAACAAATGAAAGAATAATATATTAAGAATAACGAAAATTGGTTGAACAATTTCTATCTTGCTTTTGTTATTCTTATCTTCGTGAAAACTTCGTAAAAATATGTCTTCCATATATCTATAAACCTCAATTTCATCACATTTGCATCATATTCGCATCCATGAAAATTCCCGAAACCCGAAACGATTGAGCAAAATGTCATTGATAATCATAACGAAATTCTAAGCCTTAATGTCAATAATATTAAACAAATAAATGAACATTTTTCGTGCACTTACACTGGCTTAGATGAGTATTTCCACGAGTTCACTGTGTTGTTCTCACTTACGAAAAATATCATATATCCTATAATTGAGCTTATCAGCTTCAAGTAAAGTCGCACAATACCTCTAATTATTCTATATCGAAAAAAAGAGAAAATATATCTTTTATCAAATTTTTATTAACAAGCGGGACTCGCGCACTCTGTCACACACATCACAAGGAGCACTCACTACTAACCCGGACACCACCGTGCTGAGCGACATCGCGGCGAGCAATGAAATGTCACGGCAACCCCAAGGCAAACTCATAAACGCGCCTGCGTCAACGTGAGAGAGGAAATGGGGGTATTATTTACCTCATCAGTTGGGAAATCACATTTGGCATGCGTCACGTGCAATTGTGATAATTCAACTTCCTATCGTCCTTCATAATATAAAAAGCAAATATGAACAATCGATCGTCTTTTTTAACTCGTCAATTTACTATAAGTAAATTTCTCTTTATTATGCATTATAATTATTAATCTTTTGTAAAAAAATCTTGCAAAGCGAAAAAGTCTAGGTAGTCAGTCTAGATCAGTCAGTTTTTCAGGCAAACAAAGAAGCATGTTGTGGTCATTCTTAGTCAACGTGCTTGCGAATCGTAAAAAGGGAAACACGTTACCCAACAATCATTATTATATTATAAATCAGATACTTCTCTCAGCGTTTCACCTGTGGCCATATCAATGTTCGAGATTTATAATAATTAATCACATCATCAATTTGCTTTTATCTCTGTCCTTCTGCTTCTTTCAAGTATTATAATTAATATATTTTCTGGATATTATATATTAATTTTAAAGCATTTCATATTATTGGATGAGATATAGATAGAATTATCACATCGATATCTTACATATTTGTAAAAATCTCATTTACCATTGCTCAGAACGAGACATCCATTGATTATATAATGTTTGTCACTATTTGTGACTTGTATCTCTTGCATTTTACTGAAACAAGAATCGGGATATATTTCACAAGAGATTTACACATTTATGGAAGATTATATAGTTTTTATATAGGGTGTCTTAAAAATACCGGAACCCCCGGATAAATTTGCAGGATCAAGTTTTCATGAAAAACTTTAAATACAAAAGTTGTAGAAAATCGAGTAACGGATTTGATGGTGACCTGAATTTGACCTTGGCCATGACCTTCAAGGTCATTTGGAGGTCAACTTGCGTTCCTTAAATGAGAACTCTTATTTTTTATTACACTGTTTTTTTCTACCCATTAATTTGAACAACTTTTGTCTAAAATATTGTTTTATTTGCCTAATATTTTTTTAGATATTTGAGGAAAACTTGATAACTTTTTCAATATTTAACTTACGATATCTCGCTAACTATTTTAAGCTAAATAGTTGGCTAACTATTTGTCAGAAGAAAAAGTGGTATTAGACCTTCTTGCTTTATTTAATCTCAAGAATATATTGTTATAATAGTGCCCTAATTTTTGTTAATTTGATGATTTTGAAATTTCCAAAAGTCAGTAAATTAACAAAAGTCAGGGCGCCACTGTAACAATATATTCTTGAGACTAAATAAAGCAAGAAAATCTAGTACCACTTTTTTTCCGAACAAATAGTTAGCAAGATATCATAAGTTAAATATTGAAAAAGTTATCAAGTTATCCTCAAATATCTCAAAAAATATTAGGCAAATAAAAAAATGTTTTAGACAAAAGTTATTCAAATGGTAAATGAATTGGTAAAAAAAAACAGCGTAATAAAAAATAAGAATTTCCATTTAAAAAACGCAAGTTGACTTCCAAATGATCTTGAAGGCCATGGCCAAGGTCAAATTCAAGGTCACCATCAAATCCGTTATTCGATTTTCTACAACTTATGTATTTAAAGTTTTTCATGAAAACTTGATCCTGTAAAGTTATCCGGGGGTTCCGGTATTTTTAAGACATCCTGTATGCATTTTTATTATATTTTATTATATTCTTAGTTAACCTCGTTCTTAACGTATCAAATATCTATGGATCTTCTCATCATGGTCCTATCATATGCCGTGCCATCTTTTATATGTACTATACAGTATTGCTCGTTTTGTATTAAATCTAACGCAGTAAGTTGATCGATGTATCTCCATATTACCTCTCGCGTAACATTCACATTCAGATATTATTATTTGAAATAACTCGACATCGTAGGTGAAACAAATTTTGAAAGACATCCATAACAGTTGGAGTGTTTTGAAAAACGAAATGGAGCGCGACATAATGCGCAAATATTCGTTTTCTGGGCAACTGTGCACGATATTACTATTCCGTATGAAAATTATTAAAAAGAAATAAAATAAAACACGTGGCCAACCAGTGACATATATTATAATATTCACATTTGTAAATTTCTTTTTAATGATTTATGAAATAGTTGATAATTATCTATAGAGCTATATCAAATGGCAAGATATGTTTTGGAAAATTCGTGTCTCATTAAGTAGAATTATAAATATTTGACAAGGACAATTTTTTACTCGTTTCTTTCTAAGCTGCAAAAATAATCAATGACTTGTTAACTAAGTGAAAATAATTACTAATAACAAAAAGTATATGCTATACATTAGATTTCTCTTGTTCTCTATTATTTTCTTTGTTCTCTAAATTTTCCATTTGGAAATTAATTTATAAGAAAAAAATCGGTAGTTATGCCTTCCAGTCTCGTCCAGATGGATTTACTATGTAGTTATGCTTTCTTACCTACATTGCCAACAGAGTTCAAATTAAAAAAGCAGGGCACCTCGCGCTGTCGCATCTCGCGTGTCTTCTCGCGATGCGCGTTTGTCGCGTCCTGCGCCTCCGCGTGCGTGTGCGATGTCATTATGTTTTCTGTTCTTACAGATTTGACTGAGTTCATTATTCCTGTGCTTGTTTTATTTAGTTCTTTGTGAGTTTTTTCCTAAAATTTTCGGTATGTCGAAGCGTCAGGAAGACAGCCCCACGTTCCTCGAGGAAAGACCGACGTAGGTCTTCCGGCGATCTCGCTCACGATTGCGTTTTAATCTCTCTCGCCAATCGTCGCGTCGACCTTCGAGAGAGTTTTCAACGACGCGTTTATCGTCCCGTGACAGAATCTTACAGGCCTTTAGTGGATTTATAGATTATTGGAAGCGTCGTAGGTCCTCGGCATCCAATGAGGTGTCGGAGGACAGGGAGAGATCGGCGAGTCTACTCCCACCTTCGTTATCCTTGGAGAAGTCTGGCGAGGCTTCTACCGAGACATGCGTCGAGCTAACGGCTCTTAGTGCCCAGGACGGCGATCCAGGACAAGATTTACCTAGTGTTGCACAACCAACAATCTACCAATGTCTCCTTCTTTAATCCAGTAATCGCAGCGACTTTTGAAGAAAACCCGCTTGAAACGGAGGAAACTGAGTCGAATGATCTTGCCCTCAAACTGTTCGGAGAACAACCTCGCCTGCCTGTTGTGGCTTCTTGGTCGCAAATCATTTTTAACATGACCAAGTCGGAGGTTCGAGCGGGTCTTAAAGATGAGCTGCGCAATACCCTTTTTGCCAAATATGAGCTGAAAGGGGACCTGGCATCCCTCGGCCCCCCACAAGTGAATAAGGAGATTCTACCTAATTTGAGCAAAACGGTTAGGACTCGTGACAGGCATCATACAAATCTGCAGATCCAGATAGGAGCCTCCCTTAATGCCTTTGATGCTGGCATCTCCGAGCTTCCAAAGCTCGAGTGCCTACAGACATTTCCAGAAGCTAAGGTGGCTATCACCAAAATCGCTGAGGGCATCCGTTTACTGTCGGACCACCAATTTCGGCTATCCCAGATGAGGGCATTCATCGTCCCATCATTAAATTCCTCAGGGAAGACTGTCTCCGACTCGGCGCTCATCAACGATTATCTTTTTGGTATCAACTTTGCCGAGGAAGTGAATACGGCTCAGTCGGTCGAGAGTGGCTCAGAAAATTGCACGGAAACCTCCCCTGCCACCAGGTCCACCAGTTCGACGGCCCGTTTCGCAGACCGTTGGCAAGCGGTAACATCTAATTCTCAGGTACTTACAGCAATAGAAGGTTACAAAATTTCCTTTTCGAAACTACCTCTTGCCCGCCCTTATCTAAGGGAGCCATCTTTGTCGCTGCAAGACGCGGAATGTTGTACGGAGGAAATTAACCGACTACGTAGAAAAAGGGCATTAGTCCATCAAGCCGTCCGCAGACCAATTGCTGTTTTCCTTTTTCCTCAAGAAGCCTTCCGGAGATTTCCGTTTTATTTTAAATCTCCGAGACTTAAATTCTTATATCTCTTCGCCGCATTTCAAGATGGAAGATTGGCAAACAGTAATTCGACTCATGACCTTGAATTGCAGGTTGGCGTCGATTGATCTTGAGGATGCATATTTGTTAATTCCAGTACACACGTCACATAGATAGTTTCTCCGTTTTCAATGGCAGGGCATCTGCTATGAATTTACATCACTACCCTTCGGCTTGTCAATCGCACCTTATATTTTCAAGAGGTTTTCTGATTGGTGGATTCGAATCTTCTTCAATGTTCACCAGATTAATACTATTCATTCTGGGTCCTATGATTGCGAGATTTTCTCGGATACATCCTTAACAAACTGGGGAGCCTCTTGCGGAACGCAATGCACGCATGGCTGGTGATCCTCTGAGGATAAGATTCTTCATATTAATGCACTTAGTTAAAGGCCACGTTCCATACCTTAAAATGTTTTGCCTCGCATCTTCATAACTGCCATATTCTACTTCGCATTGCCAACACCACTGCTATTTCCTATATTAATAAGTTTAGCTCTGTTCAGTACCTCTCTTATCTGACTTAGCTCAAAATGTATGAAGATGGTGTAAGAGTCGACACATTTTTCTGTTTGCTTCATATATTGCTTCTATGGACAATGTTGTTGCAGACGCTGAGTCGCGAATTGCGGATGTTGATACTGAGTGGTCGTTGTTGAACAAGGCATTTCGAGCACTGGAAACTTGTTTTGACCCTTTTGACATTGATTTATTTGCAACTGTTATTAACGCTAAGCTAAATCCTTACGTCTCATGATTCCTCGATCCAGGTTCATGTGCAATTGATGCCTTCACTTTATCCTAGCACCGCACAATGGTTCGAACGGCGAAAAACGCGAAAAATAATCAAATTTCCGATTTTGTTCTAAAGCTTCGAAATTTTTATGTTATGTTCTTTCACTGATAAGCTATCAACTGAACTATACGCCCTTTTCCGAGGGCTTATTTAAAACATTTTATTGGACATAAAATATTTAACATTTTATGGCTAAGTTAAGTGCTCAATTTTACTACTTCGAACTTTCGAACTTTTTAAAATTTAATATCTTTTTATTATTGAAATGTAGTAACGCGGTTTATAAATGTTTATAAGTATACCTCAATGTATAAAATTACGTGTTTGAAACACATCAATTATTATTAAATGCATTACAACATTATACATAATAAGAGTACTTAAAACTTGAACAATTTTCGAATTAAATTTTCCGTACGAAATGAAGGAACGCTTAAGAACGAAAAAAGTTATTATAAATATTTAATATAATGTTCAAAGAAAATAGGTAACTTTAATTTGGCTGCAGTTACTTGCAACTTTTCAAGTAACAATAATTTTTCGATGCCGACGCGCGCTAATATCGTGTTGTTATATGCCTATTTCGGTATACAAAATCCTTATTCACGGATCCATGATGATTAAGCATTTTATTCTTCCCATAGGAGAACTCTCTGAAGAAGCTCAAGAAGTTAAAAATAAACATATTAGATATTATCGCGAACATCATACAAGAAAATGTTCTTATTTAAATACAAATGAGGATTTATTTCGTAGGTTAATACTTAGTTCGGACCCATATTTAAGTTCATGCAGCCATATAAAACAATATAAGAAATCTTCATTAAATTTTGAAGTTTTAAAATTAACTAATGTATCTTCAAATGAAATAAAAGAATTAATAGAAGAATCTGAGTCCTCACATGAAACTGAAAGTTCAGAAGAAAATAATTAATAAAAAACATATTTTTTAATAAAATGATAAAAAACAATGAAACGTTAAAAAGATAAAAATAATCTAGTTATTATGATAATAGTAATAGTAATATATCTTATATGTTATAGTTCTTATATGTATAGTTCAGTTAAATATGCGATATTATTTTTAAAAAGAATTATTATTTTTCAAGTTAATGCATTTAAATTCCCTACTTTTATAATAATAAATGATAAAGTATTAATAGATTTACAATATTTATCAAATAAATATTTTTTTTCATAAATTTTGTGTTTCGAACCACTGTGCACCGTTTGTACTTTTATGCGTTTCCTCCATTCAATATTATTCCTCGGGTCCTACTAAAATAATAGACAACGAGGCTACAGGCATTTTGATTTCTTTTTGGTGGCTCTCACAATCAAGATTTCCGATGCTCACTTGTCTATCGCAATCTGATCCTCTTATTTTACCATCATCTTATTCTTTATTATTTTCTCCGTTCAGAAACAAACACCCAGAATGGCCGACCCTTTCCCTGGCGGCAGACATATTATCAGGGAAGCCTTCAGGTCTCAAGCGGTTCCCTCAACAGTACTAGATACTGTCCTCGTCTCACTATCCCCAGCTACAATTAAACAGTACGCGCGCCCGCTGCGTAATTGGTGGATTTTTTGACAGGAATTTCGAATTTCTTCTTTTTCTCCGAAGGTCGCCCAGGTTTTGAAGTTTTTATCTCAGGAGTTACAGCATGTCGGGTCATATTCGACCCTTAATATTGTCCGTTCCGCAGTCTCTCTTATTTCTGCGGCAGGGTTTGGTAACCATCCTTTAATTAAGCGTTTTTGTAAAAGCGTCAGTGTTCTTAAACCATAAACACCCCGTTACGACTTTATATGGGACCCTGCGTCTGTGGTCGCTAAGCTAGCTACGGTATTTCCGCATGATACATTATCCCTAGCATTATCACTAAGAAACTAGTACTTTTGTTAGCTTTAGGTTCCGGTCAACGCGCTCAGACTCTCGCGGCTATTAGAGTTTCGCAATTTTTCTGTCTCCGGATAAACTCATCATCCGGATCTCGGACCGCCTAAAAACGTCAGCTCCCGGACGTGTGCAACCGCTACTTGTTTTTCTCGTTTTCTTCATCGTCCGAAGCTCTGCATCGCTTCACTGCTAGAACATTGTTTACACTTAACCAAGGATTTGCGCTCGGATGACTGCGTTTTTCTATTCCTATCTTATATTAAACCGTACAAGGCGGTCAGTGTTCAAATGGTGTACCGATGGATTCGCATGAACCTCGAAGACTGTGCAGTGCAAACAGATTTTTCTGCTCACAGTACTCGGCATGCATCTACCTCGCTTGCTGCACGAAAAGATGTTGCTATCGATCTGATTAAGCGAGCCGCAGGTTGGTCGGGTGAATCTCGCGTATTTGCGCAGTTTTATAATCACTCTATTATCAACCCAGAGGATTTTAACAACGTCGTTCTTTTAACTTTAGCTTCCTCTCGAATAACCTTTTTACCTTGTATGGTATCCGTATTCTTAAGCAGCCTTATGCAGTCTTCCCTTGATATTATATTAGCTCAATACTCTTTGTTTAATTTCTGTTTATATATTGATATCATAAATAAAACAAGCTGTTCTATTTTAAGGGCAAATCGCGCTTTAAATAGCTACATAGTAAATCCATCCGGACGAGACTGGAGGGCATAATTGTGGGATTGAACGAACTTGTAAAGTGAAGTTCGATCCTGATTATGCCCCTGGTCTCGTTTGGATGGACCGAAAGCCTCTTCGGCTTTTTTACCCTTCCGCTAAGTAAAGACAGGAGATTTGCCCTAACACTTTGAATTCAATGACGTCGTACACGCACGCGGAGGCGCAGGACGTGACAAGCGCGTATCGCGAGAAGACACGCGAGATGCGACAGCGCGAGGGCGCCCTGCTTTTTTAATTTGAACTCTATTGGCAATGTAGGTAAGAAAGCATAACTATTATTAATACATAGTAAATCCATCCGGACGAGACCGGGGACATAATTAGGATCGAACTTCACTTTACAAGTTCGTTCAATCCCACAATTACTATTCAGTAAATTCAATAAATCAGTATTTAATGCTTATAACCCAATTTAGTGATCTAGTTTTTTTTCTTCATATCTCTCTCATCCAGACATGCACAATATGCTTGCACATATTGATTATATTTAGTACCCATTATAACAAGTATTATATTTTACATTTATAAATATAATATATAATATATAAATTATAAATAGGTTGGCCACACACTAATTTATAACACACATACACCCACGCATGTCCGCACGCGCGCACATACACACACGCATACATTTTATGCATATGCTACCACTAAACTAATATACTGACAATAATACTGTTCGACAAAAAATAACACCAGAACGAGACTAGTCATTTCGTATAATTTTTTGAATGTTGAATACAAATCCGTTTTACAAATTGTTCCATTATATTACGATTTTGAAAAATTTAAAATTACAGTTCAAGTTGCAAAAGAGAACTATTATCACATATTTTGTCACATTATAATTACGAAATATGACGTGTTGATGAAATTTTATTGCAATCAAAATTAAAAATGTGATTAGGATTTTTAGCCTTAAAAGGAATGTTTTTGTCGGTTATGGTTAATAAGATATTCATGCTTAAATATTTGGTCTGAAAAAACTATGAATTAGATCATTGACGATTTACCAAATAGCTTTAAATTATGTTAATTTAATAATATTTCAGATTGTTGAATACGAATCCGATGTTAAAATTGACAAATTCAAAATGATGGATTCAATATGGACATTTTTTTTTAAATTATGATATCCGCCATTTTGCACTTTTAATATCAGTTTTAATATCAGTTACTTACACCCTCTTACCCCTTCTTCTTTCTGTCTCCGCCTCTCTTCCTATCCTCCACTTTGTCTTTCTCTCCTCCATTGTCAAATCATCCTCTATCCTTTCCCTCTTCCCTCTCAGTTTCTTCTTCGCCTCCATCACTTTCCTTTTTTCCTCCAAACTGCCTAACTTCACCAATACCATCCCCTCCCCTTCTTTCTGCCCTTTCCCTAGCCTCTTCACTTTTCTCATTCCTACCTCCAGTTCCATTCTCCGCCATATCTCCTTAACACCCTCCTCTATCCCTCTCTCCCCTATCTCTACCTCCCTCACCACCACGTTTTTCTCCTTTTCTCCCTTTCTTTTTTATCTATCCTTATCTTCAACTCCCTTATCCTTCTTCCCCCCTCCCCCATTCCTCCCTCTTTTATTCTCTCCCCTCCCCTTTCTTCCATCTCCTCAACCTTTGTTCCATCTTCTTTATTTTTTCCTCCCCCTCCCTCCTCTCTTTCTTCCATTCTTTCCTCCTCTCTTCTCTCTCCTCTCTCAACTCCTCTCTTAGTTCCATGTTCTCCCTATCTCTTTTCTCTCTCTCCCTCTTCACTTCCTCTTTATATCCTCTCACTTCTTCCATTAATTTCCACACCATTTCCTTCATTTCCTCCTCTCTTATCCAACCTCCTTTTCCCCTTCTCCCTTCTCTTCCTCTGATTTCCCTCTTCCCCCTTCTCCTTTCCCCTCCTGGTGCCTTCCTACCTTCACATTCCTTTTACTTATTCTTTCCTCTTCCTCCTCCTCTTCCTCCCCACCCTTATCTTCCTTTTCCCCTCCCACATCATCTCTATATAACTCCCCACACTTCCTATGCTGCTCGTGCTGTCTCTCCTCAACCTTTCTGCGTTCGTCAATCTCTCTCTCCTTTTCTCCCCTCTATTCTCCCCCCTCTCCCCTCCTCTTAATCCCTCTTCCCTTCTTTTCCTCCTTCCCCCATCCTCTCACTCTCCCCTTCTTCCTCCACCTTCGCCTTACCTTCCTTCAAATTTTCCGCGTCTTCCTCCTAGTTCCCGACTACGCCACCAGCCCGCACCACTTCTCTCGCTCATCCGTCTCTCTCCCTTTCACACTCACCCCGCTTCCTAACCTCAATCTCCTACTCACTCTTCTCACTCTTCTGTCCACTTTCTTCCACCACCCCCCTCCAGCCCTTTCTCACTTTTGTCGCTACTCCCTCCCACTACCTTCCACACCCTTCCCTTCTCCTCCACTCTCACTATTTCCCCCTGAAACCCTCGTCCTATTCTCGTCCTGTCACTTTCCACTCGCACTTATTCGTCGCCGGAAACGGAAGTCTTATAAACATATAATTGTAATTAATTATTATATAAATGACATATGACATCAGATTTATGAGATTATAATATGATATTAAATTCCCATGTCCTCCATGAGATACTATTGTTGAGGACTGTTTTTTCTTTTAACTAATTATTCCTGTAGTCTTATTAAAACTAAAGAGCAAGAGGAGAAAGAAGAAGAAAAAGAAGAAAAAGTTAAAGACCAATTTTCGATATGATCGACAATAAGATATAAAAAAAGAAAAAATTATTAAATTAATTTATTCGTTCTTTTTTGCGATTGCGCACAAATGATGATACATCATTATTAATATTTGAAATGCTTATTTATGTTAATAAGGATAAAGATGCATCATTTAATCAAGAACATTTATCCGTCTTCTAAATTTCAATTTAGAAAAAGGCACTTGCATAAGTACGTAGAGCCAAACACAGAAAAAAAATCGAAATTTATTAAAATAGAATAAAAACAAGTTTTTGGAATTTTAACTTCTATTTCTCAATCTGAACTGTAAGAGGAGTTTCAAAAAGAATTAAATTACCTTGAAATGTTGTGATATTATCAAAGCACGTTTTAAATTGATTTATCATGTACTTGATGGATGTGTTTTCCGAAATCAATTTGTGCACCATATTTCTCTATAAGAATCTCATAACATAGAAAGAAATGGAAAATATGTTATATTAAATAATTTTTTAGTACTATTAATTTTCTTTGAAAAAAATCATTATGATTAATCAATATGGAAATATTTCGTTTGGAGATTTAAATTTAACGAATTTAAATGATAGACAAGTCAGTTACAATTGCAAGTTCAAAAAATGATTCTAAATCGTCAAAGAAACTTTCGAACTCCTCATACCTGGATTGTTCTTGTAGGAAAAGGAAGATTTCTTTTTTTATTGTAAAAAACTTATTTAAACATTTATCAGCATTAAGCTAACGAACCCCGCAATAAAGAAGCACATCAGTATATGTTACATTATTCTCTGCGAAAAAGTGTTGAAATTCATTACTATTTTTAATTAAATTTATGATTTTTATAACCATCTATATTAGATACTTTTACAGTTTTTCCCACATAACGCTTCTCGATAAATTGTGCAATGAATAATAGAAATTATTAAATTTTGCTGCTTTTTAATCAGCCGAAGAAACTAGTTTTTCCGCCAGTTATCGCATTTACATCATCAATAACAATAGCCGAACATTTCGAAAAATTGATGTGTTATTTGTAAAGAGTTGTTTCCACAGCTTTGAAAATATTGGCATTTGTTGCGGTGCGGAGAGACAAAACTTTATAATTTTTCAACATGAAAAAACACTTTGAACAATTCGAATAAAAATACTATTCGATTCACTATGCTATTTGATTATCGATGCCTTCATCTAAACATGAGGAAAAATAACAATAAGTTGTCAATAGAGCTTGCAATTTCTCTTTAAGGCAACCTGCGATAATCATAATTCTTGACGCAATTGTTTTATCGCTAAGAGCAATACTAGAAGCATCCTTGATATCTAACTTCCAAATGCAGTAATTGTTTCGATAATGCAATCTTTGATAAATTTCCCATCGGAGAATAGTTTGGAATGTTTCTCGATCAAGTGAGGGATTTTATATGACGCAACAAGAGCTTTTTATGCTTAATATACGGTCATCTACAATTACTTTTTGCTGCAAATTTCTCAAAATTACGACGTAATGGAGCAATTTGGAAAACAGATTCGTACCCAAGAAACTATTATATAAGAAATGACTAGTCTTGTCCTGATGTTCAAAGAAAAATAATTTTTTGTCGAAACCAAATAAAAAAATTTCTATATCCCGATATTTTTCTAGTATGTCTGGTTATAAACCTTATTTTGTACGCGTTCCTTCAACTCTTGCCGGATATTCTCAATATAATCAATCCGTTAAATGAAACACGTCCACACCAAACATACGCTGTAACGGAATATTTCGTCGACCCGAAACAATATTATTATCCAATCTTGTGCCACTGGTTGTTCAGCATATTTTTCAATAGTTCTATCATGATAGCTACAACAACGTTGCATATAGTATATGTCGAACATATTTGTGGGATGTTAAGTGTCGCTAGGTAAGCCTCATGAATTACGCGAAAATAATAGTCTGTAAATAGAGTTAACATAACAAATAAATAAATAAAACAATCTGTACTATTGGAATGTACCTCGTACTAATAAATCAGAAATGGAACATCTTTGCAGCTATCGAATTGAACATTCGATCGAAAAGCACGCATCGTCTAATTCTACGGACAAGGAAGCTTCTGTAATTTTTCAAAATATAAGCACCGCGGTAGAGTTACATCGGAAAGCTGTACAGTCGGTATCAATATCGCACGCTCTTAAATTTCTTACAACAATCAGAATACTCATAACGACTTCTCATGTCCGATAGAATCGTCCATGTTTTTTTACAATTTAACAGTAATAACCGCATTTTTATTTTTCACTTCCCACATTATATTTATCTATTTAACTTTTTTTAAGATGCAGCACATTTTTGTCAACTACTTTCGCGCTAGATTTTTTTTTAATGGTTGTAGCCAGCGTATTATCTTTGAGTTTAAACTTAATGCGAGTATGTATACTTCTTTTCTCGGGTATCTTCAATACGTGATTTGTTTTGATAACATCCGGTCTATAATTTTGTTAATAACTTCGTGTTCCAGCTGTTCAAAGCAATATCACTGCTAAAAGATGTAAACGAATTGATTTCATCGGTATTATTAGTTGGCGCACAATTACTATTCATGTATTTGGATAATTATTATGGGCAAAAGCTTACGGATCATAATAATAAAATTTTCTACAATGCGTGAGTACGATGCTTGCATTCTATCATCATAATTACCAACTTGAAAAACGTACCTCCGTTAAGATTGAACTCCCAGTGGAAAGTTGAGAAAACATGAATGCGGAGAATAATTTTCTTATTGATATATAGATATAACACGCCATGGTACACAGTGTCAACAAAAATCCAAAAGTTATTTTTGTTCATCATGAAATATACCACGAAAACGTATATTTTAAATATCGGTAATCTAATTATGGCTTCGATAGAAGGTTTCGCTAAGGTACGTAATATACGGAAAAATCAGAGTTAAATTATCTATCGAGTGGAAGTTATTCAACAAATTTCCCTTGCAGCTTATAAGCCTGTCGATATCTTATTTCACGGTAATCTATTCTTTGCAACGATAAAACAGATGTCGCAAAATTTATCATAAATTATAAATACTGTATACTTGAATATGCAGAGAGAGAGCAAGATGCTTATGTTAAAATAAGCATTGATTGTCACAATATACGAAAGCATGTTACTACACAGACATTTAATGATACAAGCATACAAATAATGAAATAGACTTATATCTTCATTATGAACATGTAAGATGTTGAAAATAAAAAGAATTACTTATTACAAATGCATTTTAATTTTGCTTTTGTCAGTTAGTATCAAAATAAAGATTTTTTATACGAGTAAATTTTGCGCATAAACATACATATATACCTTCAATTTTTTTTATTATTTTCACCTATTTACGTCTATAAAAGTGCACATTTGAGATGAATTTAAAACATTCATCGCGCTTTAAACGAGATGTCAAACTTCAGCGATAAAAATTGACAAAAAGTTATTCCTTATAAAGAGAAACGAAGCTTACACGGAGTTTACTAAAACAGTCAGCACTCTTCCGTATTCATGACTACGATACGTCACACAACGAGAAACATTCGCGGTTACCGAGGTATCATTACATTCGATCTTACGTAAAACAATGAAACGCCACGGCGACGGAGTCCACGGAAAACTCATCTGCGCCTGCGCGAATATGGAAAAAAATATATATTATTCCTCACTACGATCAGGTGAGAAAATGGCACCTGGAGGTCATAACGTACAATTTTCATAATTTAACTTCCTGCCGTTCCCGTCGACATTCCCATCGAACGCGAGCAGTCAATAGTCTTTCCAAACTCACCAAATTGCCGTGAGCGAATTTTCTCCAATTACACACTACAATTGGCGATGTTTTGCGAAAACATAGCAACAGTGAGAAGATTCAGGACAGTCAGTTCGTTTTGCTGGCGGAGAAAAGAACATATCGACGTTATTTTTTTCAATATGTTTCTAAGTCGGGAAAGGGTTGATTCATTATCTACGAATCATTATTACAGAATAAATCAGATACTTCTCTCAACGCTCCAGCTGTGGCCATATCAACGATCGAAGTACGCAGTGATTAATCACTTTATCAGCTTGATTATAATGATGTCATTCGTATTTTTTCAGGTATTCTAAGTACTTCCATCCAATGTTATATCTAAATTCCACATTGCAAAAATCCTCTCATCCCTCTCTTTATATAACATTACTCGATTTTTCATTACTTCCTATTTCTGTTTGGTTGTCGAAAACTTAACTGAAGATTGCTAATGTGTTATGCTATAGTATAAAATGTATTATAGGAATTGCCTTACGTTTGTCAGCACTTGTGACTACACATTATATCATTACACTTTCTTCAAACACATTCTACTGTAGTATTTTTCATTGAAATTCGCGAAACTATGCAAAATGCATTCAGTAGAGAATATACAGATCTATACAGATTGAAACATACTTGTCTATACAGATTGAAACATACTTGTCGTTTTCAGTTGACATCATTCTTCACGTATCAATTGACCGTGGATTTTCTCATTATGCTTCTATCGTACGTTTTGCCGTCTACTGCATGTATTATACAATATTACTCTTTTTACAGAAACCCTGACGCGGTAAGTTGGTCGTTATATCTTTTTGTTACTTGTCACTTAGCATTCAGTTATTACCTGAAATAACCCGACACTATAGGTGAGACAAATTTTGAAAAATATCCACGACAGTTGGAGTGCCTTAAAAAATGAAATGGAGCGTGATATAATGCAGAAATACTCGTTTTCCGGACAACGTTGCACGATAATATCATTACGTATGAAAATCATTGAAAAAATAAAATACATGATTAACCGACCAGGTGTCACGCATACACATTTATATATATATCTATTTTTATTTATAACCCTTAATGTTTCAACTTCCAGATATAATTCATTCTTTATATTTGAGTTTTCTCTTAAGGGGCGAATCCTGTCTATAGGCGAAAAAATAGGCTATTTTCACGTATTTTTTTTCGGAAACTAAGCGGACGATTGATGTCAAACTTGGTAGAAATAATAATATATATTTAACTTATAAGAATGAATTTTTATAGTGTTATATGAATAATAATGCAGCAGATATATAAAAAATAACATGACGTGTTTAGGCATGCGCCGTTTCACGGCTCCCATAAAATCTCGAGATACGGTGGACTGGGACAAAAACGCAAGTAAGATAATTAATCTACGAACTTATCACTATCGTCTGAACTAGGGCAATAAAAAGCAAACTACTTTTTCAATAATTTTAAGGCATTTAAAAATTATATTTGAAAAATCGCCATAAAATCGACAATTTTACGTTAAAAATAAATATTAAAAATTGATATTTTTTAATTTCGCTAATTCATACGATAAAGAGACACGTTTCGAATATGTAGATACATACTGAAGTCAATCGGTTCATTAGTTTGTCTGAAATCGTGGGAACCAGTTAAAGCAAAGTCATTTCGAAAAAAACATGTTTAAAGTTTCATGTACTATTCAATCATATTTCTAATACTCACGTAAGTTTCAATCTAATCGGCAATTCCAGTTCCATATAATGAATTCTTCTCGACTTCATGAAACTCTTTTTTATATTCTTAGGTTTCGTACGATTGTTTCTACAGCAATTATATGACGAAACTTTGAAAGACCCAGTGAGCTCTTTGAATTTAACTTGTACACCACACAGTGTTACGAAACCTCCAAATAGTGGCCATAAATTATATTGTCGCTATAATACTATAGTTGAATGAAAAGCATACTACATTGTAAATACTAGTATTTTATCATTAAAATAACATGTTTTCTAATTTTATTATTTTACTTTTTATTTTTGTTTTTATTTAAAAAAATTTTTTTGTCTTTTTATTTTTTTTCTTATTTTTTCTTTTTATTCTTTTTTTTAGTTTTTATCTTCTGCTTTTTATTTCATATAACTCTTAACTAAACAAAATATTTTATATAACTATTCATCGTCTGAAACTATATTTGCTACAACTGGGTTTGCAAGCAATTCAATAACTTCTTTAGGGAAGGGATCGGCTTTTTTATTTGAAACTTTTTTTAAAGACGAAATGTGGAATTTGAGGAAAGAAGAAGTTTTTTAAATAAATCTTCATTCGTCACAATTCTCGAATTTTTTCTTATATGATACTCTCTCATATCTCTACAGTCTTTATTTTTACTATTGTTTACTATATTATTTAATTAGAACTTAAACATTATCGTTAATTATTATATTTGTAATTAACATTAGCAAAATTAACTAGGATGAAGGATTTTGATAAAGGATATAATTTTTGTGTTGAACAATATTACCTGCAGTAGACAGCGTAAGCACATTGAATGTCGAACTCTGCTCATAAAATTTATCGTATTTTTGTAAGCGCTGGATGTCGCTCTTTTTACTTTTGCATAAGGATTAATAGATATTTTATCTTTATTTTCACAAAAGTATAACATAGTGCGAAATGATGCAATTTTTGTATATCACAATATAAGTGATACTTAACTGTATATAAAAAGTGAGTCTTGTAAATCTAACTTTTATTGTATATACTTATAACTTTCTAATATCTATCTAATACTCTTTATTGGAAATAAAACTACACAGATGAGATATTAGACAGAAAACATCATTTTCATGATAAAAAATTGTTTCAACGCAAAATCAGTTGTATTATTTGGAGGGTTATAACCCAGCTATTTTTTTACTTCGCATCACGTGTATATTTAAATCCACTTATCTTCGTGATACAATTGGATTTCATCAAAATGTTACTACAACTTATTAATTTTGGACCTTTTAGAAAATATATTGAAAACGGGAACCGAAAATTTCGCTTTTTATTTTTTCCTATTTTGGTCACTTTTAGCGATTTTTGCAACACTGTGCATCGCTTCGAATAATATGTTGTAACTTCCGTAATTTTCTGAATTTTTCGATACAGATTTTAGAATAGATTCGTAACAATATTTATTTTCAGAAAATGTAATAAAAAGAAAATCAATTTTTTTGACCTATAGACAGGATTCCCCCCTTAAATGTGAACCTAAACGTGAGCCACATCCATCGATTGTGTTTATGATCCACTGCGAATGATTCACAACGTACTATACTCTGCATTTGAAAACAGATCGACCATATACGTACACGCATACACACACACACATTCACGCATACATCGCCATTAAATAAATAAACTGATAAATAAAGAGAATCTCTACATTGACATGATTTTCTAGTGCTCGTCATCGGCTCCTTTATTGTGTATGGGTTTTTCCAATTATTGCCAAGTATTCTCGACATAATCTTTCCATTAAATGAAACACGCCCATTCCAGCCTTACGCTCTAACGGAATATTTCATCGATGAGAGAACATATTATAATCTACTCCTGTGCCACTGGCTATTCGGCGTATTTTTCAATAGTTTTATCTTAGTAGCTACAATGACGTTACACCTTGTATATATCGAACATATTTGTGGGATATGCAGTGTCGCCAAGTAAACTTCATAAATTGTATAATAGTGTAGAAATAATAGCTTGTATATGATTGTAGTTAAGATAGTAAATATGTAAAATGATTCTTGTGTACTGCCCTTGGGAAAACATCGCGCGCAAAAAAGGAACAGCATAAATGCATATGTGTTATGCATAGATATATCTCATTTCTGAGACTAATGAACTAGCGATTAAATATTATTGCAGTTATCGAATTGAACATTCAACCGACCATTATGCATCGCATAATCTTCTGAAGAAGAAAGATCACATGACTGTTCAGAACATAAGCGCTGCGGTAAATTTGCATCAAAAAGCTCTTATGTCAGTATCTGTATCATACGTTAACAATTTCTTGCAACAATCATAATATTTGTAACGACTTTTTATATACGGAAAAAATTTTTTGCGATTTAATTTTTCATATTTTATTTTTTATCGAAGGTACGGCACTTCTTTGTCAACTACTTTTGCGTTAGATTTCTTCTTGATGGTTGTAGTAGGTGTATTATCTTTGAGTTTAAATCTATTCCGAGTAAGTATCTTTTTTTGAATCTCTTTATAACTTTTTATGATAATATATAGATTAAAAAATTGTGATGAACACTGTTCTATATTCTAGCTGCTTAATGCTATATCTATGCAAAGGAATATGAATGAATTGTTTACGTCGATAATTTTGGTTAGCATACATTTTTTGATCATGTATTTAAATAATTACTACGGACAAAAGCTTACAGATCATAACAATAAAATGTTCTACAATACGTGAGTACTCGTTAAGTTTTCACGCTTATCAGTTCAAAATCATATTCTATATTAATTTCAGAATTAATGAAAATTAACTGATCTAATATTAATTTGAAAATTATAAATTATAATGAATAATAATAAATAAATTTATAATAAATTCTAATGAAATTATTTATAAATTAATTTCATTAGAATTAAAAATTAATTTTGATATATTAGTCACTGCAATAGGTATTTTAATTAATAGAATAATTTTCTAAATAATATATAGATATAAGATTCGATGGTATACGGTTCCAGTGAGGATACAAAAATTATTTCTATTCATCATGACAAGAACCACAAAGACGTACGTTTTAAATATCGGCAACTTGATCATGGCTTCGATAGAAGGTTTTAGTAAGGTAACATATAGTAGAATCGAAAAATTAAATATTTTAACAAATGAAAGCTGTTCAACAGATGAAAGTCGTGCAATTCTCCTTGCAGCTTGCGAGTTTATCGATATCTTATTTCGCTGCAATCTATTCATTGCAATAATAAGGAAGGAATAACTAAAGTTTTTGTAAATGTCAAAGTAATACGCAGCTGATTATACAAAATGAACAAAATGTATATGTTGAAAAAGCACCGATTATTATAACGTACGGGCGCATGTCCTCCATTTTACTTTGCAGAAATTTATTTCATATTAGTGGCAAAAAAATTTGATGATGAAATGATATGCGATATGAAAAGTTTAGCGTATAAGTATCCATCGTATTCGACATTATTTATTATAACGTTTATTATTATAACGTGAAGCATTAAAAATAAAATAAAATTCGCCGCACGTTACTGTTTTGATTCTGCTCTTCTCTCATCACGTCACCATTGTAGGGGATTTCTCCTCTTCCTTCAAACTTCTGTGTCTATATTTGTCAAGATTACGGGACTCCGATAAAAGATGCAGGTAATTAAGGCAGTTGCGAATGTGTGCGACCAGTCACAATTAACAGCCCCTTTTTACTCTCGTAACCAGGATTTATTATTTCTCCGTTCGACTTACATATCTTACATTTTCGCAAAACCTATCCGTCGGTACGTCCGGACAAAAGCAAGCGCGAGCCTGTCCCGCAGACAAGCCAAAGGCAAAAAGTCCCGCTCCTCGATCGATTCTTGTTTATATTTTCTTTCCTCGCCGCCTACCCCATAAAGATTTTCCCATACATGTAAATTTCATATTTACGTGTACCTATGTACCATAAACTTGCCATTACGCTGAACAACAATAACATGAAATAAATTGGCGAACGTTACTTATACACAGGCACTGACTTACGTGATTATTTAAAAACTTCATGTCGTAGTTTATACTCACAGACAGCAACTTTAGACGTAACATATATTTTTGCTATGTAACAATTAAAACTCATACAAGATTGAAGAAAGGAGGGACCACTGTTTTACACAATGTTTATTGACGATAAGGCAATTGAATTTACCACAAATGTTTTGCAATTCATAGCTCTTGTACATGATACATCAGGAGGAACACTGGCGATCAATCAAAGTACCGTAACGGTCGACATCACGTAAGACAATGAAACGTCGCGACAAGAAAACACAAAAACGCGCCTGCGCTGCTATGAGAGAAAAAGCGGGGGAAAAATTGTTTCCCCCTTTCGACGTGAGAAAAAATTATACTGGGCGAATGCAACATGCAATTTCGATAATTTGAGTATTTATCGTTCCCCTCACACCAAAAACGAACGCATCGCAATTGACGATATTTTATGAAAATATTGCAAGGGTAAAAAGACTTACTATAATCAGATTATTTTGCTGGCAGGCGATACATCTCGATTTTATTTTTCTTTCAACATGCTCTTGAATCGCGAGGAAACAGATTCAACATCTGAAAATCATTATTACAGGATAAATCAGATACTGCTTTCGACACTTCATATGTGGCCGTGTCAACGGTCGACGTACACAATGATTAATAACTTTATCATCTTGACTATATTGATGTCATTTGTGTTTTTTCAGGTATTTGAAGTATTTCTCCAAATGTATTTAAATTCCATTATGAAAAGATTCCCTATTATTATCAATTTTGACGGCCTAACGAATTCTGATTTTTTGTTTCTTTTTTCTGTCTGATTTTTTTAAGATCTTCTAAACTGAAGATTATTTATAATAAAAGATGTAAAAATTGGACTACATTTATCAGCATTTCTAATTGCATATTTTGTAGCTGTGTTTCCTTTAGACATCACAGTATTCCTCATATGAAATTTAGGCATTCAAGAGAGACTATTTGCAACTGCCTATAAGAGTGTACTGTTTTTAATTTCGTTCATTTTCAGTTAACATCGTTTCTTACGTACCAATGGACTATGGATTTCTTCATTATGCTCCTGTCGTATGTCTTACCGTCTATTATATGTATCGTACAATACCGCTCGTTTTATGCTAAACTCGACATAGTAAGGCAATCTACCTCTTGTTAATTGTTACTTAACATTCAAATATTATCTAAACTTAACTCGACTATAGGTGAAACAAATACTGAAAGATATCCGCAACAGTTGGAGTGTTTTGGAAAATGAAACGGAGCGTTGCATCATGCAGAAATATTCGTTTTCCGGACAACGGTGCACGATATTATTAATACGTATTATTACTATTATTGTGTTATTATAAAAATAATCAAGAAACAAACACTAGCGACATATTAACATATTTGTAGTATATGGGTCTTTTTATGATGTCTTAATGATGTCTTATGATCTCTTAACGGCTTGATTAATCAGATATCCTTTCTGCTTTTACACTTTTCTCTAGAATTCCGACGTAAACCGCTCACATTAATCTGTCGCATATTTAAGACTCATCACGAGTGGCTTCCGAATTGTACTGTATTTTGCATTTATAGATTGACAGCATATACACACATCCACGCATATTCCGCCACTAAAACTATAATAAGCTGATAATACTCAAGTAAAAAGAGTGTCTACATTGCTTTATATTCACATAATTTCTTAGTGAGTGGCTTCATCTGCCTTATCGTGTATGGATTCTTTCAATTCTTGCCGAGCATTCTCGATATGATCTTTCCATTAAATGAAACGCGTCCACGCCAGCCTTATGCTATAACAGAATATTTCGTCGACAAAAGAAGATATCATAATCTTCTCCTGTGCCACTGGTTGGTTGGCGTATACCTCAGTTTTTTTGTCCTGATAACCACAATTACTTTGCATATAGTGTACATAGAACATATTTGTGGAATGTTAAGTGTCGCCAGGTAAATCTCATAATAGCTTATACAATTGTAGTTAAGACAATAAATATATAAAATGATCTTTGTACTATCTATGGGGAAGCAAAAGGAACAGCATATATGCATATGTACTATATATAAATATCTTTCGTTTTTGCAATTATTAATAATCTAGTGGTTAAATGTCATTACAGCTACCGAATCCAACATTCGATCGATCATTACGTATCGCATAATCCTCCAAAGAAGGAAGATGTAATTTTTCAGAACATAAATGTCGCGGTCGATTTACACCGAAAAGCTCTCATGTCGGTATTTATATCTCACTCTGTCAGATTTCTTGTACGACAATCAATATATTCCTAGTGAATAGTTCTCGTACACAGAAGAAATTTTTCACGGTTTATGCGGTACATCATCTTTATATATATTTTCTATTTCTCATCCTTTCTTTTTTACCGAAGGTGCAGCTTATTTCTGTCAACCGCTTTTGCATCAGATTTCTTCTTCACAATTGTACTAAGCGTTTTATCTTTTAGTTTAAATCTACTCCGAGTGAGTATTCTTTTTTTATTCTCCTCAGTTGATAATTCATTTCGATAATGTTTAAAGTCCGACGTTTTATAAAAAATTTCGAGTTCCAGCTGATTAAAGTGATATTGCTATTAAAAAATATTAGTGAATTGCTTATGTCTATAATATTGGTTAGTGCACACTTCGTAATTATATTTTTGGAGCATTACTACGGACAAAAGATTACGAATCACAACGACAAGATTTTCTACAATGCGTGAGTACTTATTAAGTTTCTCGAGTTATTAATTCAAAATTACTAACTCTCACGAGATTAATCTAAGACGAAAATTGGGAACATAAGTGTGAAATACTATATATTATAAATAAATGTGAATTACAATGATAAAATAATGCAACTTATTAATACATAGATATAACACGGAATGGTACACGGTTCCAGTGAGAATTCAAAAATTGTTTTTATTTATTATGAAAAATACCACGAAAGCATATGTTTTAAATATCGGCAACTTTATTATGGCTTCGTTGGAAGGTTTTACAAAAGTGTGTATATGACGGAATCGAAAAATTAGATATTTTGAACAGATTAAAGTTGCTTAACAGATTTTCCTTACAGCTTATGAGTTTGTCCATATCTTACTTCACGGTAATGTATTCATTACAATGATTAAAAAATACGACTGAATGTATTTTTTCATGTATTATAATATATGTCTAATTATATAAAGTAAGTAAAATGCATACATTAAAAAAAACATTGATTGTTGTTATGTTATTATGAATATATATATATACTTATTTTGCCTGACTAAAATTTATTATTTATAATAACAAAATAGTTTAATAATAACGACATAAATAGAAAGTTAGTGATACAAGTAGCTAGATATATTATTACAAATCTTGTTTCCACACATAGACAATCTCATGATTACATAAAATATAAAAAATAAAATAAATCGATTATGTGTGACAATATTACGATTATATACGATACTACCTTACTTTTTCATCTTATAGAGAAAATGCCCAACCGTGCACATACATTTTATACTCTCGTATTATATACTATATTCTATTATATTATATACTATATACTATATTCTTTAACTTTTTTGGTTACATTCACACGACGTTCATGTTTATGAATATAAAAATTCATACTTACAATGGAAGAGTGGAACTTCACGTCTTCAATAATTTACTGTAGCTTGTCCCGCAATACATACATATACAAGTGTTATCTTCAGCTCCCTTTCGTGGCGAAAACAGATTTCTGGGAGAAGATTGGTACGAGAATAAAACCTCTGACTGCTTCTAACCGCGATATTGCGCAAGTGCGCTCAGAATGGGAAGAATCTGTAATTGCTAATAAAAAATTTCTAGCAGATCTCTTTTTTACTAAACATTTTGATGACTCAGAGATTTTCTTTGTTCGCGGTATATCAGCGATAACCTGTAAAAGAAGCGAACCCTTTTTTCCCATCCATCATTTGACCACGGAAAACACTTAAATTGCTGCAACTGTCATTCACTTCCCGACGTTGTGTATTTCCCGCTGTCTATACACCGCTATACACCGCGAAAAATCTAAGAAAGGATTGGTTGGCATATTAAATAAATCACTGCGAGGGAGTATGCTCGAAGAGCGAAGTTTGCCCCCTGAAAGTCCGCTCGCCACTCGCGTCTCAACCGTCGTAGAAAGATGTACGTATTCGACGATCGCAACCATAAATTTAATCAAACTCTTCTGAAGCTCCTTGGTCTGTGGCCTTACGGGAGAACCAAGTTTCAGCGTTTACGCGCAATCTGCTTCTTCGTATTACTCCTTTCTTATGTAGTGGTTCAGGTAATTCTATTCTTTTTATACGTCCGTTTTATTCTCTTTTTATCCTTCATGTGTGTGTGTTTTTTATACGATGTGGTCTAAACCGATAAACTTATTCTATAGCCGTTTCCTCCAACATAGTTCAATTCAGGGTTCCTTTGAATTGCGTTTAACTTTGAACACAATTTAATTTTCAGTCAACTTATTTTATTTGCCTTCAACTTTATTTTCGTTCCGATTAACTGAGTGTAAACTTTACGTGTGCTAATTCAAATTATATTTGTATCATCAAGTGATGTAATTGATGCATAACTAATAAGCATCTTGTAACTTTAGAATATATATAAGCATAGAAGGTAAATTGCCTGTGTCTTTTGTGGATCAAAAGTGTTAGATGAAAATGTTAATTCTTCTTCTATGTTGTTTATACTAGTAACACTATTTTTGTTTAGATGAAATCTCATTTTTAATTCAGTTTCGTCCAAATTATCAAAATAATTTATTCGTTTTTTAAATCTTTTAGATTCTCTGTTAATGTATCTCATAATATTTTCATCATTGAATGATGATAAAATAATATAATATACTATAATAATTCGTTCAATTTCATTTACATCAAGTCCAAAATATACTGCACATAACCTCAAATATTAACATTTCACATTATTTTCTGTTTAAACGTCTTTTAAACTTGTTAACCGGTTAAAAATTGACGTTTACGATGGACGCCGCTCCAATGGAATTGAATGTTAAAAAAGTGACGAAACACAAAATATCGTAGGTCAGAGTTAAAAATCGGTTGAAATCGGTGAAATTTTGAACTACATTGGAGGAAACGGGCATCAAACTTACAGACTTTTTTTTATGTTAAGCTGGCGCAATTTGCTGTAGCTGACATTGATTCAGATGCCGTTATTCGAATTCTTTCGGATGCGTTGCCGAGTACCGGTTATTTCATAAAATTTACTCTCTTTTTCTACAATGACGAAACGGTAAGTTGAAAAAGGTGGTTTTCGCGAGGAATTGTCGCGCTTACGTGGCAAGTTCACTTAATGCAGACGAAACAAATGCTGAAGCAAATAACGAACAACTGGCGAATGTTGACGGACATGCGAGAAATTAAAATAGCGGAATATTATGCTCGTCGAGGAAGACACGTCACGATTTTTCTCACGTGTAAGGACTAATGTGAAAGGTGCCGGTATCGTAGAAAAGAAAAGAAAAGAAAAAGAGAAACACGTAAGATCGTTAAGTTTGCATATTCATGATGGCAAAACTTTCGGTAACTAACGAATTCTTTCGTCTTCAATATCTCAATGTACATGTAATGTTCTTCCCGTGATGCTCCATTCCCATAACCAAAGGAAGTCTGTTATAACACTTGCTGTATTTTCTATAACTTAGCGTCCGTGATGCTGGGTGTGTTTGGTTTCATAGTAATGGAGATGATGCCGGACATCCTCGACTTTGCCTTGCCACTCAACGAGTCGCGCGTACGTTATCTGCCGCCCATGAACGAATACCGCGGATATCAAGGGGCGTATTTCTACCCTATTTTCTTATATGTTAATATAAGTATCATTATTGGCGGCCTTACGGTCGCCTCTGTTGGTTCGATGCTTATAGTGATCGTATTGCACTGCTGCGCGATACTCAAGATTTCCAGGTGAGAAACATGCGTTACGTTTCGCGTAATTATCGATGGTTAATCTGTCACGTTAAAATACAATTCCGTGCAATTAGTTACCGCATGGAACACAGTGTGAGCGAGGAAATAATAGCACGCCCCGATAGGGAGCACTTGATAATCGAAAGGATCATCAAGTCGGTGAAACTTCATCAAAATGCGCAAAAGTAAATGTTCACAAGAGAATTGTGGCGAGTTAACCATTTGCGACATAGTGTTGCATATATGCAATACCTTTTGAAAACTTTGAAGATTCATTTTTCTATTCAAAAGTTTTTATGAAAATTTGTATTCAAGGGTTTTTGGAGTCGCTGATAATAAATCTGCTGACGGAATTTCAAAATTCATAATAGCGGATCCATTATGGTGGGCCAAAAATTTAAAAAAGTTTTGATTTTCATGAAAATTGGTACATAGAAATTTTCAGGATCACTGTTATGAATCCGCTGTCAGAATTGGAACAGTTTTGCCAACTTATGAAATCCTATAATAAATAACAGTATCCAATGCCGGGGATTTCAAAAAAATCTAAAAAAATGTTTTTTTTATTTATGAAAATTTTTTTTGCTTTATTTTTTGTTTCTATTTCTCCGTTTGTGTTATTGTTTTTTAGTTTTTGTTATCTTTTGTCCTTTTGCTATTTGTTTTGTTGTTTATCGTTGTTTTTTCGTTTCTTTTTTTTTTATTTTTTTTGTTTTAATGTTTTCATAATTTTTGTTTTCTCTTATTTCATTTTTTTGGATTTTTTATTTTTGTTTTGAGCGACCACAAAGCTTCTTCCTTTTGTGCACAGACAACAGCAAATCTGTAATCAGTGACCCCAAAAATCCCTAAAATATGTATGAATTTTCATGGAAATCAAAAATCTTTTAAAATTTGGTCCGCCATCTTGAATTTCGAAATTCCAACATAGCGATACCAAAACCCATTATATGCAAATTTTCATGAAAAACTGTTGAACAGAGAAATGTATGCTTCAAAAGGTTAAATCGTTATTCGGATATTTAATGGCGAGTAATGTTATCGTTTGATATCCACGGTTTTTCTTTCAAGCCTCATCGAAATGTTGATGTCGCGTTTATCGGTGTTTTTCCTCACATTATTAACGTTGGGGATTATTTCTTTGAGCATAAATTTATTTAGAGTAAGTACAAATCTCTTTTCTCGTAATTTCTAATATTTAATCTAATAATAATTAATGCACCACGAGATCGCCGGAAATCGCGTCATACGTGCATTATGCATACGAATATGTTATTTCTGAACTCATTTCTATTACTGGGTTGTTCGGAAAGTAATTTCAGTTTTTTGCATGAAAATGAAAGACGATATTTTTAATAGAGAGAAAAGTTTTATTCTGTTAAGTATTGACCATTTTGTTCTAATACCTTTTGCCATCTTTAAGGTAATAACATGATTCCATATCGTAGAACTTCCAGTCTTTATTGACAAAAAACTGAATTAAATGATTTTTGACACCTTTTGAATTGAAATTTTTACCATCCCAAAAATTTTGCAGTGACCGAAACAAATGATAATCGGATGGTGCCAGATCAAGTGAATATGGTGGTAATATGCGGTAGCAAATCCCGTCCAAACGCTAACAGCTTCTGACGAGTCATTACACTTGTATGAGGTCTGGCGTTGTCATGATGAAACACAACACCTCTTCTGTTCGCCAATTCTGGTCTTTTCTACTTGATGGAATCATTCAATTTATCTAATTGTTGACAATACACATTCAAATCGATCGTTTGGTTATTTGGTAGCAGCTCAAAAAGATCATTTCTTTCCAATCCCACAAAACAGAGAGCATCATCTTCTTTTGATGGATATCAGCTTTCAATGTGCTTCGAGTTCGTTCATCGCGTTTGCTCTATGATCTTTTGCGTTTAATATTGTTATATACAGTCCATTTTCATCTTTAGTTATGAATCGCTTCAGAAATGGATCGTTTTCCTCATGCTTCAACAACAAATCGCAAATGGTAATGCGACGAATCAAATCTCTTTCTTTGAGAACGTGTGGAACCCAAATTTAAAACGAAACCAAATACTTGTTCCAAGTGTTTATGCATGGTCGAATTCGATAAATTCAGTCTCTCTGCAATTTCTCGTGTTGTTAAATGACGATTTGTGTCCACCAATACCTTTATTTGGTCTTCATCAGCCTCAACTGGCTTTTCAGAATGTGGTACATTTTTGAGGTCGAAATTCCCAGAATGAAATTTCAAAAACCCATTCTGACATTGGCGTTCAGTCAACACATCCTCTCCACGGCCATTTTCTTGGTTACACTGTATTTTTGCCTTTCTTCTTCTTAGTGTGCCTTATCCGTTAACGTTTAACGGATGTTGGCAATCATATTGGCTATCATCATTTTGTTAACAGTCGCTCTGAAGAGCGCGTTTGTCAATTTTCCAAACCACTGTTTTAAATTCTTTAGCCATGATGTTCTCCTTCGACCTGGGCCTCTTCTACCTTCAATCTTCCCTTGCATCACCAGGTGTAGAATGTTGTATGTCTCCGCTTTTCTCATAACATGGCCAAAATATAAAAGTTTCTTACTTTTGATGGTGTTGACAATTTCTTTATTCTTATTCATTCCATTTATAACTTCTATATTAGTGACTCGGTTCTTCCAGCTTATCTTCAGCATGTGTCTATACATTTACATTTCAAATGCCTCAAATCTCTTCAGATTAATCTCCGTGAGGGTCCAAGCCATCCTATATAGCAGAATGAAGAATACATAATAGCAAACCATTCTCAGTCCATTTTTATCTCATGCCCACGTAAAATTCTTTTCATGTGCTTGAACGCAGCCCTCGCTTGTTCTATCCTAAATCTTATCTCCAATGAGCATTCCCATTCCTCATCTAGCATCTGTCCCACATATTTTATCTTGTGGACTCTCTCTAGTTTATTTGTTTCAATTCATAGCTCTGCTTCCATATCTAATCATTTACTAATAATCATAAATTTGGTATTTTTGGTGTTGAGTTTAGACCATATCTATCATTTATCCTAACCATCCGATCCAGCTGAAGTATAATCCTTCAATCTTATCCGCCAACAGAACCGTGTCATCCGTATATCTTATGTTATTTATTATTATTCCGTTTATTTTTGCCTTTACAGTAATAAAAAACAAAATGTGATGAAAATGCTCACGTTGGTTTTTCACTTTTGATGTGACGCCAAACAAAACCAATTTGACAAATTCCAAAACAATTTTTTTTTTTAAACAAAGCTTGAAATGTGCGTTGTAAAAATGTAAAATGATTTTCTGATTTAGAATGAGGTTAACTGCTTAAAAGGACTACTAACCGTTTTATCTTTCTGAAAAAACCGAAATTACTTTCCGAACAGCTCAATATTTATTCGATCATTTATTGTGTATAAATAATAGAAATTATCAGTCACGTAATTTGTCTTATTCACTAATTTACTCGCAGCTGCTTAATGCAATAATGCACATGGATAATTCCCTCGAATTCGTGGCAGCCTTAGGATTAGTTTCTGGACTCCAAATTTATCTATTCGCAGCCAATTATAGTGGACAATTGATCGTGGACCACGGTAACGAACTATTTAACGCAATGTGAGTATCGCGTTTCATTCCAGCGTACGAAGATATTTCTTCCGCAAAACTGCGGTGAGAATCCGCGAAATCTGCATGTACTCACTACTGTTGTAACTGTTGAATACACGTACGAGGGTAGTCCCAGACGTACCTGACCTGACATATAGATAGTGGTTGTTGTTTGAAAAGAATGACTATGATAGAAAGTATAACCTTATAAAGCTTAAGTTTGAAGTTTGACGACGCTACGTTGTTTAGTATTTGTTTGGCAGCCATCAATAGTAAACGCTCTCAGTGAATTTGTAAACATAGAGAAAATTGGTCATCGTTATGTGATATGGTAAATATACAGAAGTACACAGTCAGCTCCAATTTTAATGAGACTAGGCTCATTCGATCCGTTTTTGCACGAAAAACAACTTTTTCCTTTGGCAAAATCGTCGCTCAGTTCCGCGAAGTGAGATATGAAGCGTTAAAGCAGATCATAATTCAGGTTAGGAAAGCTGTTATATCGACGAACTTTGACGACATACCATTGGTAAACATGCCTCGTAATTAATTCCGAGTGTTCCGTGACCTTGATGTTGACATATCTAAACCGATTTATGATACCGTTGCTCAGAAATATATTCGTCGCCTAGAGAAGTGCGTGTATTCGTGCATTAATTCAACCGACATACATGCTCGTAATACATAAACTTAATATGCTTTTAGTCCGTGCACTGTTCGTTAAAAATTACTAACAATGAATTAGTGATAAGAGTTTGCACCGAGCATGTGTACACACATACACACGAAGGGGCGTGCGGAGAGCCTTCGGCCCCACCCGCACCCCCTCGAGGTCACGGGTGCAACTCGCTTCATGTGGAAAGTCGCAATAAGTTGCAAACTCACATGTGACTTTCCATATGAAGCGAGTTTCACCCGTTAACCCTCGAGGGGGGGTGCGAATGGGGGGCCGAAGGCTCCCCCACACGCCCCCTTCGGTGTGTGTGTGTGTGTGTGTACACATGCTCGGTGCAAACTCTTATCACTAACTTCATTTGTTAATAACTTTTTAACGAACAGTAAGCACGGACTAAAATTTTTTGCATATTACTCGAGAAGTTTATGTTAGTTACGAGGCATGTTTATGTCGCCAAAGTTCGTCGATATAACAGCTTTCCTAACCTGAATTATGATCTGCTTTAACGCTTCATATCTCACTTCGCGGAACTGAGCGACGATTTTGCCAAAGGAAAAAGTTGTTTCTCGTGCAAAAACGCGTCAAATGAGACAAGTCTCATTAAAATCGGAGCTGACTGTGTACTTCTGTATATTTACCTGTGATACAATACTTTCATTTGAAAGGCCTCAGTTCAATCAATATCAAAGCGAAGCTAGATTCTGGGGGAGTCTGCCTCTTCGTTTACAACAGTAAAATATTGGGTGGCAGAGTTTAAACGAGGCCGTATGAGCTGCTGAGACGAACATTGTTGTGGTCGACCAAATGAGGTGAACTACGCCAGAAATGGTGAAGAAAATCTACAAAATGGTATTGGATGACCGTCGACTGAAAGTGCGCGAGTTAGCAGATATGGTAGGCATTTCAAAAAGTGCTGTACATCGCATATTGACTGAAAATTTGGACATGAGAAAGCTGTGCGCAAGATGAGTGCCGCGATTGGAACAAAAACAGCGTCGTGAGGATGTTTCAATCGAGTGTTTGGCGAAGTTTCGTAACAATAAAACCGAGTTTTTGCGTCGATTCATAATCATGAATGAAACATGGTTCCATCACTTCACACCTGAGACGAAGGAACAGTCAAAACAATAGACCAAGGTGGCTTGATGGCTATTTTGAGGAGCTCGACGATTCCCACTATAAACAGGATATCGAAACTATTGAACATCGCTAGGAAAAATATATTGAGCTAAAAGGAGACTATGTAGAGAAATAAAGGTATATTTTCCCAAATTTTTTGTGTTTTGCTAGTTAGGTCAGGTATTTCTGGGACTACCCTCATATATACGAAGACAGTATTCACACGTTACGTTGAACAATTAAAATCTAATCTTTAGTCACACACACACACACACATACATATATACACATTTGTTGGACACATCGTGTTGGACTTGCAACTATCTTTTTCATAATAAAATATATATAATTAAAAACTTCATATTTTTATTACACTGCATAGGACATTTGTCGCCAATATAAAAATCATAAAGCTACGATTACAATCGACTAATTCCGATTCCCGTTGTTGTAGAAATTTCTGTTCATTACTCTCTACAGTTACTATATGTACATGTCTTGTACGTTGTGCTACATTGTTCGTTTTTCTTTCTGTACGTATCGATCACGAATTTCGCTATTTACAAAGACGCGACATTTTCACTCCTGACATTATCTCTCCCGACCACTAAGATTATACTGTTTGTTCACTAATCAATTTGAGTTAATTGAAACACCTTTGTAGATACAAATCGCTGTGGTATGTAGCGCCTGTGACGATGCAGAGACTACTGTTGTTCATGATGCGATGTAACATAAAAGGTTGCAAGCTATGTGCCAACAATTTATTCATTGCATCGCTGGAGGGCTTCACTACGGTAAGGTTTACGGTAGCGCACGTTTGCGAGACGTCCATCGACATTCTATCAATCCCACAGGATCGTTTGTTGTAGATCTCGAGCATGTCGATGTCCTACTTCACGGTGATCTACTCCACGCAGCAATTTAATAAGTAACGCGACGCGGAAAGCGCGCCGCTGCGACGCTCTCGTAGTTCATGTAGAATTATTTCCCAGTAAAGATAGAAAATTAAAGTTATGGAGCGGTAGCATCCTCCATTGTTGGCGTGTCGATAAATAACAGATAAATAAATAAATGCCAATAAATGATTATATATCGTTTACCGTATCGTATATTGCTCTCTTATCTAGTGCGCAATGGTTTCGCCGGTTTCCGTTCGCGAGTTTTATTTCATCGTCGAATACAAAAATCTATCTATTGGGTGAGTGCAAAAGTTCGTGCGGAGTTTGTGAGTAAAAGTCACACAGTGATTAGGCAAACAAAAATCTTTATTCAATCAATAATATATTCTCCATCGTTTTCTATAATCTTTTCCCAACGTTCTGGCAGCATACGGATGCCTCGATCATAAAAACTGCGCGGTTTAGATTCGAAGAACGAAGAGACGCCGTTTTTTAAGGCCTCCAAAGAGTCAAAGTTTTTTCCATTTAAATAATTTTGCAATGACCGGAACAAGTGATAGTCAGATGGTGCGATATCAGGAGAATACGGTGGATGCGTTAAGACATCCCATTTCAGGCTCTTCAGTTTGCGCAGCGTCTTTTTCGAAACGTGTGGTCTGGCGTTGTCGTGATGAAAGACGACTCTCTTGCGATTTGACAAAATCGGACGTTTCTCTTTTATTTCTCGATTCAGATTGGTTAATTGGCGACAGTACTTGTCCGAATCAATCGTTTCGCCAGCGGGGAGAAGCTCGAAATAGATTATGCCCTTGCAATCCCACCAAACAGAGAGCATCACCTTCATCGGGTGCAAACTAACCTTTGGCATTGCGTCACCATGCTCACCTGATTGTTTCCATGTCCGTTTGCGCTGAACATTGTTGTAGAGGACCCATTTCTCATCGCCCGTTACTAGTCGATCCAAAAACGATTCGTTATTGAGCCGCCCGAGTAAAGAAACGGCTGCAGAAATTCGCTTGATTTTGTTCTTCTCGGTCAGCAAATGGGGCACCTATATATCGAGCTTCAAATCGAATCCCATCTTTTTTAAACGCCGAAAAGCGGTTGATCGGTCAACGTTTAGCGTTGTAGCAACTTCTTCTGTTGAAATTCGCGGATTATTGAGCACTAAAGTACGCAAAACATCGTCATCAATGTCAGAAGGTCGACCAGAGCGTGGCTCGTCTTCAAGGTTAAATTCTCCGCGCCGAAATTTAGCAAACCATTTTTCCACAGTTCGTTTAGCTGGTGCTTCATCCTGATAAACATCCTGAATGTTTTTTACGGCTGCGGCAACGTTTATTCCCTTCCGAAACTCGTAAAGCATAACATGCCGTAAATGCACCTTATCGATACTCATTTTTAAAGTGATATTTCTCGAAGCAGTTTGTATGAAAACAAATGATTTTGTTTTTAATAACAGCTGAAGACGTCACCTTTCCAACGTTATATAATATGTAGATGGAAGTATTAATGACAACACTTTACGACGCTTATAACTCCATCTATTGAAACTCCGCACGAACTTTTGCACTCACCCAATATATTGCTTATTCTTTACGTACGTATTTCCTCAAATGCAGTTTTCCTTATATCCCATGAAGGCTTCTAATTATTCTGTAAATTCCGATTGTTAAACAGTTTTCAATTACTTTTCGCTCAGTACTCTCTTGCTTCAAGGCTGGACAAGGTTTCTTATCTTGAATGAACTCCGATGTATGAATGATTTTACAATAACATTAATAAAGAATAAGCTACGCGATATTCGAGCACTGGCTTGACTTCTAGTAATAATGTCGAACAGATCGACGGACCTTGGCATCAGATGCGCCTACGCTGGCTTAGATATTTAAAAAATTTTTTTTCTCGCACGAGAATGTATCATTAAACTTAGAGACGATATTTTAGCTAATACAGACCATATCAATATCAAAAAATATCGAGAGACATTAAACCCACTATTAACTGAGGCTCTCTTTATTCTCTCCGCGTAGAGGTAATTTTGCAATTATGGTTATTTGCAACGACCGCGTTGCGGCAATGACTCACACCAAAGGAGAGGGGAGAAATGGGCTTACGAGGGTGATCGAGAGCATACACGCTTCGACATTCGCGGAAAAATGATTGTGGTAGAAAGTTGGTACTATAACGTCAATCGAATACTTCTTCTGATATGCGGCTTATGGCCATACGAAAATACCAAATTCCGGTACGTACGAGCTGTGTTCATATTCGGCATATTGGTCTCCTTCGTAGTTGATAAGGTACATATTGGTGCGATCAAGAGACAATGTTGACGCTTCGCGCAATTCTTTGTGCGCATTCTTCTGATACCTTTGTATTATCGCTCTTTTTTTATTTTAGCTGGTCACACTATTCATTCAAGAATACAGCTTCAGATTGATTCTGAAGATCTTTTCAGACATTCTTCCTATTGGTATATGTATATTAAAGTTCATCGCCTTTTTACTTAACAAGAAACAAGTGAGCGTCTTTCAATTTGGCTTTATTAATAATACTAATATCAGTTTCCGTAAATCTACTGATATTGTGAAAACTCGGAAAAATGGGGACGAAAGAAGAGTACTAATAAGCATAGATCTGTAAACTGATCGTTTCCGAGATACTTGAATTTTATCTTGTCATTGTGTTCCTTTATCTATCTCTGATCATGTAATGAGAGTTACATTGTATTAACCAACATTTTATCCGTTGTTCGTAGGTGAAACATTTGTTAGACCGAATTTGCGAGGAATGGAGTGCATTGAAAGATTCCGAAGAGGTTAAGATAGCGAAAAAATATGGAAAATTAACGAGACAAATGACGACAATCCTACTTCGTAAGAAAATCTCGAGAGGAAATCTTGAATGGTCCGTCCTCTCTTTGATAGACGGATCATTCGCACTTATATATCAACAAATTTGCAACAAATTTGCTTTTCATATAAATATCTTCCTCAAATTCAAATTCAATAATGTTTTCAGTGTACGGTATATCGGGCTGGCTTCTTCTAGTGATGATACGATTTATCCCGATGATCATCGGTAACTTCGCAACAGCGAACAAATCTCTCGCGAGACAAGACAGTGTCTCACTGGGACGATTTGACAACTGTATTTACGTTTTCGTAGTCAAGTTCATAGGCGTAATCGTTATAACAGCCACTATAACGATGATCCTCGCGTATTTGCGGCATATCTGCATGATGTTAAAGATCACTTGGTAGGGCATGCACATATACACATACGGTTTGATCAAAAAGTAACGAGGATTTTTAATTTTCTCGGAAAATATTTATTTAATCTTCAATGTTTATTCCATCTCCTTCAAAGTAGTCCCCCTGTGATATTATACACTTATGCCAACATAGTTTCCAGTTTGAGAAACACTGGTGGAACGCCTCTTTAGGTATCGTCTTGAGCTGGATCTGCGATTTCGCCTTTATCTTATCTATTGTTGGAAAATGTTGTCCTTTGAATGTCCTTTTGAGTTTGGGAAATAGGAAAAAGTCACAGGGGGCCATATCTGGAGAATAACGTGGTTGCGGCATCATAACGGTGTTGTGTTTCGCTAAGAACTATTGGATAAGCAAAGCGGTATGCTCTCTGATTCGACATTTCGCCACACACAAAAATCGCCAAACACACTAAAGTAGGTCTTGCTCATTCGCTCGCCAAACTAAGCGTCGCAGCTGTCTGAAAATTGACACGTACGTTATTGGTAGTGCTACCAACATAAAAAAAGAATCAACTGAATAGACAAGATACAGCGCGCGCAATTTAAAAATTCTCGTTACTTTTTGATCAAACCTCGTATATCAAACATATCTATCCGAATATCTTGCGATTGTGACATGGGATATTTGTGCGTTTACAGTTACCGTATCAAGCATTCGATGGACGAATACGTTTCGCACATGACGATTCATCAGCAAAATCGTCTAATATGTCAGAAATTAATAAACGCCGTCAAAATCCAACGAAGAGCTATACAGTCGGTATCAGTTTAGAATAATGATTTTTCTTGCGAGTGCGGTACAATCGCGTTGAGACAAGTCGTTGTTCAAGATTTTGAGATATCAAGTTATGAAAAGTAGAAATATGAAACTATTTAGTATACGAGGGTGGTCCGATAAGTACTTAGCCTACAAAAGAAAAACGAAACTTTTGGAAAAGTAGCGATTTATTTCTCAACATAGTCTCCTTTTAGCTCGATACACTTGACCCAGCGATGCTCCAACTTCCTTAACCCGTCTGAAAAATACGTTTTCTCGAGGTCTGCAAAGTAGGCCTCCGTGGCGGCGATGACCTCCTCATTCGACTCAAATTTCTGCCTGGCGAGTGACTTTTTCAAGTTTGGAAACAAAAAGAAGTCGCACAGGGCCAAATCTGGAGAATACGGTGGATGGGGCAGCAGTTCGTAGCCCAATTCGACCAATTTGACCGTGGCGAGGGCGGAGGTGTGAGCCGGTGCGTTATCATGGTGGAAGAGCACTTTTTTCTTCGCCAAATGGGGCCGTTTTTTCTGCAATTCGGCGTCGAATCGGCCCAATAATTCGGCATAGTACAGCCCTGTGACCGTTTTGCCCTTCTCCAGGTAGTCGATGTAGATCACACCTTGTGAATCCCAGAAAACGGTGGCCATCACCTTTCCGGCCGATAGGATAGTCTTCGCCTTCTTCGGAGCGCGTTCGCCGGGTGAAGTCCACTGTTTCGACTGTTCCTTGGTCTCTGGTGTGTACCAGTGGATCCATGTTTCGTCGACGGTCACGAAACGACGCAGAAACTCCTTCGGATTGCGCTTAAACAGCGTCAAACACTGCTCTGAAATGGTCTCACGGTTGCGCTTGTTGTCCGGAGTGAGCAAACGCGGCACCCATCGCGCCGACAGCTTTCTCATGCCCAAAATTTCATGCAGGATATGACCCACGCGGTCTTTTGAGATGCCTACTGTCTCAGCTATCTCGCGCACCTTCAATCGGCGGTCTGCCAATACGAGATCGTGGATTTTTGTCATGTTATCCTCCGTGGTAGCCGTTTTCGGGACACCTGGGCGTGGCTCATCAAAAACCGACGTGCGACCACGTTGAAACTCGTTAAACCAATTTTTGATGGTCGCCATCGAAGAAGAGTCACCGTACACAGCATCCAAGCGCTCTTTGATTTCGTTGCGCGATTTCCCTTCCAAAAACAAGAATCGAATCACCGACCGATATTGCTCTTTTTCCATTTTTCTAAAATCCGCGGACATGCCCGCTTCCACACGCGGTCAAAACAAAACTACGAGTCCGATTCGGCTGAAATTTCGACAGTAGCCGTCTACGAGAATGTACTACACGATAGTAAATTTCTCTTGCGATAGTGGCGCCATCGGGCGGTGAGGCTAAGTACTTATCGGACCGCCCTCGTATATGTTATATATGTGTTATTTTGTATACAGGGTGTCCGGGATCTTTTAAAAACGCAAAATTGTGGAGATTAATCAGGTCAAACTGAGAACAAAAGTCAAGTACCGTTTTGTAAAAATTGCAATAGTTATTAAGTTATAAATGATTAAAAATGACCATATCTAGAAGCTCTTTTAATTGATAACATGAAAATTTGCGTATTTATTTGTGAAATGTTAAAGGACTTTTTCGTTTGGAATGACCTAATCTACAATTATGTGACGACTATTGTACCTAGCGACAAATTCAAGGTTTAGGGTTCAAAGTTCAATATACTCATCTACCGCTAGACACAATAGCCATCATACTGTAGATTAGGTCATCCTGAACAAGAAAGTCCTTTTACCATTTTACAAATAAAAACGCAAATTTTCAAGTTATCAATTAAAAGAGCTCTAGATGTGGTCATTTTCAATCATTAATAATTTAATAATTATTGCGATTTTTGCAAAATGGTACTTGATTTTTCTCTTCAGTTTGATCTGATTAATCTTCACAATTTTTCGTTTCCAAAAGATCCCGGGCATCTTGTATATTGAAGAATCTCTAAGTTGGCTCATGCTTAAGATATATTCCGACTTTTCCTCATTCGCGACTTTCTCGTCACTTATAAAAAGTTAACATTTTACTTTGCAGAAGAAAATATAATTCGATCACACAACCTGTTCCGATCATCTACTCCAAAGCTCTGCAAAATCTGCGCTTTTCGCCTGATTTTTAGCTCGCTTCGCCTACTCCTCTTATATCTTCCCTCATGCGCAGCCCATGAAATGCGCAAAGATCAATAACGTATGATGCGTGAACTTATTTCCAATAGCTTTCCACGTCACCTGTGAGGTACCATTTTTTGTGTTTTTTTGCACACATCATACGTTACTGAGCCTCATGCGGCTCGTAGGCCGCGCGTGGGAGAAGACGTAAGAGGAATAGCGCAAGGCGAAGCGAGCTGAAAATCGGGCAAAAAGTGCATATTTTGCCGAGCTTTCTACTTTTTTCATCGTATTTACTTACTCATTGCTCAATATTTAATACTCAGTTTCGGAAAATAATATTAATTAATAATATTGTTTAAATAATATGAACGGGACTCGAGCGCCGTTATTCTTCCGCACAGTTAGGCGAAATAGCTGATAACGATTAACGCTATAACGGATCCACGGATCAAATAGTGGGTTTCTCTGTTGCTCGGAAGGTACACCGAACATGTCTTATCCAGCGTTAAGTATTCAATTTCCCCTTTAATCGGCATGGGAGTGACTTCCTTAACCATTAATTTGTTTCACGTAAGTAATACCTACCTCATCCTACCTCAAACCGATCGCATTCGCTTCGCGAATGTTAAATCAACTTAATCCTCTTCTATACTTTAACTTCAGACTCTACAAGCCATACTGGGCCTGACCGATATGAATGATTTGATATTACCTGTGTTCTACGTCATCATGCATTTTATATACATCTTTGTGATGAATTACGGCGGACAATTGATTACCGATCACAGCGCGGACATATTAAAAACACTGTTAGTATAGAAACGTGGGTCACAAAGTTCCCTCCAGCTCGAATAACTAAATATCAACTAAATATCAAATAGATTTTCAAAAATAATATGTACAATGTACAGCAGAGCTTAGCAAATCTACACATTCCGGCCGATTTTCAACTCGCTAATTTGCCTAGCACTATTCCTACATAAAAAAAAATGCGTCAGCAATATCCCATGAGTAACGTGGAAAGTTACTGGAAACAAGTTACTGGAAACGTCGTACGTTACTGAACTTCGCGCGGTTCGTTGGCTGTACGCGGGAGAAGGGAGAGAAGTAAGGGAGACTTCACAGCTAGGGAAAAAACAGAAAGCAGAACCATCAGAATACTTCCTCCTCACCTCTCTCTCTCTCTCTCTCTCTCTCTCTCTCTCTCTCTCTCTCTCTCTCTCTCTCTCTCTCTCTCCCCCCCACCCCTCCCCTCCCCTATTCCCTTCCCCTTCCTCCTCCCTTCCCTCCTCCCCCTCCTCCCTCCCTCCCTCCCTCTCCTTCTCCCTCCCTATCCCGCCCTATACATATTCTTCCCCTCTCCCGTCCCCTTTCTCCTTCTTACTCTTTCCCTTCTGTCGCTCCCTTTCTCCCTTTCTCTCTCTCTCCCACCCCCCCTCTCTCTCTGAAGAGAGAGATACAGATTATCAACGTGATTTCTGATTAGTTCCTGCCTTTCTGCTTTCTGCTTTTCTGCCCAGGTGTATCCCTGAAGGAGAATTCACACCTGAGCAGAAAAGTAGAAAGCTGAAAGGCAGCGTCCAATCAGAACTCGCGTCTGTCTCTCAAGAAAAAGATAGATTACTAACGCAACTTCTGATTGGTTTCTGCCTTTCTGTTTTTCTGCCTAGGTGTGAATCCTCCCTAAGGGCGCATTCACATCTGGGCAGAAAAGCAGAAAGCAGAACAGCAGAAGCCAAGAGACACAGAGGAAAACTTGCCATTTGTGATTGGCTGTTGCCTTTCTGCTTTCTGATTTTCTGCTCAGGTGTGAATGCGCTCTAAGAGAAATAGCGCAAGGTGGGACAAACTGAAAGTCGGTCAGAATGTGCAGATTTTACCGAGCTCTGACTTACATTATATATATACAAGTAGCTATGCAATAGTGACTCACGTTGGACGTGAAATTTCAGATATGAGGTACAGTGGTACGTAGCGCCTATACACGTCCAGAAATTAATTCTTTTTCTAATGCTCAAAAATACTAAAAGCTATGGGTTAATCATCGGAGGCATATATGTCGCCTCTCTGGAAGGTTTCGTCACGGTGAGACAATTTGTAGCGCCAGTAGTTTACCAGGTATGTCGGTAATTACTTTCCGGTTTTTGTAACAGATGTCACTAGCCATAAGTATGCAATGTTATGATTTGATACATATATCATTTTATTCTACTGACATTAACCTCAAAACTACACAAGTTACGTTCCGCCAAAATAACAGCGTTATAGATTAATAATTTTTTGAAAATGTCGAGTTTTGTGCCTGAAAACGTGCATTTGCGGCACGCATTACTTTTCTTGTTTAATCAAAAGAAAAATGCCGCTGAAAGTCATGCTTTGCTGGTAGAGACTTACGGTGAGCATGCTCCAACCATAAGAACATGTGAAACGTGGTTTTGACAATTCAAATGTGGTAATTTCAACATTCAAGACAGAAAACGTCCTAGTAGGCCGCAAACGTTTGAAGATGCGGAATTGCAGGAGTTATTGGATGAAGACCCAACACAAACTCAAAAACAATTGGCAGAAAAGTTGAATGTGAGCCGAGTAGCAATTTGTGAACGATTACAAGCGATGGGAAAGATCCAAAAGATGGGAAGATGGGTGCCACATGAATTGAATGACAGGCAATTGGAAAATCGAAAAATCGTCAGTAAAATGCTGCTTCAAAGGTATGAAAGGAAATCATTTCTGCATCGAATAGTAACGGGTGATGAAAAATGGATTTATTTCGAAAATCCCAAGCGAAAAAAGTCATGGTTATCACCTGGCGAAGGCGGCCCATCGACTGCAAGGCCAAATCGCTTTGGTCGCAAGACCATGCTCTGTGTCTGGTGGGACCAGGTTGGTGTCGTATATTATGAACTGTTGAAACCTGGAGAAACAGTTAATACTGATCGCTACCAATAACAAATGATTAATTTGAACTGTGCATTGATCGAAAAACGTCCACAATACGCTCAAAGACATGATAAGGTGATTTTGCAGCATGACAACGCGCCGTCTCATACAGCAAAACCAGTCAAAGAAGTGTTGAAATCACTTGGATGGGAAGTTTTATCGCACCCGCCGTACTCTCCAGACCTGGCTCCATCCGACTAGCACCTTTTCGCATCGATGGGGCACGCGCTTGCAGAGCAGTACTTCGCCGATTTCGAAGAAGTTAAAAAATGGCTCGATGAATGGTTTAGCTCAAAGGAGAAACAGTTCTTTTGGAATGGCATCCATAAATTGCCTGAGAGATGGGCAAAATGTATAGAATCAAATGGCCAATACTTTGAATAAATATATTTTAACTATCCATTGTAAATAACGTGTTTTCTTTAGCGAAAAAACCGGAAAGGAATTACCGACACACCTGGTATATGCTACACGCTCTTCGTTACTTTTAATCTCGTTAATGCAATTATACCGCACATTTTACTTTGATATTCTTGAGATTATTAGCGATATTCCTGTGTCACGGTTTAGTTTCTTATAGATATAGTATACTTAGATCGGGAGATAAGAAAGATAATAGAGATAAGAAAGCTCTGTGCAAAAGCGATAAGAGAATAAGAAATTACACGATTTTAGCTTACGAGTATGTCGATATCCTACTTCATGGTGATCTACTCCACGCAATAACGATGCGAAATGCGATAGAAATGATTATAGTGGCTCACGCGCGAGATACGCTCGAATTATTAACGATGCTTTAGCGGAATGATAAGATCAAGAGCGAGTGAGTCTTCGTCTAAAAGTAGTGTGTGCGCGTTGAATATCCGACAACACGGTAAAGTGATGAAGTCGCAGCTTCATCTCTCACGGCGAGCGTATTTTGTAAAATAAAAATTTTAACACGATGGTTCGTTTACAGTTATAATTTTGAGAAACTCCTTGTGTAATTTTGTTTCACGACATTTCACGAGCTACCGTCTGGAGAACCAACTGTCACCTTTGAGATCTATTCGTTTCGCATTTGTTCGCGTACGCGTTTTTATACCCGACGTCTTTGAGGAATTATTTCATGGATTTCTCACATCAAGAGAGTGCGGATCTCGGCCTAGAGTCTTGAACAATAATGGAAGGCAACAAACAATGGTCAGAGGGAAATTACTTAGAAATAAGACCGTCAAACTTGAAATTGCTGAGTATTGAGACAAAATTACACGTAATTACGCGTTGCAGCCGGTCACGTTGTTTATTGCGTCGAACGTAGATATTCCCTCAAATTAACGTCATTAATTCGCATTGAGGACTGTACGTTCACTATTTCCGCATAAAAATGCGAAATAACAAGAATTTGCATACGTAATGCGTAATTACATAATGCGACATGAAAGAAAGAAAGGAAGGGAACATCGATCCCTGCACGTAGTCGAGTTTTGGCATCCGAAGAGAGATGTTTCCCATCGTAAGTAAGTACTATGATCTGAACCGAATGCTTTTGCTAGCGAGCGGCCTATGGCCTTATCGGAAGTCAAAGTCAAAATTCCGACACGTTCATGCTGCGTCCGTCCTCGTCGTTATACTGTCGTTCATAGTGTTCCAGGTATGAGCTCGCGCTCACGACACGAAAGCGCGTTCCGTGAAAAATTAAGAAATAGAGAAAGAAAAGAAAAACTCGTTTTCAAGTATAATATGCATCGAGAGGCCCCGCGTGATGAAAGAGAACGTGTACATGTGAAAGTAACATTTCAGTTGACGGTACTGATCAACACGGACTGCACCATAAACTTAGTCACAAAAGTGCTATCGATCGTTCTTCTCATGTTCGTGTGCGTTTTAAAGTACAACATATTCTTCTTCAACGCCGATAAAGTAAATAAAAGCTCTTTTCCACACCGCACCATTACTGTCCTGTCTTGCAAAATTAAACGAGACCACACGTTCGCAACCGCAGATGAAGTTACTCATGGACCTGATGTGGTACCACTGGACCATAATACAGGATAAACGGGAGATCGCGATACTGGAGAAGCACAGCCGTTTCACGCGACGATTTACGATGGTCATGACACGTAAGGATGACGTTTCGCGTCTCTCTGCGAATCCTTATTCTCAGCGCGACGTTAAAACACGCCAGATCTAATTACACGCAATTCCCGTCAGAGATCTTCTCCTTGGGGATATGCGTCGTAGCCGCAGGCCATTGTCTACCAGCAATCCTTGACATTATAGTGCCATTGAACTCATCCCGGCCGCGACATTTTTACATTTTGATGGAATATTTCGTCGATCAAGAGAGATATTTCCTACCGATTCTTTTGCACGTCATCGTGTCTTTGTCAGTAGGATCTATAATAATATTATCCGTTGGGACAATGATCATGGCTTACATGCAACATGCGTGTGCAATGCTGAAAATCGCGAGGTAATATGAAATTGGTATCTAAACAGGGTACTTGATCGAAAACGCTTACATACAAAATACAAACGCTTACATACAAAATACAGTATCTTAAAAACAATTGTTGATAGAATGTGAATGTCAACAGTGAAATCTCTGTCTCTTACTTGCTAAGATATAATCGGGTAAGCTCGGAAGTTGAAGAGATTGTTTTGAAAGTTGTCTAAATGTTGTCATTCTGCAGCTTTCGTATTGGAAACGCGGTACCGGATTCTGCGCAAACGTCATTTTCCCGTAATGATGTAATTTGCGAGAGAATTATCAGCGGAGTGCAAATTCATCGAAAGGCCATAGAGTTGGTATCTTCCGGTCAAATAGTATGATAATGAATAGTATGATAATTTAATTCGAGAAAAGAAAAATATCTTATAAATAATGCAATTTTATAAATATTAATTATGAATGATGCAATCGTGTTTCTACCGTGACTAAATTAAATTTTGTTTCGTTGTTGAAGGTTTATCGATTTGATCTTATCTAATTTCAAAGTGCCCTTTTTCTTTGTAATGTCCGCGGGAGTGGCTTCGATAGCGTTTAGTATTTTACAGGTGAGCACGAGTTTTCACGGGTCAGAATAATTAGTTGGAAGTATAATTTTGCAGCAAAGCTACATTAAATCGAGAAAATATATGATATTTGTAACACAAACTAAATCTAAATTTATACTTAAAAACTTAATTCCAGGTTTTTGTTGCGTTGTTGGAAAAGGATATGAACGAGATAATAATAACTATTATATTTGTTATTGTACAATTCTTCTATATGTACATAGGAAATTATGCCGGGCAATTAGTTGCAGATCATTACATCGAAGTATTTGATGTAGCGTAAGTAATGAGAAATTGTCAATGAGTTTGCAATATACAACACAAATTCTAGTACGTTTTAAATTTCTCATTTGCTTTACGCACGATTGAACGCGTCCGATTATATGTCGATTAACTAATACTTTACATTCTCTTAGCATTGATTTACGGAGACGTGATGCATTTAAAAAATATACGCTCGAGAAAATGCTAAGAGAATGCAATCTCTATTAAATTTGAGTACAAATATAAAATGCGTGCAAAATCGAAATATAACGTATAACAATTTACGATCGATGCAATTTACGATCCAAATTATCATGAATAGGTACTGCTCGTACTGGTATGTGGCACCGTTGCGCGCGCAGAAATTCTTATTGTTCATAATGCAGAGAACCACGAAAAACTTTTACTTCGTTTTCGGAGGGATATTCATGGTGTCACTCAAAGGCTTCTCCACGGTAACGAGCACGACTGTCAAAAATAAAACCATCTTAATTAATTAATTAATTGTTACAAGTAATTATATCCAAACTCAGATTTTCTTATAATTCATGGAAACGTTAATTTGCAGCTCGCAAGCATGTCGATATCTTATTTCACTGTTATATATTCGTTCGTCTATACGAGATGATTGATCTGTCACTGAAATTTGATGTCCGTAAAATCGTACGAGCGATTTCGATGTTATTGATATATCTTAGATTTCAAATAATTTGTCTTTATTGTATAATTATTTCACACGTAAGTAATTCTTATTCTTTTCCTTAATACTCTCCTATATGTATTGTTTGAAAAATCATATTATGTATAATACTTATATATTAATATGTAATATAATTGCAATTCTCGAACTTTGAAAATATAGAATTTACACATTGTATTGCGCTGTATACACTTGCATTATATGTTTTATACATATAATTCATTCATACAAAACTATGCATTCATTAGACAGCTTACGGTTAAACCCAAGTCTAACTCGGGGTAAGAATTACTACTTTCAGGTCCGTCAATTTTGATCCGTCATTTTGAATTTTGCAATAATAACCTTAAATTTGAAATCAGCACTTTCGAAAACTATTATAAAACACGAAAATAAATATTTTCTTCCGCAGAAAAGATCTAATCATTTTGATACTAATTTCTACCAATAAATAGAACTGCAAGAGGGTTATAATAAATACTATAATAAGTATTATAATGAGAGAAGTAAATATGTACTTTATTACGTATTCAGTATGAATGTCTTTTCATGGAACCAATAATATCTCCAAAGTTGTCTTTATTTGTTTAATAAGTTAATAATAATGAATTTATGCGCGAATAAAATATTCTACATCTTATGAGAATCAACGCAAGAGAGAATACCACAAGTGCAACGTCCGATAACCGGAGCAAACGATGAAAATGTCATATTTACAACATCGATACGTTATTCGAATTTTTTTGTAGAAAAATAACACAAGAAACATGCACCTTCTTTGCTTACATGTAATCAAAAATTCCGTGTATAATTTCACAATTCACTCTCTTCCCGTCACCGTTCGTTTCTCCTTGTTACACACTGTTGGATCCAGTTTTTCCAATTTTGAAAGAACAAATTTGAAACATTACGTGAAATGTATGTGGTACAAAGATGTCTACGTGATATACGACGCTGTTGTGAATCAAATCAAACTGCGATGAAGCAAGTCGAGCCATTCGCGATAAGCTCGGTCTTCGCACTTGTATCAACGCACGAGAAGGTATCCATTTCCAGAGAAAATTTACATGACAATATTATTGCTCTAATTTCGACATTACCTTAATAACTTATTTCCATTTCACAGCGAGCCCGGAAAAGCAATTGAAGACGATCGATCCTCTTCATATATGCGTACTTGCCGACAATGTCGTGTTTTACACTTATTGCATCTGTTATGCGTTTCATGAAAATGATCACTTTGTAAATTACGTTGAAATCTTAAGAAAAAGAAGGTCCATTACGTCTTTAATTTTGACTACGTGAAGGGAGAGCACGAAATTCCTTGCGCGTCGCGCCTGTTATACGCGTTTTAGCTTTTGCCGACGATGGACTTCGCCGGAAAACAATATTATAAGCTAAATCGGCTCCTTCTATTAAGTCTCGGCTTGTGGCCTTATCAGAATTCAATTCTAAAAAAAATTCAAATAGTCTTTTTTCAGACGTTATTCCTATCTTTTTTCTTACCTCAGGTACCAACTGTGGTTTTAGTTTTGTTTTAGTTTATATTTTTAGTATTTTATTCATCCATGTGAATAAATTTGACAGTTGTTGAACATAATATTAATGATACAAATTTATAATATATGTGTCGTTCAGTGGACAATTTTTATATAACACTTGCATAAACTAATTGTTCACATTTCTTTTTGTACTATAATCTTTCAATGAAAGTGCTTTCAGCTTAACACGTTTTTCGTAAGACAATATAATATAGATCTTTTCATCAAAGTTATGGTGTTTATGGTGGTTAATAGCATTTACATTATAAAATATAATGCATTCCTCCTATTCACCGATAATGTAAGTTGTTGCTTTTAAGCACTTAGCTGTGTGTGTGTAATTAATATTTACAGTAGTGTAGTTAATATTTATGTGCATACATTATTCGAAATAAGATTGTGAATAATATATTACTATATTATTATATTTTTACTTTCAACTGCCTGCAAAATTTTTCATGTTTACTAAAAACTACTACAACGTCAAATAAATTAAGCTGTCGTAATCAATGTTACACATAATGAATGTATGTCAATTATAATGTGACATATAATTTTTATTTCAGTTTTCACTTTTTTTTATTTTTTTAATAGTATGGCTGTTTTTCCGTCATAGTTTGAGTAAGATTTTTCAGAGTAAAATAGCCAATATAATCGACATATATTAGCATCAGTAATTGTGCAACCGGAAAACTATCGATATTCCACGTAGTCAATAATTACCGATAAAAATCTACAATATCATAAAGTAAAGTAAATATGTGAAATTATAAGTTCTTTTATTTTTGCAAAATGTTAAATATATTTGTAATATAAAATATAATATAAAATTTAATATAAAATGTATAATCAACTGTCCTATAAAGCTACATGGCACCTTTTCCTCAAAAATCAAATAAGATAACCAGTGCTCAGGTTTCAATATTTGCTTATGTTTTAATATATATAAATTTAATATAAAATTTCTATTAAGTATTTTCTTTTTAACTTTGATAGTATTATATATTTTAAATTTCAGTAAAGTAATATGCCAAGCATTGTTAAAAAATAATAAAACTAAGAATATATATTTTGGAATTTTAAAAATCTATGGCCATTTTACACGAGTTATCCTACAGATAATAGAAATTGACTGACATGAAATGTTAAATGATAACATAACACGAAAAATAAAAAATTCTTACAAAGTACAAACAACTATATTTGCTTTTATTCGTAGATCAGATATATCTTCGAGAGAATTCAGCGCGACTGGAATATGTTAAAAAGTCAAGCTGAACTGAAAATAATAAAAAAATACGCAAAGAACGCGAGATTGTACACGATCCAATTTTTTAGTAAGAATTCAGACCAAAAGTCATCGACCGCATCACAATTTTCAGTTCTTGTCTCTGACACGCATACTTTTGCACGCTTTACGACATACTTGCATGCATTTCCATTTAAATATTCCTCAGAAGTTATTTAGATTACAAACGCTTCCCTTTTTATTTCTTTTACCATCTTAAAAAATTTCTCATTGTTAAAATTCTTTGCAAGAATTGCAAGAATTTCCAAATCACGCGTCCGCATGACTCTAATGCATTAAATTCGTAACAATGTAACCTCCTTTCATACTTCCACGAAATATATATAGTGTAATCTGCATGCTTCAGCCTTGGTCATTTTCTTTATGCTGTCATACATAGTGCTAAATTGTATACCGATTATACTCAATGTGATCGTACCTAAGAACGAATCTCGTTCGCGACCGATTCTGATAACAATGGAATTCTTCGTCGATCAAGACACGTATTTTTACGCTATTTTAACGTATAGTTTCTTGATTAATTACGCCGGTTGCGTCACAGTTGTGGCTGTTGCAACGATTCTCATCGCGTATGCACTACACACCTGCGCTCTATTCAAAATCACCAGGTAACGCAAAAGCAATCCTTCTGAATTTTATGCTTTTGATTTTATACAAGAGAACTGACGAACTTAACCATCGTATTTTTTCGACAGTTACCGTATAGAACAAATATTCGACAAGAGCGTGTTGCAAGAGCCGGAGAACATTAAGCAACATATATTTTACGAGAAATTAATTTACGCCGTGTACATTCACCGCAGAGCTATGGAGTTAGTACTGACATGCTTCTTTCTTTTGTTGCGCTCGAAGTCTGACCTGCGAGGACAATTTGCCAATCCAGAATAGTTCTCGTGATTAATAACGTTAATAATTTTGATGCCTATTGTTCTAAAAATATTTATAAGTGTAAAGAAATAAAAAATAAAGAGAAAACAGTGAAACCTGTATTGTCAATTATTACTTGAAACTTGTCTCCTATAAAATTCTCAGGTTCAAATTTAGTATTAGATCTGAGTTTCCCAGTTGAACAGCACGTTATTATGTGTAAGATTATATTACATTATTTTCCGTAATCACAGTTCAATTGAAAAATTCACATCCAGCTGCAAATTCAAGTCCGTGCGCCTCACTTGAGACAAATTTCAAGTAATGATCATTGATGCGAGTGATAGAAAGTGAAACTTTTCTTCTTGAATACGATATCCAAGAACCCTCGCAAAGAAGGATCAAGCGCAAGGGATCTGAATGTCGTATGACAATGAATCCATAATGAACGACGCATTTTGTTGAAGTTTGGCTAACATCCTGACGAACAGTTTCACGATCTTCTATTTCGTATTGTTAGGATTTGGTGTGGCTTTGATGAGCTTGTCTCTCTATCATGTAAGTGCAGTTTGTAACACGAAGAGCACACAGTACTTAGCATTTATTCAAGTACCCCGATCGTTTCTCGAGAATGCACTTACTGGAGACAATGTAATTAGGAAATAATGCTCATTTGGCACGCAGTTATACAACGCGCTGATACTGATGGTTGATCCATTCGAACTATTGATGTCCTCTGGCATTATAACTTTGGAATTGTACTATATATTCCTGGGAAACTATGTCGGGCAGGACGTCATAGATACGAGCACTGAGATTTGTGAGATTACGTGAGTACCACACGTCATAATTATTTGTATTATTATATCGTTATTAACTCTTTGTGGACGTGTATCTGCGGGCAGCAGCCCAAGCATTTTAACAAAATTGTAAATTAACAGAAGCAATAATCATATTAGGACTATATAAAAGTTTTCATTGTTCACGTATAAATAGCATTGTGAATCATTTACATGAAAGTTGTGCGACACATTTTTGTTAGATTATGTCAGTATTATAGGTCAACCTGTATAGAAACTGATGCATAATAAGTCGTATTCATTTTTACATAATCATTTTTAATTCGTATGAAGATGGAAGTCGATAAGATGCATATTCGTTATTGTATATTTTTTTATTTTATCAGCGCAAAACAGCTGTCAAAGCAATCAGAATCATATACGAAATTTATGGTGAGAGATCGATAGGTGAAAGTTCATGTCGTGAGTAATTGTAGCGCTTTAAAAGTGATTATTTTGATTTAAAAGGTAAGGAACGTGCCGGGCGACCGCAAGAGATGAGTTCGGATGACTTGGAAGCGTTATTGCAAGAAGATTCGACTCAATCGAATATAGAATTTGCGAAAAAGTTACATGTTAATCAGAGCACTGTAATTCAACACTTGCATAAGATGGGGAAAATTCTGAAGGAAGAAAAATGAATTCTCCATGAATTATCCGAGAACGCTATTGCCAGCCGAGTTACCATTTACCTTTCGCTGCTCAATAGACACAAACATAAGTCTTTTTTGTATCGAATTGTGATCGGAGACGAGAAATGGATTTATTATGATAATCCCAATCGCAAAAGATCGTGGCTAAATCCCGGAGAATCCTCTACGTGGGTAAATCTCAGAGAATTCTTTACGTCCCAGCCAAAACGAAATATCCATGATTATAAAATCCTCCTATATATCTGATGGGACATGCAAGGAGTGTTGTATTATGAGCGGTTAAAACTACTATCGCGGAATTATATAGTCGACAATTAAAGCAGTTGAATGAGTAATTGATCGAGAAACGACCATATTTTGCGACAAAGTAAAACAAAGTGATTCTTCTGCATGACAATATCAGGCTCCATGTTGCATTGACGACCCAGGAAACTTTAATGGAATTGCAATAGGAAGTCCTACCATACCCGACATATTTTCCAGATATTGCCCCATCGGATTTTCATTTATTTCGTTCTATGCAACACAGTCTTTCTGGTATACGAGTTCGCAACGTTGAAGAAGTGCAATAATTCATCGACAACTTCATTCATTCTAGGAGCAAAGATTTCTTTGATCGTAGTATTCACCTTTTGCCTGAAAGATGGCAAAAAGTAGTAATGTCGAAAAATATTTTGATTAAAAATGCTATGTCATTTATAATAATATTAATAAAAAACATTGCCTTAAAAACGATGGAAACTTTTGCATGCCCCTAATAATAATGAAACTATTAAAACTTGTGTCCGAATTGATTTTATTATTATATTATTGTTATTATTATTGATATTATTGTTTCTATTAATTTACAGTTTTGTTAAAATGCTTAGGCTGCTGTCCGCAAAGAGTTAATACAGAAAACACATACGTTTGCCGGCACATTTTCGCGCACATTAACGCATTTTTGGGGACTGAAGTGCTTGTTGCATAGTATTGCACAATACTCGTTAAATCGTATTTCGCTAAACATATACAAATTCACAAAATTACGAAAATTAAGAGACTGATTAGACCAATCGTCGATCTAACGGTACTACATCGATGTCGTCTGTATCAGCAGATATAGTATCCCATGGCATATAGCACCGCTGTGGATGCAGAAATCGTTACTGTTCGTAATGCAAAGGAGCGGCAGAAGGAGCGCTTTAACGGCTGGTGGTTTGTTCCAAGCATCGTTAGAAGGTTTCGCTATGGTGAGTTCAAGAACACCACGAAATGATTACATTTTCGAACGAGTATCGCGTAAAGAGAGATTATTAATTGCAGCTTATGAGCGCATCTATATCCTACGTCATGCTCCTTCTCTCAGTACGAACACAACAGAAAAAACCATCAGAAGAATTATAGACGCATTTTATTAATCAGTTAAATTGACATGTTCAAAGTATGTATGTTCAAAGTATATGCTTGCGGCACATATTACGTGTTACCTCCTTGCAAAAATACGTTGAAGTAAATTTGATCGAACATCTCTTCTCGCTCGAGATTACTCCCATTACACGCAGTCCGCGGTTAATTAAGTGTGAAATATTTCTTTCACGTTAACAAATGATATCGATAATATCAGTTTTGATTATCAAATTTAAGTCGATAAATGTATACGCGATATTTTTATTAACAGAAATAAATATGCGATATTTCCACATGTATTATATTAAATCTATCATGTGATACAGATTAAGCAAACTTTTCCGGTAGAGACGTTTGTCCTGCCATGCGAATATGCAAAATGAATGATTCACTTTTTGATATCTCCCATAACTATTTCAGCGATATGCAGAAATGACTATTTTGTAAACACAAGTAAGAACTTCACGATTATCTTCACAGTTCAACGGTTTGAATAACAATGAGAACATGTGCCAAAATTGTGCGACAGTCGCGCGTGCGCCAATTCTATTGGACGGTAATGAATAATAAAAGCGAGCATGTGTTTCCCTCAACATACTTTACGTAATTCGCGCTCATCATCGCGTCCCCTTTTTTCTCTACCGCCATCTTTTAAGTTAATTCGTGAAATTTGCGAGGGTAACGACGATCGATAATAAATGCTAGTGGAAAAAAGAAAAGAAAATGTAAGACCCTCGGCACGCGACATACACTACGGGATCTTCGAAGTGAGATGAACTTTATCTATCAGCATTACTACACAGCTAATCGAATCCTTCTCGAAATTATGGGATTATGGCCGTACAACAATTCGGTATTTGTGCATATTTACAGAGTAATCCTATTTACGATCTTTGCGTCTTCTTCCGTTACTCAGGTAACGACTCAGTTCGACTTTATGTGTTGGCGTCTGATATTTATCGAAGAATTGGAAAAATTATATAAGATACAAAAATTTATGAGAAATAACTTATGAATATTATATAAGAGAAATTAATGTCGAGCTACATTACACAAATTATACGTATGTAATTTTGCATTTTTGAAATCGGTGATTCAAATTACTTGAGAAATTTTTTGCGGGATCTAATCTATGGGATCTAAAATTTTCATATTATTTCGATGGACAGTTCGCGAAATTGCACAGTACCATACACGATTTTGATCGCTTCCTATATAATCTGACGTATGCAGTGCCTTCTCTCATTTATATCCTGAAATTTCTCACCTACATCGTTTACAGTAACCAGGTAAGTTCATGAATAATTCGATTATCGATACATTGTACTCTCTCTTGATCGTTAGAAAACAATTAATTTAGTCTGAAATATAATACTATTCCGCTCATATGTATATTAGTTTCAACATTGTTAGGTTAAACAACTGATAGAGCGAATACAGCACGACTGGGATATATTCAAGGACGAGAAAGAACGCGAGATTATACGCTGTAATGCCACAAGCGCAATGCGATACACGATAGCTTTGTACGGTAATTCACTTTCGAATGTTGTAGATGTACCAAATTGTGAATATTCATACGAATGAACGTACACGTGTAGAACTACATATGTGAAGGAAAGTAAGAATCAACCCCCCAATAAACGCAATGGCACAACATTGTTTCAGTTATGAGTTTTTTCGCACTGTTCGGCTATGTCGTCATGTTATATCTTCCGACCTTCCTCGATCTCGTTTACCCCTTGAACGAATCTCGTCCGAAAAAATTGCCCATCTTATCGGAATATTTCTTTCTCGACGAGCAAGACTATTATTACCCCCTTCTGGTGCACCAGTCGATGGTAATTGCATTAGGCATAACCATAGTAATTGTTACCGAGACAATGAACATGGTGTGCATTCAACACGGTTGCGGACTGTTTGAGATAACCAGGTAAACGTAGTTGATATAATTCCCGAAATTTTAATATATACATTTTATAAATTTATATAATATAAATTTTAATGTATAATGTATATATTGAAATAACATAGTCGCATTTTTGTGTATGTGTGTGTGTGTGTGTGTATGCGTGCATGTGCGCGCGTGTGTGTGTGTGATGTGTGTAATCATATCGCTTATAGTTACCGTTTGAAACACGTTTTCGACAACGAGATATTTCCGTCCGACCTATCCGACTACGAGAAATACAGCATAATTCACTCGAAGATCATCAAGGCCGTAATGATTCACAAGAGAACTATCGAGTGAGTACACGAATCACGGCAGAAACGTGAAACGTCTCAAGTTTTTTGCTGGGAAATCAGCGCGTAGATCTCTCCTAAGAGAAAAGTTTTTCCACCGCGAGAAAGATGATCACGTCACTCCGTGTTCCTCGCAATCGATACGCAAGCATGATTTTTCACCGCTAATTAAGGTTTTTAGATTACTTCAAGTCGACTTTTAACCCGTCCTACATGATCTTGCTCATACTCGGCGTAGCCAGTATTACCATCAACCTGTTTCGTGTAAGTCATCATGTTATTTTTACCGGATAAGTAGTATATCTTTTTGTACCGTTTCGCAGTACAATCATACGGTTGTAAACATGACGTGTGACGTCCGTTTTATCGCTTCTCAGCTATTACAGGCCGTCACAGTGATGAACGATTGGGAGGAACTAATGGCATCCGGATCTTTCGTTCTAGGCCAATATGGCTACATGTTTACTATCAATTATTTTGGCCAGAAATTAAACGACCGTAGCTTCTATGTGTTCAAAATGACGTATGTTTTTACAAATGATACGCCATAAGTGTGTGTAACATTAATCACATATTTCAACGAGAAGTTTAGTAAGAATAAAAGTAAAGTAAATAAAAATATGTATTTTTCGACTGCGATTGCGCAGGTACGAAGCATCCTGGTATACGGCACCAGTACAAGCGCAAAAATTTCTCATATTAATGCAGCAGAAAATGATCAAGGGTTACATATTGAATATCAACAGTTTGATTACAGCGTCACTGGAAACCTTCGCATCGGTAATAATATTTTTTGGCCGTCACAATTTCGAACAAATAATCAACTGAGAAATAACTTTATCATATAATCGTGCTAACGCGAATCTCATAAACAAACACAACACGCACACTGCATAATAATGCAATATGACAAATTTATTCATTCATTTCTTTTATTTTTTTTTGTTTCTGATGTCATACCTTTAATTATTTCTTCCAGCTAACGAGCATGACGCTGTCATATCTCACTGTGATCTATTCCGTACGTTGAGATCGAAACAGACCGTGAGTCTAATTCTAGTAATCGATACAGAAAGTTGTATCAGCAGCACTCATGAGACAACTTATTCTCGTAGAATAAAATACATTCGCTATTAGTAAACATCACATGAAAAAAAAAACACCCCTGTATATTTTATATGCAATATCGTGCATTCCACCTTGTATGTAGACCAAAACATAATTTCTTTAATCTCTTATCATTTTGCGGGTTATTGATTTTCATACAAAGTAAGCATGCTTGCTAGAAAATGTTTTCGACACTTTGCTGTTTTATTCCCTTTTTTGTTTTTATCCTAATTTAGTACGTTATAGAAATTAATTTTAATCGATAGCTTAAACATCTCTTTTTTGTGACATATGAAACAACATCTTTCATTCGTACACTGCAATTTTGCATGATGCTCGTAACATTGTAAGGGGACATGACGAAAAGCTGCTTGACATGTACAATAGAATAAAAGGGATAGAAGTCAAAATTATCGCGCAATATATTTAAATATTTAAATCCTCCAAAAATATCTTTAATCCAAATAACTCTGTCGTCCTTAAATCTAAATAAATCTTTTCACACAGATATATTGTTATAACAATTGAAGTCATATTCACTTGTCAATCTCGTTGCATAAATCAAATTGATTGAATCGCTGACACGTTAAAATAATTTTTAGACCACCGTATTTTTATGTTATTCATAATCAGATATTGAGCTATTGAGAAATTGCAGTCTGAAAATAAGATATAGTTTCGCCTGACTCGGATATTTTCCTATTTCTCACGGTAAGAATGCAAGAAAAATCCTTTATAAATGCTTTATCTTCACAGTATCATCAAATAAATTAATCAAAATGTTTCCATGTTTCATAATTAAATTATTACGAAGGAAGAATTAATCTATTCTCGACTAGTATATTTCTAAGAGAAAATATATTTCTAAGAGAAAATCAATCTTTCTGGTAAGGAATTTATGGAAAATCGCGATATTCTTATTTAAATACATTTATTCTCCGCATATTTACCTCAACACTTTCCACACTCTGCTCGTTTCAATCAAAACTCAGTTAAGTCACCAAGTATTTGAACTACAATATTCTGAAGTACAATATTACAACTCACGAGAAACTGCATCAGAAGTGAAAAAGGAAGAGAAAACAACACAAACCACATACACATATATACACACACACACACACACATACACGTATATACACAATTCACTGAAAAATTCCAACTCGACGCGCGACTGACTGTGTCACGAACTGGCGACATTCAAACGTATCGCGAACGTGCCGTCAGTATTTTCGTGGTTGGTGACGCCACGAAGACACAGCTGTTTCACGACGACGTACGAAAGCAAAGCGATGCTCTTCGCACGACGGTTCATGCGACATTGAGGAAAATATCGCATATGAAAAGCATTGCTCGCTATTGCGCCCGCGCTGCGCCGCGACGTCGACGTTGGCGCCGACACCCCACCGCATTGTTACGCCAGGTAAAACATTATGGCTTTTACCACGTGCGATATTTTTACCGCACGGGAGATCTACAGGGTACTCTATATACTTTGACCACCTGAGATATTTCTGTCGTGTTTAATGATACAAAAATATGCCTGCAGAAAAAGTTACGTTAGTTAAAAGTTTAAGTTAGTTCTAAGGAGTAATTATGACGATAGGAACTTTTTTCTTAATATCATTTTTTCAAAAATTTTAAGATTAAGATTAGTTTTTTTTTTCTTTTTTTTTAAATGGAACCATATATTTTTATATGAACGATCTTAAAACCGACATTGAATCAATTTCAGCCAGGTATAACGATATAACCTACAAATAATTTTTAACATAGAAAATACATATGTATGTTCGAGGAAAATAGAAAAATAAAAAAATGTCTGCTTTTACAAAGATTTATTTTATAAAAGATGTTCAGAGTAATGTGCATTGACTTCAACATTTTTAAATGCAAAAAATACGTTTTTCATTTCACGTTTTCCATTATTTCTGGCATGATGATAAAATTATACATGTTTGCAAAATTTGTTCTCGCATGTTGCATTGTTGTAGAAGCATAGTCAAAGATCTTATTTTCATAAGAAATTTTTCTTTTTTAATTAATGAAATTTTAGATCTAATTAAGCTGATCGACAAATTCTAGCATCTGTTAAAAACCATAAATTTTTTATTTTTCCATTTTCCTTAAACATTTGTATTTCTCATGTTAAAAATTAACTGTAGGTCATATTGCACATTGCTATATTGCTGAAATCTACTCGACACCGACTATAAGATCGTTCAAACAAAAATGTATAATTCTATTTCAAAAAAAAGATCTTAATCTTGAAATTTCTTAAAAAATTATCTTGAGAAAAAATTGTTTTTATCATCAATTTTCCTTTTCTTCTTTTCAGATATTTTTTTCATATTTCGTATCAAATGTAACAAAAATATTTCAGGTGGTCAAAATATACGAAACATCCTATATAAATGAATGTACCGACAGATGAATAATAGCATTATTTAATAATAGGGAGTAAACCGGATATATCGATAAACAAATATCTATATATACAAATATATATTTGTAATTGTATAACAAATATGTCGAGCCTGTAATAAATAGGTGTGCTCATTTTTCAGTTCTTTTAGTCAGTCCAACAATAGTATTAAATAATAAACACAGCGGTGAGATATTCCTAAGAGAATGTTCATTCAGATATATTTTTAAAATATATACAACACGAATTTTGCAGCACTGAAACCGCTCACTGCAACACGAAACGCACGCATCAACAACTCGGCAAACTATGAAAAAGAACTATACCACCCGACATAAGATAATCACACCTTCATAAAAAGAATTGATATTCTACATTACGCAAATTAGTGAATTTTTCTGCATACGCTACTTTCGTTTATACTTGCAATTGAACACTATTGTGAAATACATACACGTTGTTTTCATCTATTTTATTTTAACATCTAGACGATTGTGCAAATTGTCAAAATTATCAAACGCGTCCCACATTCATTGTATCAACAAGCGAGGTGTAACTCAGTGAGAGTTGAAATAAACGAGAAGAAAGGTAGGGAAGCACGTAGCTATCTCTTTGGTTTTGAGCGCAAAAGTATTTCGACCGTCGCGAAGAGATGGACTTTCTCGGGAATAAATACTACAAACTCAATCGTCGTCTTTTGCTGCTAGTCGGTTTGTGGCCATACGATCACTGTCTCTTCAAGTATTGTCAAATGATGCTTTGTAACGTCATTGTAATATTAACGATGGCTAGCCAGGTATTAAGTAATGTTCCGTGTGTCAAAAAGATCCAACAATATTAAACGCGATCGGTCATTCAGTCGTATTGCTATATAATACAACATAGTAGAAAATAGTTTTATCATCAATTTCACTTGATCATCGGTTCGTAATTTCAGGTCGCGAAATTGATAACACTGAGACAAAACATTGGCTTCATGCTACAAATAGTGTCTCCTATTGTACTTGGTATAGTCTTTATTATAAAATACCAAACATTCTGCCTCATCCCTGGAAAAGTAAGTTGATAAAACATTGCCGTTTGACAAATCAGTGATATTTTTTCTTGATTTTATATATTATATCTTCTTATGATCATTTTTTACTTCTTCTTTACTTCTCTATTTGTTTAATATAAACACCTGTGCACTTCGAAAAAGAAAGCAAGTATTTACTCTCTCGCTATACATTTATCCGGCTACAGAAATCTGACTAAAAGAGAAGTCTTCTGATTTTCCTTGTTTGCGAAATATAGAAAATATATGCAATGTACATTCGAAAATTGTTAATTTTTTATGCGCGAGAAAGCAACAAGGTCACACAGCAAGGGCACAAATCTTTCTAGCAAGGGGTCAAAAATGTATTCTAACATATCGCTTTAAAGAACAGTCGATTTTATTCATACGCTCTTGTGAATTCTGATACTTTTCGCGAACAGCTACGGCGCCTGATGGACCACATAGAGAGGGATTGGAATATGCTTAAAGATAAAAGAGAACTAGACATCATAGGAAGATACACTTATATCGGAAGTATGTGCACCTTAAGTTTCACAAGTAAGAAACAGACACTCGTATAGATCACTTTGGTTCCAATCATATCGTATCATTACTCTAAAAGAACCATCTTTTCGTACTTTCAGTATTCGGCGCCGTGGCGACAATAGTTTGCATTCTCTTGCCATTCATACCAATTATTCACGATATACTCACGCCGCTGAACATCTCCCGTCCACGACAGCTTCTGTTCCCGGGAGAGTACTACATCGATCAGCGAAAGTACTTTTACGTAATCTCGTTGTACTTAGACCTCGCTCTGATTCTAATTATCATTACTCTGCTGGGCACCGAAACGCTGTACGTAACGCACGTGCAACACGCTTGCGGATTGTTTCAAATTGCCAGGTAAAAAAGATAAGCTATGCGCGGTGCTAAGCTATGCTGTAAATTTGACAAAACTCGTTGGACATTTTATCTCGAATATCTAATTCGTCCGACAGACGTGAAATGAATTACGCTTCGTTACTTTTTCAGCTACCGGATGAATCAAGCGTTCGACGAAAGTCTGTCACAGGTTTACACGCCTGAAAAGAGAACAATCTTCGTCTACCAAAGGATAATTGAGGCTGTACACATTCACAAAAGAGCTCTGGAGTCGGTATATAAAAAGCATTTTTCTTGCTAGTACGCGAAAGAAATATTTCATATACCGTTCTACGTGAAATAATATTCGTTAGACTCGAAAGATTTATCTTGAAACTACGCGAGTAAACACGCGAGAAGACAGGCAATGTCATTGCGGCGATAGCAAATCAACGCGCTAGCATCTCTTCCTCTTCAAGGTTTTCCGAATTCTTGTGGTCTTCTCTGGCGGTGTCATACAGCATTCTACTCACGATCGGAATCATGTCTCTGATCATTAATCTTTTCTGCGTTAGTACTACTTCTCTCATACTTCTTTCCACGCCGCGAGTCTTGCTTAAAAATATATTTAATTTGCCGGGTACTTCATGATGTGTATGGTTTGATAACATATCTGTGTGATTAATTGTGTAAATTCGCTGCTCAATTTGTTTCGCTCGTATCGTTTGCAGCTTTTTCAAGCAGTATTAAACGTGAAGGAAATGAACGAAGTAGTACGACTAAGTATATTCATTGTTGGGCATGTCTTTTATATATTCTTGGGTAACTACGTTGGCCAAATTTTAATCGATCATAGCGCCAGCATTTTTGAGAAAACGTACGTATATCCTGCACACAGAATTGAAGACGAGAAAGGGAGCCTATTTTCGCAAAGACAAAATAATTTTGTCTTGTGTGGGCGGTAATGCAAAACCGCGATTAGCAAGATTTGATTATCATCATCTGATTTTCGGGCAAACTTTTAGATACCTCACGCGATGGTACAGCGCCCCATTGCGAGTACAAAAGTTACTACCGATTATAATGCAAAGAAGCACAAGAAGCTGTAAAATGACCATAGGCGGTATGTTCGTTTCATCATTAGAAGGCTTCGCAGCGGTAAATTTTACGCAATTACGAAATATTGAACTCTTTTAGCGGCGAGAACTAAAGTTGACTTAAAGTTAACTTTTATAACATTTAATACATTACAGTGTCTAAATTTTTAATGTCTTTTAATATCTTCAAGTTCTATATAGCGAAAACTTTGAGAAAAAAACTGAGAGGAAAAGAAAGATATTCTCATTAATTTTCGTCGCCACTGAAAGAGTTATAAAAATCACTAGATATATTATATATATTTTTTATAACATAAATCTTGAATTAAATTTTCAGCTTATGAGTACGACTATGTCATACTTTACGGTACTTTGGTCCGTAAACAAGTAATGCCGTTAACGACAAAAACGTATTACACCATGTATCACTTGTGTAGTTATTAAATCAGTAAAATTAAAATTAAAAACAATAATCATAATAACGTCGCAAGATAATTGTCAAATTTTCTTCACTGGATCCATAATATTTTACGAAAAAATAGCATATTATAAAAATATAAATAACAATTATAAAAATGAAAAAAATGTTTATAAGAATTTTTATCTTTTCCGAGAATGATACATATGTCATACTTTAAAGAAATGTATCCGTCGTTTTCTGTCTTAGAGGATGTTCACTCCGACGTATGCAGCATTTTTGAATACTTTCGAGGTACATTATTTGCTATACTGAAACCGTCCATGTCAACGCGAAGTGCAAGCAGCAACGGCACAACAAACTGTAAAGAAGAGCAGTCATAACCCGACATAAGAAAATTATCCCCTCATGAAAGAAGACTAACATTCTGAATTGCGCAAATTAAATAAATTTCCTCCACATGGTGTTTTCATATATATGCGAATAGACGCGTTAGATGATATATAACCCTTATCTTTTCATTATCTCTTATAGCATGTAAATTTTGTAAATTAAAGCAGTTATCGCTCATTCCCGTTTATTTTATAACGGTGTAGGGTGCAATATAACAGAAAATAAAACAAATTTAACGAATAGAGACAAAGATAGAAGGGCATATAGGTGTCTGTTTATTCTTGAGCGCAAAAGTATTTTGACCGTCGTAAAGAAATGAACTTTCTGGAGGATAGATACTACAAACTCAGTCGACGTTTTTTACTGATAGTCGGCTTATGGCCATACGAACAGTCAATCTTCAAATATTGTCGAATGATACTTTACAACGTTATCGTGTCCTTATTAGTGGTCAGCCAGGTACAATTACTAAATGACAGTTCGCGCACGAAGAAAATTAATCATCGACATCACATGTTAAATGCGTCCATATAACGAGAACGAGACCGCTCACACATCATACATACTGCTTATGTGCATTTCAGCTTCACATTACATTACATTGTGATTTTCAAAAAACTATCTTCCAAAAATAAAACTCGTTTATCGAGACTACTTGAAATTTAGCAAAGTTATCACTTTATAAATATTTACGTATTTAAGCGACAAGCTTATTACTTTTAAACTTTAAACACTAATATAACACTAATATATTTTTTTTTAATAAAAATAGCGGTCTCTCTTTTCTCTTTCTGCCTAGTTATACGAATTACTTTATATAATTTAATATTTTTCATTTAATCTAATCATCAACCCGTGCTTTCAGATCGCGTACCTGATAACACTGAGACACAACATTGATCTCGTACTGAACATTCTCGCTCCTACTGTACCTTGTTTAATCTACGCTGTAAAATACCAAACATTCTCTACCATCCCTGAAAAAGTGAGTCGGTAATGCGTTGCTCTTTGCAATTTTATTTTTGGTTTTATATATCTTTATTTTCTTTAACGTTAAAGCCTGTATAATCTCGCGAAAAGAAATCAATTTACTTTTATCCGGCTGGATAAATCTGGCTAGAAAAGATCTTCTATACTCGTTTGTTTATAAAATATCAAGAATGTAAATTTTGAAAGTTCTAATTATATATTCACCTATACATGCATGAAGGCACGGATTTTCATAGCAAGAATCGAAAATATATTCTAACGTCTGCTGTAAAGAATAATTGATTTTATTCATGTATTCTCTTGAATTCTCGCGCTCCACACGAGCAGCTAAAACACCTTATGGAACACGTAAAAAAGGACTGGAATATGCTTAAGGATAAAAGAGAATTGGAAATCATAGAGAAATATATTTATATTGGAAACATGTGCTGCATGGGTTGCGCAAGTAAGAAACAGATACGCGTGTAATGCACTTTGGCTTTAAGCATAACGTACAATCGTGCTGAAAATTTGACTGTTCTCTCGTATTTTCAGTACTTGGTGTCATGGGAATAATAATATTCCTTCTCACGCCATTCGTACCGAACATTCTCGATATTCTTGCTCCAATCAACGTCTCGCGTACACGACAGCTTCCGATTCCGGGGCAATACTTCGTCGATCAGCAGAAATACTTTTATGCCATTGTATTACACTTAGATATTAATGTGATTATAATTGTCACTACTCTGTTGGGCACCGAATCCCTGTACATAATGCATGTGCAACACGCCTGTGGATTGTTTCGAATCGCTAGGTAGTCAGATGAAAGAAAAGCCGCGCGCGATTTTTAAATAGCATTAAACTGCAAATTTCATGCAACTTGTGCGAAATTTTATTTGACTATTTTTACAGTTACCGAGTGAGCCGAGCGTTCGACGATAATCTCTTACAGGCTTACGCACCTAGAAAGAGGATGATCATCGTTTACCAACGGATAATCGAGGCTGTACATATACACAAAAGAGCTTTAGAGTCGGTATATAAGAGTTATTTTTCTCGCTAATATACGAAAGAAATATTTGGTCGGCGATTATTGTATCCGTAGTCTATCACTCTTCGTGAGATAATATTCGTGTAGAAATCTCGTTAGACTCAAGAATTATTTTGAAAATTACGCGACTAAACGATTGCACACAAGATTGCATACAATATTGTTCTTGAAGTAACGAATCAACACGCTAGATTCTCTTCCTTCCTTAAGGTTTTCCGAATCCTTGTGGTCCTCCCTGTCGGTATCATACAGCATTCTACTCACGATCGGAATCATATCCCTGATTATCAATCTTTTCTGCGTAAGTATCATTTCTGTCATATTCCTCCGAAATTTTACTTGGAAACCTATTCAATTCATCTGGTACTTTATGATGTTCATGATATATGATGTACATTATGCGCGATTAATTGCGTAAATCAAGAAATGCTTTTTGCAGGCTTGAGAAGCTTGCATATTTCGGTTTTTTTACGATACATATTTTTTTAATAATATGTATCATTTTGGCGCTTATATATTTTACAGCTTCTTCAAGCGGTATTATTAGTCAAAGAGATTAACGAAATAATAAGATTGGCAATAATTACTTTTAGTCATATTCTTTATATATTCTTGGGCAACTACATTGGCCAAATGTTGATAGACCATAGCGCCGATGTTTCTGAGAAAACGTATGTAAATTCTGTATTGAATCAAAAACGAAAAGAATGCCCACGAGCGTAGAATAATTTTCTTTTGGATCAATAATAACACGAAACAATCATCAACGAACGAAATAAAATCTGATTTTTGAATAAAATCTTTTAGATACCTGACGCAATGGCACTGCGCCCCTTTGCAAGCGCAAAGATTATTGCCATTTATGATGCAAAGAAGTATGAAAAGTTGCAAAATGGTCATAGGTGGTATATTTACTTCATCATTAGAAGGCTTTGCGACGGTAAACGTTACACAAATGTGAAATATTTATTCCCTTTAGAGACAGTTTCCAGCAAACTGTTTAAAGAAATTAACTCATTGTCACTCAAATCTATTAATTAATTTAATGCCCTGGTTATAAAATTATATTTACATGAGAGAGACAATCCCGTTAATTTTCACTACCGCTGAAAGAGTTAAATGAAATTAACCAGATATTCAGTGCTTTTAGAAAAAAAAAGTTCAGGATCTTAAGGGCTGTTATTCACAAAATAGAGCAGAAAGATCCTAATAAACATGGACCGAAAAATTAATATTATCAGAGTTATGAACACATCTATTTTAATTAAAGTAAGCGACTTACTCGCTTCTGGTATTTTTGTATTCTCTAATGTAATTTATCTGTCATTCGGTCTGTCTATCAGTGAAGAGTACCATACTTTAAAGAAGTCCCTAAAAAAGAGTCTCTTCATTTTTGCTCGGAATATAAACAAACATCTGTTTTCTTCCCATTTATACACACGTTTCACTAACAAGGAAAGATACCCAACTGTCACTCACTGATTTTAATGAAACTTTGTACACTTGTAAAACTATACAAAATAAAAGACACGTATTTCTTTTATCTGCGGAGAAGCGGTTTAAAGGGCAGAGACAACCTCTTGTATATATGAGATGGTTTTCACATTATAAATACATTCTTGACGATATTTTTGAAAACTTTGAGATATTATGGGGTTTTCGGGATCGCAAAATTCGAATCTGTTATTATAATTTAAAAATACAAAATGGCTGATCAAATATGGCGCCCATACAGTCAGTCAGTCAGTCAATCAATCAATCAGTCAAACCAGTCAGTCAGTCAGTCAGTCAGTCAGTCAGTCAGTCAGTCAGTCAGTCAGTCAGTCAGTCAGTCAGGCCAGTCAGTCAGTCAATCAGATAGTGAATAAACATTACTAAACTAAAATATTTTGTTATGACATAATTTAATCATATATATTTAATCACACATCGCAGCTTTCGATTACTTGTTATTACTTACTAATTAACATATTGAATATGGTGGCTAGATATCTATTTTTGTGGTCGCCATATTGAGTCAGCCATTTTGAATTTTCACATTTTGACCACAAATTTGTATTCAGCAACCCAAAAAAATATGGGTATATCAATTTTCATACAAATACGTTTAAAATCGGCGGAGATATACGCCAGATCACATATATGCGATCTTACCAGGCGTGGTACTTTTTTTCCGTCACATATATGTGATTTTACCAGTGAACCGGTTAACCATTTTATATTTTTAAATTATAATAACAGATTCGAATTCTGCGACCCCGAAAACCCCATAATACCTCAAAGTTTTCAAAAATGTCACGAATGTATTTATAACGTAAAAACTACCCCATATATACAAGGGGTTGTTTCTGCTCTTAAAATCGCTTCTCCGCAGATAAAAAAATATGTGTCTATTATTTTGCATAGTTTTACAAGTGTACAAATTTTCATTAAAATCTGTGAGTGACAGTTGGGTACCTTCCCTTGTAAGTAATTAGTCATATATTCTTGTGAACAGTAAACAGTTACAAAGAGCTATCACAAAATTTTTGCAATACGGTAAGAATGATATCATATTATTCTAATCAAGAAATGGCAGAAATATATTTTATGTATGGCCGCGCACTAGAAGCGAGTAAGTCACTTGCTTTAATTAAAATAAATAATTGCTCATAACTGACAATATTAATTTTTCGGTCCATCGGTTTTTTAGAATCTTTCTGCTCTATTTTATGAGTACTATGCCCTTAAAGCTCTGAACCCTTTTTTTGAACACTCTATATATAACTGTTAGTATAATATAAATATTGAATTGAAATTTCAGGTTATGAGTACAACCATGTCATATTTTATGGTACTTTGGTCAGCACGCAAATAATACCATTAACGGTAAAAAAGGTATAGCCATTATAAATTGTAGTCATTGCATTAATAGAAGAACTATAAAAGAAAAGAAAAGTAAAAGAATCATTAATGTAGCAAGATAATTAAAACAAAAAACATCTTCACTTAGATTAGCGATATTTCAAAAATCATTAAAACATGCAATTATGCAAAATAAATAAAATATAATTTCACAATCAATTCTTTCCGATTTTCCCTCATACTTGTTTAGTATTACTATTATTATTATTACTGTATGCTTATTACTTTTCACGTGGATAAAAGAGACTAGGTACAACTTTGGTGATGAAAATTTACTGCATCTATAAATATATAATATACTGTTGCACTCATATACTGTTGTACTCACTATCATAATCTTGAGAATCACAATCTTGAGAAATGTAAGGCGAATGAAAATGATTTATATGACTTTTTTTCATCAGAGAATTCTTTACAATTTCAATACAAGCTTCCTCATAAAATAATTTCGTAATTGTAATCGCGAATATTTAGCAGCCATATCGATGCGAGCTTAAGCTAGGTGCGGCAAGACGTACGAGATACTATCAAAATGAAACCAGATTAAACCTATAAGAAGTATAGTACTTTTCTAACTTAAATTTGGTCTATATCTCCTTCAAAATAATTCCCTTTTACATGTATACAGCGATCCCACCGCTTCTCCCATGCCTCAAATGCTTCCTGAAAATCTTTTTCTTGAATAACATTTTCTTAAGCACCTCTTACGATTCGGACTGGATCTCTTCGACCGTGCTAAAATGCCGCCCCTTGAACTTCATTTTAGAAAACAAAAAGAAATCACAAGGGACTAGATGCAGCGAGTAAGAAGAATACGGAACGACCACTATGTTATTTTTTGCCAAAAACTGCCGCGTTTTGAAACTGGCTTTTGCACTATGACAATGCTCTCGTGTGGGCGTTTCTTTCGCACCACACTTCCGGTCTTTTGCGACGAACGTCTTCACATAATCTCCTCAAGACATCGCAGTAAAAATCTGCATTCTCTGTCTGATTGAGAGGATCCAATCCAAACCGCAAAAGGTGCTTAACACTGTTCAAGAAAAAGATTTCTAGGGAGCGTTTAAGGCATGGCAGAAACGATGGGATCGTTGTATACATACAGAAGGGAACTACTTTGAAGGAGATATAGACCAAATTTAGGTTAGAAAAGTATTATACTTTTTATGGGCTTAGTCTATAATAACTCGATAATTATTGCGAATATTGTAAAACGCTATGGGACTTTTGTGTTTGCTTCGACTCGCTCTATGTTTCCACGAGCGATTGTTCAGGTGACCTGAGACACTCTGTAGATACACGTGCGCGCTTGATTTACTGACACTATATACAGGGTGTTCCGTAAGTCGAGGTAAATCGCTCGGGAGATGAATAGAGAATCAAAAACAAGAAAGAAAGTTGTTACAAATATAAGTCCGAAAATGCGTTGTTTTCGAGTTACCGCCATTTCTATGTTAAAATTTGAAATTGCTTTGCTTTCGAATTTTTTTGTCAAAATTGAAACATGAGATGGTTTTTATGAGTTTCAAAACATAAATAAAGTTAAATAAAAGTTGCGGGCTGCTTTAGCACTCTCCACGATGCACCACGCGGAGCCCGCTTAGCATCCCTTGGCAGAGATCAGGACTCCACAGTTTGTCACTCCTGTGGTAGTGGTTAGTGACTCCAAACCCTCTTTGTTGTGTGTGTGTGTGTGTATATGTGTGAATGTAAAAATTATATGAGGTGTTCGAAATGACCTCCTTCTGCATGAATGCAGGCTCTAACTTCTTTCTAAGGAGTCCCGAACTCTTTGTAGCACTTCCGGATTTTCCCTAATGTTTTCAAATCCATTAGTTATTTTCATCATTTCGAACACCTCATAAAAACCATCTCATGTTTTAATTTTGACAAAAGAATTCGAAAGCAAAGCAATTTCAAATTTTAACATAAAAATGGCGATAACTCGAAAACAACGCATTTCCGAACCTAGGTTTGTATCAACTTTCTTTCTTGTTTTTGATTCCCCATTCATCTCCTGAGCGATTTACCTTAACTTACGAAACACCCTGTATATCGAGTATCTTTGATGCCGTTAAACATGATCCGTAAGTAGAAACTTCTTGTAACTGTGGAATATTTTATCGCTCAAGATGAATACTTGTATGTTATATTTTGTCATTTATTTATATTTGAAAGTCTTTGTGGTATCACTATGGCGTTAGTCACGGAATCGTTATACATAGCGTATACTTCACTACGTTTGCGGAATGTTCAAGATTGCTTAGCGAGTACTATATAATGAAACGTGGAGGATGCTTTATTTTTTCTTTTTTTCCATTTAACGTCTAAGAACAATATTTATAATTAGATTTTATATTTAAAACCTTCTCAAGTGTACTTTCAGATGCTTTGTATGCAATAAAACGATCTGCAGCATCTAAAGATGGACTTAAGAGGATCTTCAATATAAGATCCGACTATGAATACTTCATATTATATTTATGATGAATACCACGCTAAATCTCTTAACCACTGACGCTCGGCACGATTTCTTCATTTGATAGCTCACGGCATGTGAGTGTACTGATCGAAAACATGCTGTAACCGGCATTATATAATACATGACGTACACATTATATAACATATATACTCCGCAAACATGGTGAAATGTACACTATGTACAACGATTTCGTGGCTAACGCCGTAGTGATATCAAAATGTACATTATGTAAGACATGATACTATGTTCCTCTATGTGAGCAAAAATTAATACTGTTCATCCGGCAGCGAAGCATGTATACATAACATACACACAGTTGTAAACTAGTCGCCGGTAGTACTTTCGTTTTATCGTTAGAAGGATCTACCGCGATAACCGACGTCCACGACGATTCCAGCAATGTATCATCGTGTTTTTCGACGATAACGTCAATATCTCATTGCAGCTTATCGCTACATCGATATTCTACTTTACGGTGTTGTCGTCTGTCCGGAATTGACAATAGTCGTAAAAATAATCGCAATCATACATCTCGCTAATTTGTCACGATTGATGAATGCGTACTAAACTGCCTACGCCATCAGAGCAAATTATCATGAGTGAAATATATCTACACGACGAAACACTAAGTAACATTTCATTTACAACTTCAACCGGTTTGGCGCGAGCTAAATCGGTGTGAACCTCACTACACACTTGTACCACCTTAGGAATCATATTTAGTAATTAGTCTTCCAACAGTGTCGCGCATTGATGAAATAAAACGTTACGATTGTTATATTTCATCTACATCTTTATTTGTCTAGAATCATGTGAGTTACCCAATCATTATTATAAATAATTAATAAATGAATAATAAAATATAAGTATGAATCGCAATTAAATGACATGTGTCATAAGTGTCTTCGATGAAAAATAGTACCTAAAAATAAAAAAAATATCCAGTTGGAAGGAAAAAATTCAAACTTTAGTTAATAGGCTTTGTACGAGTGATGAAAAATTATACTCGATACTTCCAATTATACCCACTTTACAATTTTTTATTTCATGGAAAGCCATATCTGAGATTTCTTATAAACTGTCGTAACTTACTCATAACTTACTCGAAACGAACGATCTAGTGATCTTATATTTCCTCCCTCGCATCGCGAACTATAAAGTGCACGCGTCGACTTCTCTTGCAACAATATGCTCCCGTCCCTGCGGATCAGATACATCAATAAACTGCGCATGCGTCGGCATAAAGTGTAAAGAACGGAGAACATTTGCGATATTACCTTGAGAGACTTATTACCTTGAGAAGGATCTGTAATTGACTGTTCCGCGAGCCATTTCTATAATGAAGCGGGTTATATCTGTAAAGGAGAGAGCAAAATAGAGAGAGCATAAATTATACAAAAGTAATACTTTTCGCCATTCATTGCGCAAAACGTTTCTTTATATAAGATATTTCGATAAAGAAAAAAGAGCATTAGAATTCGTCACACATGACACACGGATCGATACAAAGCATCGAGAGTCAGTTTCACGACCAGAAATGTTCCCGGTCTCGTGCAAAATGGACTTCAACAGTGAGCACTATTATAAAATTAACCGTATCATTTTGTCGGCTATTGGCCTGTGGCCACATCGACACATCACGTTGCGACAAATTCAAGCCGCTCTGTTATCATTTCTACTAATCTCGGTAACATTTCCTCAGGTACAGTAAATTGCCTATTTATTTATTTCTGCGCTTCATCTTGTTATTTCCGAGTGTCTTTCAAGTGCTCGACCAGTGCTGAGTTTATCGAAAATTTACCCGATAATATGTCCTAAAAATGTGTATTGCTTTCAGTTAACAAAATTGATTGTAGAAGAATACAATGTGGACGTTGTTGTGAGAGTTTTATCATCCACTCTACCATTCTTATTATTTATTGTAAAATATATCGCGTTTTATTTTGTGACGGAAGATGTAAGTACAAAAAATTATATGTGTCAGTGTATATATAGACAATTGTAGCATATAAATACCACAAGAGGTTTACAAGAACAACATACAAGTACTAAAAAAATACCGATTAGGAACTTGGCAGAGACTTATATGGTATCGAGTTAGATTTGTAAAAGTGTTTGGTTTTGCATATTTACGTGAGAATAATCGCAACACGATGAAAGCTTATTAGTATTATTTTATTTCTATTTATTATCCATAATAGATAAAAGGATTAATGCAGTATATTCAAAATGACTGGAATGCCTTGAAAGATAACAACGAGCACGAGATAATTCATCAATACGCGAAAGCGTCTGTATTAATCACTAAGTCTTTAGCAAGTAAATAAACATTTGAACAATATGTACGATTTGAACAGGGTGCACGATTTATCTGAAGACATTGAAATATCTCGAGAACTGTGCATTGGATAAAAAAAGTGGTTAATGAAAGTTGTTAGTCTCGAAGGGGGACATCCAATGATACCAAACTCGACCTCCCACCCCACCCCCTGGGGGTGGGGGTTGGGGGCAACTTTGAAATCTTAAATGGAAACCCCCATTTTTTATTATAGACACGGATTCTATGCCACAAAATACGTAAATTTTGTCCGAAACTTTTTTTTTATTCGTGATAGATGGCGCTGTAATCGCAAAAAATTATATTTTCCGCAATTCTCCAGAAACAATTTATTGAAACACAGAATTAGATTGTAAGTGAAATTTTTATTGAAACAATCAATAAGTGTATTGAAGTTGAAGGTAAAAATTTCGAACACTTACTCTAATTAATTGAACAGTGAGAGGCAAGGGGACTCACATTAAAAAAGCACCCCGATCTCTGAGAGGCAAGGGGACTCACATTAAAAAAGCGCCCGAAGGGAACATAAAACTACTATGTCCTCGTCGTTGTTCCTGTGTAACGCTAAAAGTAGTTTCTCGAAAAAATTCAACGCTATCTATCACGAATGAAAAAAATTGTTTCAATAAAAATTTCACGTACAATCTAATTCTGCAATGAAAAATGTGGGTCCCCATTTGAGATTTGAACGTTATCACCCACCCTACCCCGAGAGGATGGGAGGGAATAACTTTTATTATGTTCTTTAAAAATATTGAACAGGTATTTTTTATTTCTCAATCTAATGATCATTTCTGAAGAATTGCGGAAAATATAATTTTTTGCGATTACAGCGCCATCTATTACGAATAAAAAAAAAAGTTTTGTACAAAATTTACGTATTTTGTGGCGTAGAATCCGTATCTGCAATAAAAAATGGGGGTTTCCATTTAAGATTTCAAAGTTGCCCCCAACCCCCACCCCCAAGAGGTGGGGTGGGAGGTCGAGTTTGGTATCATTGGATGTCCCCCTTCGAGACTAACAACTTTCATTAACCACTTTTTTTTATCCAATGCATTGTTCTCGAGATATTTCAATGTCTTCAGATAAATCGTGCACCCTGTATAACAGCAAATCATAATTGCATACTTTAACAATCATTATCGTCTGATTAAATCTACATAATCGCACAGAAAATATCAATATCTAATATTTATCGTTCGAATGTGATTTCAGTACTGATTTATGTATGTATAGCTATTGTTATATGCATTCAATATGCGCCAAGTTTTCTTAACGTCGTGATGCCGCTGAACAAATCTCGGCGAGCCGAGCTGATATTCTGGGTCGAGTATTTCGTCGATCAGGATAAATATTATCATATGATTCAATTTCATTTAGATGTAGGATTAATCGTCGCCGCGACCACGATTCTGGCCACCGAATCGTTTTGTTTAATGGTCGCCATACACGCATACGGAATGTTTAAAATAGCGAGGTACATATTACTAGGTTGGTGCAAAAATAATTGCAATTTTTATCATTCTAAGTTTGGTACCGATTTTTTTAGTTTTCTTTATCTTTTCCAGAATTCTATCTTGTAGAAATAAACAAATTTGTTTCTCATTGGGAAAAGTGTATGCAGCCCAGTGGTCTTTATTTTGATTAATAAATATAATTTTTAATAATAATAATAATAAATTAATAAATATAATTTTTAACTGATATATACACTTTATGCGATACGTAAAAACCGCAATTATTTTTACACCAACCTAATATGTATGTTAGTAAACGCGTTGCCGGGCGCGGGCGGCGACCCTCCTAGTTTACATTTTTGTTTCTATAGTTATCGCATGGAACATATAATCGATGCACCGAACATATTCGTTGGCAAACGTTACGTCTCCTATGACAGTGTGGTAGCCGCTGTGAATAGTCATAGACGAGCAATCGAGTTAGTATCGTAGATATTGTTTGAGAAACAAATAATTATTCACATACCGTTCGGTAAAAGTGCATCATTCATTTAATGTTTTATAGAAATTATCTATTTTAATTGTAATTTATTTCGGATGTTTCTCAAGTATGTAGATTTCTCATTGGAAGTAAAATAATAATGATAAAAAATATTTGTGTAACGGTTTTTTTTTATTTTTCTGAGGTTTTCCGAAATTATCAGATCGACCTTTGCGATACCGTACCTGGCATTAATATTACTCGGAGTGACTTCATCGAGCATAAATTTATTCTTGGTGAGTGTAATCCAATTATTATTCACGAAAAATAAAAATAAAAATATCTACGGACATACACATATACTCACGAATCAACTTTATCGATAAGCTTTCTTCTCGGCAGCTGTTTCAAGTGATAATGTCCGCGGGCGCAATGGACGATATAATTAAATCTATCGTGTATGTTTGTTGCCACTTCTTGTATATGTTTTTAACCAATTACGCTGGACAAAAGTTTATAGACCACGATATCGAGATTTACAAGAAGATGTGGGTATTGTAAATAGAATAGCGATCATATTATCATATTTATTTTCATCGTCATTTCTATGACAATAGTTCGTACAAACGAAATAATTATCTTTACGAACTATTAAAGATGCAGTTTGCGGTGGTACAAGGCGCCTTTGCGAATACAGAGACAGATATTATTTATAATGCAAAAAACTGCGAAAAGTTACCACATGAATGTCGGTGGTTTGTACAACCCATCGTTGGAAGGTTTCACTACGGTAGGGAAAACCTACTCGAAGTTATATATTTCTACGCTCCTTTTTTTAGCCAAGGTGAAAAATGAATTGTCTGTCTTAGCTCGCAAGTGCGACGCTCTCTTACTTTACCGTTCTCTGCTCGATACGGAAATGATAACGACATTTATCACGAAAAGTACGCTTACTGGATTGCCGTCAAGTTGCTGCAATGTTTTAGCCGAGAACAACGAGAAATGACATTATCGAATAAAAGGCACTGTTCTCGAAGACAATTTAATGCTCGTATGTTCACTGGCGCTATTCCGAATATATCAGGTGTAGTAAAAAGAAATCCATTATTTTTGCATGAAATTGAAGGCTTTAATTACCATAGTTAGGATGATCCGATTTAGGTCAAATATGCGCCGTTTTGTTCGATAACTTGTTGCCATTTTGAAGGTAATTTCATTATGCTTCTCTCATAGAAGCCCTCGTCTCTATTGGCAAAAAATTGAGAGAGTCGATTTTCACAAGCCTCTCTTGAAGCAAATTTTTCACCAGCAAAATTGTTCGCCATGGACAGGAACAGATGGTAATCACTTGGTGCCAGGTCCGGATTATAAGGTGGATGCATAAGAACCTTCCAACCAAGCTCCCGGAGCTTCTGGCGAGTCACTATCGATGTGTGTGGCCTGGCGTTGTCCTGATGGAACACAATTCCTTTCCTATTGGCCAAAGCTGGCCGCTTCTGGGCGATTGCTTCCTTCAGACGGTCCAATTGTTGACAGTACAGTTCCGAGTTAAGAGTTTTGCCGTAGGGGAGCAGCTCATAGTAGATAATTCCCTGCCAATCCCACCAAACACACAGCACAACCTTCCTGGCCGTCAATCCTGGCTTGGCCACCGTTTCCGCCGGCTCACCGCGATTCGACCACGACCGTTTTCACTTGACATTGTCGTAAGTGATCCACTTTTCATCAGCAGTGACCAACCGCTTCAGAAATGGGTCGATTTTGTTGCGATTCAGCAGCGATTCGCAGATGGAAATTCGGTCCATGAGGTTTTTTTGCGTTAACTCGTGTGGCACCCATACATCGAGCTTCTTTTTGTATTCAGCCTTATTCAAATGGTTCCAAACGGTTTTTTGTGCAATCTTTAGTTCTTGGGCAATCGAAACAGTGCTTACATGACGGTCGGACTCGACAATGTCCATGATTTTATCGATATTTTCGACAATTGGCCTTCCAGTGCGTGGTGCATCTTTGACATCGAAATTACCTGAACGGAATCGACGAAACCAAAATTGCGCGCGATTAGCTGTTACAATATCAGGACCATAAACACTATTCACATTTTCAGCCGCCTGGCTTGCGTTTTCGCTTTTATCGAAGAAAAACTGTAAAATATAGCGTATTTTCTCTTTGCTAGTGTCCATCTTTGACACGCGCTCAAATAAAACTGAGTCAACTAATCACAAAACTGTCACAAAAGTTTTTTTAGTACGAAATCTCATCTTTCTAACGCCATCTAGTGGAACTCGATCGGACTTATACAACGCGAGATACAGATAACTAAAGCCATCTATTGGAAAAATAATGGATTTCTTTTTACTACACCTAATATTACTTCCAAATATTTCTACGCACATTCTGATTCGTATGTTATGTCAAGTTAAAATTATTCCGGCGTGCAGTTTTAATACCACGATATTTGATCACATGTTATTTGCGAAGCGTTACAGATTATCCGTTATTTGCGCACTTACGTTACGACTCGAGTTTCTCGACTGCACGACTATATCCGACCAATTAATGGTGCAACACACACTGTCCGCTATCCGATACATAAATAAATACTTTCCTCTGGAGGAACAGTCCAGAATTCCGTTTATTTTTGCTGTGTTTCTTTCGCGTTTATTTCGCGTGTTCTGATGAACAAGAACAAAAAGATTACAACGATATGTGTTATTTGTTTACTATTTATTTATCTGAAATTTCGTTCAATCTAATTTCACAAGTGAAACAAGCACATCACCGCCAAAATTTTGTCGTCCACCGACAACAATCATGTACCATAACACTCGTTGTTATTATATACTCTCAATACTTCTTACATACATTTTCCCTGCTCAGTGATCAGCGAATAACACGATTGGAATATTAGCGGAATTTTTTATAGCAAAGTAATCCACGATCTCGAAAAGTTTGAATCGAGACATGTTTGACATTCTCTGTATGCTGCACGAACGATTGCGTTCCGTCGTAGGAACATAACGTTCTATACTGCGCTTGCGTCAATATTTTTAAAAGAGCAGGAAAAACATTGATATGCAATGCGTGAACGGAAATTATACTTTTTTACCGTCGATTGTCGTTATTTCCGTCATTAGAGTAAGTACGTAGACTATCATATCCTCTCTTTCCCTCTCCCTTCTTCCTTCTCTCTTTCCCCTTTATCTCTATAGAAAAGCGCACTACATAACTCGCGCCGTCATTATTATTTTATTGATTGCTCAATTTGCGCGAATATAAGTCCCTTAGACAAATTTAGATGTAGTTGTTAACGCATTTACCTGTACAGCAGGTGTAAAGAAGTCGAAAATATAACCATAGTAGAGGTAATCGATGTAAAAGGGAAGAAAAAATATTTGTGTATATAGACTACGTTTAGTTGCGTTCAAACTGTCATCAAAGATGGAGTTTCCCGAAAATCAGTATTATAGAGTCAATCGCATTCTTCTGTCTGTTGTCGGACTTTGGCCGTACGACAATTTTAAAGTACGGCGACTGCGTTTCACACTGACACTACTGATACTGATTACATTTTCAAGCACTCAGGTATCTCCATGTTATTTGAATGTACATTTGTCATTCACATTTAATCTCTTCAGAGATAAATTTATTAAAATCAGAAAAAAATAATTTAAAGTAACATAAATATGATATTCATTCATGACGAAATTTCACTTTTTCTGGAATTTTGTGCTGAACATTTATCCGCAGATATAATTTTCGTTAAATTTTATCGACAATATCGTTCGAATTGGAGGAGAAAAAATGAACATATCTACAAGTGCACATTTGCGTTTAGAGCTGCTTAGAATTTCTAAAAACATTAATCCGCATTTCACTTTCTTATAATTTCCTCAAGGAAGAAACGGTAATTATGCATAAAAGAGGCCTCTCCTCCGATTTAATTTATTTTTAAATATTAGGTGTGTGAATTAATTCGGTCCGATTTTTTCTTCCAAAAAAGGACTTTAGTATGAAAAAACATGAAAAAGTACACTAATCAAAGTGTTTGCCATCGCTTGCTATTATTTTTTCCCATCTGTCTAGCAGTTGTTGCATTCCGTGACGGAAAAACGACTCGTCCTTCGAAGCGATCCATTCATTGAGCCATTTCTCGGTTTCTTCATAATTGTTAAAGTGCTGGCCCGAAAGCCCGTGTGCCATCGATCTGAACAAGTGATAATCGGATGGAGCAATGTCTGATGAATACGGCGGGTGAGGTAAAACGTCTTAGCCAAGTGCTTCCAAGGTGGCCTTCACAATCTTTTCAACATGTGACCGAACGTTATCGTGCTGGAAGATCACTTTATCGTGTCTCTTTGCATATTCCAGCCGCTTATTCTTCAATGCGTTGTTTAAACGGATCAATTGTTGTTGGTAAAGTTCGGCAGTGATAGTTTGGCTCTGTTTTAATAGTCCATGATACACTACACCCTTCTGGTCCCACCATATACAGAGCATTACTTTTTTGCTGTGAATATTCCGCTTTGGTATCGATATGGATGATTTTCCTGGGTCGCTAATGGATTTCCTTCGTTTGGAATTATCGAAATATATCCACTTTTCGTCTCCAATCACAATACGATGTAAAAAACCTTTTTGTTTTTTGCCTGGCAAGCAAGATTTCAGACATGGCTTTTCGCCTCTCGATGTCTCTTTCTTTCAGTACGTATGGCACCCATCTTCCTTCTTTGTAAATCTTTCCCATGGCTGCCAAACGCACAAAAATTGTTGATCAGTCAACATTCAACAATTGCGCGAGCTTATGTTGCGATTGACACGGATCTTCATCGATTAGTGCCTGCAATTCCTCGTCCTCGAACTTCTTCGGCTGACCTGAACGAGGTTTGTCATCGACACTGAAATCATCACTTTTGAAACTATTCTCTGCATAATTTATCAGTGGAAGCACTTTCACCATAAGCTTCTACGAGCATTCGATGAGCTTCAGCGGCTGTTTTCTTCAAATAAAAGCAAAAAATGAGAACTTTCCGGAAATGATGCTTTTTTGGCTCGAGTTTCGATATTTTCGAATCAGATAAACACGATGTTATTGTTACAAACCCAAACGTTTATCAACTGAATATTATTGCCAGATATCAAAACTAAAAAGTAAAGCCTTTTGCAGACATTAGAGGTTAGAAAATTACATAGTACAGCAATTGGCCGTCAAATAGACCGAATTAATTCACACATCTAATATGTTGTTGCGGAAGTCTTCCTGAATCGTTTCATATACATATATAACGGTCGGACAATAGTTTCGGAAATATAAGCTGAGAAACGATGAAAGTAGTAAATATGAAAATTCATTTAAAGTAATGAATCACCGAAGCATACACACACATACACACATACACACACCGAAGGGGGGATGCGGGTGGGGGGGTCGAAGATCCCCCCGCACCCCCCTCGTTTGGTCGAACTTGCGTCATGTGGAAAATCGCTAACTCATGTGACACAGAACAATACAACTTTCCATATGAAGCGAATTTCGGCGATTACCGCATTTTTTAATGCAATGGCTGAAATCTTCCCAATTCCCAACGATAGTACTGAATAAATCATCATTAAGTACTGAATAAATCATCATTAAGTACTGAATAAATCATCATTAAACATTTATTTTTATACTTGTTATTTCTATCCTTTCTCAACCTGTATCTCCGAAGCTATTTGCGTCCGATCCTTATATATGTATATGAAACGACTCAGAAAGATTCCCCCAACAACATATTTAAATATCAATTAAATCGGGGAGAGAGCCTCTTTTATGCATAAATACCGAAGAAACATTGTGTATACCTTGTCAGAATATTTTTATTTAAAGTTACCATTTCCGAAACTGAAGTCAGGATAGATCTCGCATATATTTCGCTGCTACATGCATATCTGCGTGCCAATCCGTCATCTGTTATTGATTTTTGCAGCTCAGCTGATATTGATTTTCACAGTCCGGTGAAAATCAATAACAGATGACAGCTCGACACATGCGTACGCGTCGCACAGTAGGGCTATTTCTAATTTAGTTTCACGGCTCATAGTACTGAAGTTTGCATGTTTTTACCAGATACTATTTGCTTTTCTTCTATAAATGCTGAATAATCCAAAGACGAGGAAGTGGATAGCCGTTTACGCATATGACTGCCACAACCAGAACTTCTATCTGGTCCTAATTTTCTGATTAGTTCCATGCGATCAAAATGTTCCAATCAAGTGTTGGTTGTTGTATGACAATGCTATCGGTTATTCTTTTGCTCATATGGTCAACGATGTTTTGTAATGGTATGCTAGCGCTTAATTGTGTATCAAAAAATAATCAAAATCGCCCCGTCGAAAAAAAGTTTTCGCGGAGCGTTTGACAAGTGTAACTTCAAACATTTGGTAAACTGATTATGCCTGCGCTTTACCTTCAGTAATTTGAATATTATCTGGATAACACATCTTTTTTATCTCTTGAAGTTTTTTATATGAAGGGAAAATTTGTATTTTGCATCGTTTATTGATCTCACTACGAATCATATTGTATTGTGATCGCGTCAATTTTGTATTCATAAAAAGAGCGAGTACTTCGTCGGGTGTCATTGGCTCAGATTTGTCCGATGTCTCTTGCAATTTCCTTTTTATTTTGACAGCATTATCCAGAAATGAAGGTTTGATAACTTCGGCTATTACACTTTCTGCGGCTCTTTTTTGTTCGGCAACAAACTACATTTTTCTGCATATAGGAGCTGTTTAGTAGGTACTGTATTAACAAGAAATTGAACTCGAGCTTTCTTAGTTTTTTCATTACAGTCCTCAAGGTTTCGAAGGTCGACCACAGTCTCGATGTGGTCATAAAAAGGGACGACAATCGAAATTATTTTCCGCCCACTTACTGCTCTGCACAACATCTAACTTCCTACCACATTTATTATAGCGTCGCTCGAATTGACGACAGAAGTTCCATATATTATTATGCAGTGCAGTAGATTTAGGCTCCTCAATCTCACATTGCAGCTTTGTTAAAATGATTTCATATAAATATTGAACTGACTTCTTGTTTGATACCTTTATGAGCGTAATAAAGGAGCAATTTTGCAATTCATCTATAAGTTTACAATATGGAATTGATTCCATCTAAAATAAAATATTTAAGAAATTAACACGAACTATAGGATAACTTGTACTTCAGACTAATTTTAAATGAGTTTGCCATTTTGTGGTAGGTAAAAATACATGCATGCGTGGGAGGTAAGAATGCATAACAAATGTAATCTTTTTTCAAGAGTATCCTTTTACTGATACTTTTATTATATTTATAGCTATAACTGCGTTGTGTATATGCAAGATAACTATGATTTTTATGAAGAAAAACGAAATTTTCCATGATTTTGTACCTACTAAGAGCTCTAAATAGCGTATCTGCAATTATCTGCAGACACTTTCACATTAATAGGTTAGAGGGGACTCTAAAAAAGATATCTATGTGATTTTGAGCGTAGTTTCTCATGGTCGTGCTATACTTTTGCTATTTTAAAGTTACAGAGAACTTACTAAAATTACCAATTAAATTTACTCACTTACGTTGTACCGGGGAACATAAATAGTAAATCTAACTGCAAATCTTAACACTATATCATACTAGCTTTCAAATAATTATAAACAAGATTACTTTCAATCGCTGTATGATCTAGTAATGAAGCGACAAAAACAGGTTGAAAACTGCAAGCAAAATCAGTCGACAACGAGGTTCTATTTGATGCGTCCCCATGACGACGGAACGCTGTTTTATTTTGTCTTAACATTTTTATAATGTTCAATAGACTTTTCTGTACATCTTACGTGCGACAGAATATATGTTTACATATTTGATTTTGAAATTTTCCTATAATTTGAAATGGCCCCACTGTGCATCGTTTCGAATAGAAACCATAGACGTATAATAACTAGACCGCGTACTCGGCCGAAAAGTCGTCAAATATTAGAAAGAGAGAGCATGCTTTGGGATATTATTCTGTCTTCGTCTGATAATGTTTGGAGTAAAGATTACTTGTATCGTTCCACTCTCCTCTACCTTCTTTTTTCGTTCCCTACCAAAGGCTTCTTCACCCTACTACACGTTTTTAGAAAAAAACAGAATGGTACCCGTACAGCAACTATCTTTTTCTAATTTCTGACGCATTCTAGCAAAGGGAGACGTAAGACCGCGCGGTCTAGATATTATACGTCTATGATAGGAGCATAAGGAATTTGCAGTAATATTATTGATCAACTTATAACTTCTATAACTCGGAAATTATTGCAGTCTCGATATTTTCATCTTAACATTTTAGATTTCAGTTAAACGACACTTTTAATTTCAATTAAACTTCGACATACCCTATAAAGTTATCGCGCTGTTATTTTGTGGCATTTCATATATTAATCATTAAACAATGTTCCCTTTCGTTTTCCTGCTACATGTATATTTCGGCTTGAAACTCCAAAGTATGCGTATCACTGAATATCACAACATACTTTCAGTTGCTGACGTTATTCAATTCAGAATACGATAAAATTCATCTTCTAAAGATATTATCTTTCGATCTCATTTGCATAGCGTGTATCATGAAGTACATCTCCTTTTATGCTGTCATGGAAAATGTACGTTCAATAATGACTTAATCTAATTTTAACTGATATTTATAATAGTAATTGTCATACTTGCTAATAGGTAAAACTTCTTCGACAATATGTTTTTGATAATTGGAGAATTTTAGCGGATGAGCGAGAGATAGAAATAATACTCAGACATGCGAACATCGGGAAATACTTTACGTTAATTATATTGAGTAAACGATAAAGAAATACTTAATTAGTAGCTTGTAATAAACTGGCTACTTCAGACAATTACATATTAACGATAACTTCGTTCGTTTTTAGCAATCGGTTATATCACCGCTTTTTTCTGCATATTGATACAATATATTCCCATCATATTGGATATAATGAAACCACTGAACGTATCTCGTCCACACGTATTTTTCATTGAAGCGGAATATTTTATTGATGAGCAGAAATATTTTCATATTATAGCGATACATATAAACATTGCAATATGTGTTGGAAGCACGAGCGTAATAAGTGCCGAAACGTTCGTATTAGCAAACGCATTTCACGCTTTCGGGCTGTTTAAAGTCACTAGGTAATTAAGACCATTTCTTTCATTAAAAATATTTCCTTGTTACCTCGTGTTAGTCGTGTTTCCATTATATTAGCAGGAACCAAGTTTTCAATTATATGTATCAGCGAATGATAAATTTTATAGTTATCGCATGCAACAGATATCAAGTGGATATGATTCACAGATATGTACGACTGAAAAATATGTAATATTCCGTAATAGAATAACAGCTGCAACGAACATGCATAAACGAGCGATTAAGTGAGTATATAATGGTATATGTTTTATTAACAAATAATATAAAGAAATTATTCTGTTTTGTAAGATTTTCTGAATTATTAAAAGAAAGTTTTGGACCGATGTACCTAATCTTGGTTTCGGGACTTATCATTTCCATAAGTATAAATCTCTTCTATGTGAGTAACGTGAGTGTTTTCAAAATTCCGAGCGTGAAATTTTGTATAACCGAACTTCGTTCCACTGACTCAATGAAAATACTTCCGACAATTAAAACCATTGCTTTCATAGAACAATTTCCGCGTGTAGTTTTTACAGATACTATCAACGGAAGGAAATATACTTGAAATTGTAAAGTGCATTATATTTCTATTTTTGCATGTAATAGCACTGTTTGCAGGTAATTATGCTGGGCAAGAATTTATAAATTGTGATACAAACATCTATCGAATGATGTGAGTAATACTATACTATTACCTTTTCTTTCACGTCGTTTAATCTCATTTTATAAATAATGCTTTTATGAGATTGTATTGTTATAAACAAATGATCTTCACTTAACCAAAACAATCAAATTATCTTTACTAACTAAAGACAGTATTTTTATATAATTATTTAGATGTAACACGCAATGGTACAATGCTCCCTTAAGAACGCAAAAATTAATACTTTTCTTGATACAAAAAACTACAAAATGTTATAAAGTTGATACCGTTGGTTTATTTTATCCTAGCCTGGAAGGTTTAGCTTCGGTAAAAAAAAAATTGTAAATTTATATTCACGGAAATAACAACCAGTTACAACCAGTCAATCAGTTAATCTAAAATCTTCTGCTTCTTAGGGCTTGAGTATGTCAATCTCTTATTTTATGGTTTTTTGCTCCATGTAATGGTATTGTTCGAAAATATGAAAAATGGCGCAGTTAATTTCGCGGATACATGATATCAATACAATAACGATAATAATACAAGGATGTAAATAAATGTAAAACTAACGGAGTTAATTAATAAAATTTGAATAAAATGATACACTCCCGAGTCTTGTTATTTATACAATATATTAGAATATTCTGTAGAATATTACAACACTTAAACTTTTTTATATTCTACCTGTATTTCTTACACACATATATGTATTATTCTCTTCTAAATGATGTTACCATTTGAATAAAGAATTTTCATTAGACATGCCCAAAAAACTTTAATACATAATCAACTTATACTAGATCTACTCATAATTATATTTGCTTCTTTTACCTCTAATTACTGGTCATGAAGGGTATCATTACGGATGATGAAGGATTATATTAAATGAAAAAAAAATAATTTACAGATATGTATGACCAAAAAATATATCTGATTTTTAATCTTACTGCATTCTAAGAGTTCAGAAACACACAATACTTAACCAGCTACTATACTGTCTGTTACTATACCGTATGCCATTCGTAATGATATAAGACAGCATCAGTAGGATATTTTTACAAACCTGTGCTTGCGTGTTCTTGTAGAAAGCAAAAGTAAAGAACATTGAAATATTTGTACAACTGAAAACTAAATTACAATAATTTAATAATTACCGCCTATTTCCGTGATGATACAAGAATATAACTTTTCTCTCCACGAAGACACGATATTTGTCCTCTTTATTTTAAGAATTATATCAAACTATGTAGCTTTCCTGTGTACGCACTCGCGTGCGTATGAACAATTTATAAATTGCAAATTCCGACCCGCAATTCTAACGCTCACGCAACGAGGAAATATGAGTGGCAAAATTGCGATTGAAACGCTAGAGGAAATAATTGTGTACAGTTAGAGAAGGGGAATGACACTTCTTAGGGACTATAGACGTTTAGTAGGGCTTTGGCTGTCATTCGAGATGGTGTTTCCCGAAGAGCGATACTATAGACTCAATCGCATTCTTCTATCAGTGACAGGTCTTTGGCCGTATGATGATAACAAAGTTAGACAAGTGCGATTCATACTTCTTCTGCTAATAATAATGCTGATTACAAGTCCTCAGGTATTTGCATTTCTATAATGTATATTTGCAACATATATTTAATTTGAAAATATAGGAGCTCGCAAGGCACTTCGTTGTAACAATATCGTTCTGTTAAAAATATAAACCTTTTCAATCATATACGGCGGCTATTTAAATGACATTAACATTGTATATTCCAAACTATTCTGCCAACATCAAGATTTATCGTGATATATATATAGTTGCTGAAATTATTCATTTCGGAATACAAGCTCGATACATTTCTGAAAGTGTTATCTCTGGATATGATTATGATAATAATAACCATAAAATATATCACGTTTTATGCTATTGTAGATAATGTAAGTTTAAAAGCAATTTAATATGTGTGCGCGATTAAATGTCGTTATGATAATGCTTCTTGTACTTACCAATAGGTAAAAATATTTCGGCAGTATATTTCGGAAAGTTGGAGCAATTTAACTGACGAACGAGAGATCCAAATAATATATAAGCAAGGGAAGGCTGGAAAAATATCTACAATAGTTTTAGCAAGTAAAAGAGAAACGTATACTTCATTGTATACTATAAACGAAATCAATTATTTCTAATTATTAATGTGATATTAATAACATTTTATCCTGTTTTTAGCGTTGGTTTATTTCATGCTTCTTTTCTGCATTTTTACGCAATATGTCCCCAATTTATTTGATATTATAAAGCCATTGAACGTATCTCGTCCGTGTCGATATTTCATTCTAGCCGAATATTTTATTGATCAGCAAAAATACTTTCATATTATAGCAATGAACATAAACATTGGATTGTTTACTTTAGGAACCATTCTATTAGCAACCGAAACATTTGCATTAGCGAATGCATTATACGCTTTCGGTCTGTTTAAAATAGCTAGGTAAATATTATCATTCTTCTTTTATTAAACATATGGTTACTTTAATCAAAACTTGTTATATTTGATTTTTTCAGTAGAAAATATTGCTAAATAGCAAGTTTTATGATTGAATTAATTTAGTGATATAAATTATATTTTTCATTCAAAGGATATTATTTGTTGTATTTATTTCTTCTAATTTTTCTCTATCTAATTTATTCGTGCAGTTTCGATATTTAAATCAGATTAATATTTCGTAAAATATATAACACATTGTGATATTACTACAAATAAAATAACTATGTAAGATAACTATAATGTTAATCTGTTGAACTGTTGTCACATGTTAGACGGCTTATTTAGTATATATTAATACCATATACCAGCTAGTGAATAAATTTTTATAGTTACCGTATGAAATATATATTAAATGGAAATCATCTACAGATATCGGCCACCAAGAAATATGTAGCATCTCGCGACAAAATAATCGCTGCAGTAGACATGCATAGACGGGCAATTCAGTTAGTAAACCACTTAAATCAAAATATCTATGCATTACATTATTTATTAATTATATTGTAATTAATAATTAGTGATATATAAAATTTCATTGAGATTATAATCTTTGAGAATTATTTCGTGTATATCTTAATTTGCTTTGAATTAAGAATGTAATAATTAATTCTCGAATTGCACTAATCAATATGTCTGATATGTATAAAGGAAATAATAATCAGTAATATTCTATTCTGTAAGATATTCTGAATTGTTAAAAAACAGTTTTGGACCTACATACTTGATCTTATTTATGGGAGTAATATTTTCGACAAGTATCAATATGTTTTACGTGAGTAGCATGTTATTAATAGTAACAGAAAATATCTATCTTATTATCTTTACGAAATATTCAAATCAGTTAAAGTTGACAGTTTTATTTTTATTATCGTTTTTCATTCAATTTACATGTACCTGCTTTCAGTTATTTCGAATAATAACGACAAAACAAAACATGCTAGAAATTATTGAACATAGTTTGTTAATAGTTTTGCACATCATATCTTTGATCGCAGCAAATTATGCCGGACAACAATTTATTAATTGCGACTCGCACGTACATCGAACGATGTAAGTAACCTAATTAATTATTACAGTTTTCTGAAGACATACCGTTTCATTTCTTAAATAGTTTAACTATAAGTCACGCAGTTTTTAATCTGGTCTTGTTTTTTTTTATCGTACAATATTTTCTTGCAATTATGCAGATGTAACACGCAATGGTATAATGCCCCCTTAAAAACACAAAAACTGATACTTTTCTTGATACAAAAAACTACAAAATGTTACAAAGTTGACGCCGGTGGCATGTTTAGTCCGAGCTTAGAAGGTTTAGCCACGGTAATAAAATAAAAGTTAATATTAACCAATACAACAGTTACAAACAACTAAAATACCAAATATTTCAGGGTTTAAGTATGTCTGCTTCTTATTTTATGGTATTTTGTTCTATGTAAGTATGAGTCACACACAATATACCGTTGTTGCTCCCTGGCCTTGGAGATATTTAATATACTATTGCTAACAAATACTATAATGAATAATAATGATGGACATTAGAAATATTGAAATGTAACCGAAGTACAAATAAATAAATCTGTTTCACATTCGATGTTATAATATCATTAAACTATGTCAATATTTTGTGCCAGTCGAATATGTTATTGATCAGCAGAAATACTTTCATATCGTAGGAATGTACATAAACATTGGATTGATTATTTTAAGAACCACCGGTCCAACTACTGAAATGTTGGTAGCAAACTCTTGTATGCTTTCGAACTGTTTAAAATAGTTGAGTAAATACTATCATTTCTTTTTATTAAACATACCATTATTTTGTCCTTAATTTAATCGTCCTTTTATTACATTTGATAAAACTAATTATGCCCCCTAATGTCTCGTCCGGATGGAGAAACTATGTAGTCGTGCCCCTGCACGCGCCTTGGCAACAGAATTAAAAAAACCCGCCACTCAGAAGCAAACGCCGCTCCGTGCCGTGGCGCCCGTGGCCGTGGCGCCCGTGTTTCCGTGCGCTGCGCATGCTCTCGTTCTTCATTGTGTTCTGTTCGTTAGCCTTGGTAACACGTACGTTGGTTAGCTTTATCAGATTCTTTCAGTTAATTTGTGCCAATTCTCTTTTTTAGCCATGCCTAGGCATAAAAAATCTAAAGAATTCCTCCTCGAGACACTCGAGAGAGAAAAGGCGCTCGCATACGCACAGCTCAAGATTACTCGGGGGATAGGCGATTGCGGGACCGTTGACGCAGTAGATCGTGGAATGCACGTCCATCTTGTATTTCTCGGACGCCAGAGGATCTATATTCTCGAAGTTCCCTCGTGGAAATTCTCGATCGAATGCGTGAGTTTATCACCTCCAGAGAAGTCGAGTATAACCTCCATTCTAAGGAGTGCTTAGGAGGTTATGTAATCCTCAGAACCGTTCTCAGGAGCCCCTCAAGTATTTCTCAGGGAGGTTCTGGTACTACTTCCTTCCTCACGCCACAGATTCTAAACCAGATTGTATAGTAGCAGCCGGTCGCACAAGCGATCGGGGCGTTATCCCACCAGGTATGTCCTTTTGTCGACCCAGCAATATTTGATAAATTCTGGCAAAGAGAGGACATAACCGATTGTCTCTTCTAGACCAGATTGTAGAAGAGCAGCCGGTCGCACAAGCGACCGGGGCGTTGTACCAGATATGTCCTCTTGTTGACCCAGTAATATTTGATAAAGCCTGGCAAAGAGAGGACATAACCGATTGTCTCTTCTATCGGCTACGCCGGTTTTTTCGCAAGTCGATAAGGTCGAGCCTCTGGCTCCCGGCACAGTGGCTTTCGTTGACACTCTTGTCACTATCCTTCCGGATTCTGAAGATCCGCTGGCTGCTCCAATGTCTCATACCTCGGCCAGAGAACTGTTTGGGGGATCTGAGATTCCCCCAACATCTTCTTGAGATCCTATCATTCTAGAGTCGATCCAAGCAGAATCCCGAGCAGGTTTGAGTGAGGAAACTCGTAATTGTTTTCTGGCTAAATACGAAGTCAAGGACCTTGCAGCATTAGCTTCACTGAAACGCTATAACGAGATCGTAGCGGCTTTAAGCTCTTCTATCTTCAAGAGAGACGAGTACTACTCACTCTTGCAAGCACAAGTAACTACCTGCCTCAATGCCTTGAGCTCATAGTGCATACGTTTTCGGACCACTATTGTCGCCTCTCTCTGACAAGAGCCTTTGTTAACCTTCTCTCAATATTATCGACAAGAATGCTACGGACACGGCGCCTTTGGACGAATTCCTTTTCGGTCACAATTTTGCCGAAATATTAAAGGCAGCACAGGCCTATAAGAGGATGAGTCGCGAGGTCGCCAAACTAGCACCTGTTTCAAGAAGGAAGACGCTGCAACCCGTTCGCCAGTAGGCGCCTCGTCCACAAAATCAGGCATCCAGGCTACAACTCTGAGGAATCGCAAGGCCCCTGTTCGTCTCTCGTTGGCTCGACAAACAAGAACCTCTCACATCAGGAGCCGCCGTCAAAGACCTCAGTCAGGGACCCAGTCTCGTTATCTATATTAAAGGATGAAAATCTTCAAGAATATTACCTACAAGAAGATGACGCAACCTGTTTCATCGATTTCAACACGAGTCATAGCACACTCGATAGCTATGATGCCGTGTATAAACGCCCTAACATAATATGCGTGAATGCGTCTTTGTTTACGAGTAATTTGCAGTTAAAGTTTGGCTCGCGGAGCCATGCCACACATAGGGCGCAAGTTACGACACTCTTTCACGAAGCCGGCGTGGTTGAGCAGACAGAGGCTCCCGCGAACACTTTTGCGCCGACGACGGCGTTCGAGTCCCGCCGACGACTGGTTCGTTTTTTTTTCGTATGTAAAGACATGTAATAAATATTTTTATATTGTTCTTATGTATAATTCCTTTTTTTGTTTCTACGCTATTAATCAAGGCTAATTAGGAGAGTCAGGTCTTTCAAATATAAACACAACTTTTTTATTAATTACAATAAAATGTTTTTGTCCGTATCAAAACACATACACACACACACATAAGACAAATATAAGGCACACAAATGAAAGTTACGTATTATAAAATGTGGTCATGCTATCGCAACTCTGCGGATGGAATGCCATATAAAAGCATGTAAAATATAATAATTTTTTGCACCAACTGCACGTAATGAACGCATAATTTTTTGCACAAATACACTTTTCACTATGTATAATTGGTGGAAAACATATTTGATTGACGTTGTAAAATACCTCGCGACTGTCAACAAGACTGGACGGAAATTGTACCAGGACATCTGCAAATATGAATTCAATATAATTGATATTGTATACAAGGCCAATAACAATACATACAAATATATCTTTCCATTGCACACACATTCAATATATTTACCTCGAAGATATTCTATTGCGTCCGTCAACTCTTCTTTCGTAATATCACATTTTGCTAGATTTTGCACATAGCTGATCGTTGCTTCATCTACAAACGTGGTTTCCATTTTTAACATGAGTTTTTCACTGTTCACGTTACGAAGACTGCCCAGAGAATGAAGCAAGCACGTCACAAAATATGAGAATCCCTCTGCGAGAAGGGGAAAGGGAAGAGAGTTCCTTTCCACTTGTAACGGTTCTAACGGCTCTCGGATTTCTCTCACACAAAATAATCACTGTCTGGCCATTTCTTTCCCATACCATACGAAATATTTATGCGAAAAAGATTTACACGAAAAAAACATTTTATTGTAATTAATAAAAAAGTTGTGCTCATATTTGAAAGACTTGACTCTCCTAATTAGCCTTGATTAATAGCGTAGAAACAAAAAAAGGAATTATACATAAGAACAATATAAAAATATTTATTACATGTCTTTACATACGAAAAAAAAACGAACCAGTCGTCGGCGGGACTCGAACGCCGTCGTCGGCGCAAAAGTGTTCGCGGGAGCCTCTGTCTGCTCAACCACGCCGGCTTCGTGAAAGAGTGTCGTAACTTGCGCCCTATGTGTGGCATGGCTCCGCGAGCCAAACTTTAACTGCAAATTACTCGTAAACAAAGACGCATTCACGCATATTATGTTAGGGCGTTTATACACGGCATCATAGCTATCGAGTGTGCTATGACTCGTGTTGAAATCGATGAAACAGGTTGCGTCATCTCCTTGCTAGCCATGAAGGAACTGGCTGGAAGAAAGTGTTGATGTCGAGTCATACAGTACATCATCGATGATATTCCTGATAGCAGCAACAAGGTAATGCTATTTGGAACTCAAAATTACGATTTCCGAGTCCTTCTTCGTACATATGAGAAGATATAGAAATGCAGTTCTATTAACAATAGGGGCGCTCTAAAGAAGGAGTCAATGGATAAATCAACCAAGGTCGACGCTAGATCATCCAAAAATGATCAAAAGAAGACACTAAAGACGACAGATCGCTGTTACAACTATGGTGAAAGCGAACATAAGTCGAATACTTGTAAATTCAAAGGTCGAGAAATGTTTTAAGTGCAATCATTTCGGTCACGAATCTAAAAATCTGAATAAGGATGGTTCTGATAATGCACAAGTAACGGCCAATGCTCTGGTAAAATCAATGTCAGTCGCATGTTTAAAGAAATTTTAATTGAAAGTAAAAATTTCCATGTTTTATTGGATACAGATAGTCATCACTCTTTGATGCGTGAGGATATCTTTACTTTGATTATTAATTCAAAACTGTGCAAATCAGAAATACTCTTGACAGGCATTGCCCAGGGTCAGGTTAGAACACTTAGACATTTTCATAACAATAATAGCAGATGGTTTTGATTTTCCCTTAATATTCCATGTTTCTTCCTAAGTTTTAGATGTCACAATAATCTTAGGCACTGATTTTGTTGATCAAGCTGAAATAACAATTAATCAGAATGGCATTACAGTTAATAAACTTAATGCTTTAGTTTTTCTCTCGCAGATTAAATTACTAGCTGGAAACGATGAAACAATTCACATAAGTTTGATAGTTAACAAGAAGTCTAAAAATATGATGTTAACGTATGTACCTAATAAGACAAAGACGACTGACATCAAGTAGTAGTAGTTCATTAGAAGACAAGAGAAATAATAAAGGCGTTGACTCGTCCTCTACTGTTTTGGTACTTTACATAATATTCAATATATTTCCCTTTTCTTTTACCATATTCTTCCTACAACTGTAAACTAATATTCACGGAAATAACAACTACGTTAACCGGTTAATCTAAAATCTCCTGTTTCTTAAGGCTTGAGTATGTCAACCTCTTATTTTATGGTTCTTTGCTTCATATAAAGATATTGTTCGAAAATACGAAAAATGGCGCAGTTAATTTCGGGGATATACAATAACCATAGGCGCTGACTTAGGGGGGGCAAAGCACTTTTGGCCCTCCCAATAATTTTATTGGAGGGGCGATGAAACAATATTACGCATACCTTACTCTATTCAGAGTTGAGCTGTTACTGCTCGTCAACGCGCGGGCTCAATTTCCCAGCAATGTGTACAAGGTTGGGTGAGAGAAAGAAGGACGGCATGACATTTTCTTTTAATTCAAAATGTTCTAATTTATAAGTTAACTTTTAACATTCTATATAACCTACATCTTTCTAAATACTTTCACCACTCCCCCTGGTGATGTAAAGACTAAAAAAAAGGTTATGACTTCTTGCCCCCCCAATATTTTTCCCAAGTCGGCGCCCCTGACAATAACGATATTAATACAAGAATGTAAATAAATGTAAAACTAACAGAGCTAGTTAATAAAATTTGAATAAGATGATACTCGCGATTCTTGTTATTTATATGTTAGAATATTTTGTTGAATATTTCAATACTTAAGCTTTTTTATATTTCACTTGTATTTCTTACATATATATATATGTATTACTCTCTTCTAAATAATGTTACCATTTGCGTAAAGAATTTTCATTAGATATGCTCGAAATAACTTTACAATGAACTTATACTATATCTACTAATTACAATATTTGCTCTTTTTATTTCTAATTATTGATCATGAAGGATATCATTACGGACCATGAAGGATTATATTAAATGAAAAATAAAATAATTTACAAATATGTACCATATAACCAAAAAATATATCTGATTTTTGTCTTACAGCATCCTAAGAATTCGGAAACACACAATACTTAACTGGGTATGTACTCGTACTATACCATCTATTATGCGATTTGTAATGATACAAAACGTGTCAGTGGAATATTTTTATAAACCTGCGCTTGCGTGTAAAAAGCAAAAGTAAAGAACGCTGAAATGTTTGTGTAACTAAAAACTAAATTGCAATAATTTAGTAATTACCGCCTGTTTCAGTGATGATACAAGAATATAACTTTCCTCTCCACGAAGACACGATATTTGTCCTCTTTATTTTAAGAATTATATCAAACTATGTAGCGTTCCTATGTACGCACTCGCGTGCGTATGAACAATTTATAAATTGCAAATTCCGAACCGCAATTCTAACGCTCACGCGACGAGGAAATGTGAGTAGCAAAATTGCGATTGAAACGCTAGAGGCAATAATTATATAAATACAGTTAGAGAAGGGAAACGACACTTCTTAGGGACTATAGAGTTTAGTAGGGCTTTGGCTGTCATTCGAGATGGTGTTTCCCGAAGAGCGATACTATAGACTCAATCACATTCTTCTATCAGTGACTGGTCTTTGGCCGTATGATGATAACAAAGTTAGACAAATGCGATTCATACTTCTTCTGCTAATAATAATGCTGATTATAAGTCCTCAGGTATTTGTATTTCTATAATGTATATCTGCAACATACATTTAATTTGAAAACATAAGAGCTGGCACTTCGTTGTAACAATATCGTTCTGTTAAAAATATAAATCTTTTCAATCATATACACCAACTACTTAAATGATATTAACATTGTATATTCCAAACTATTCTGTCAACATCAGGATTTATCGTGATATATGTGTAGTTGCTGAAATTATTCATTTCGGAATACAAGCTCGATACATTTCTGAAGGTGTTATCTCTGGATATTGTTATGATAATAGTAACCATAAAATATATCACGTTTTATGCTATTGTAGATAATGTAAGTTTGAAAGCAATTTAATATGTGTGCGCGATTAAATGTCGTTATGATAATGCTTCTTGTACTTACCAATAGATAAAAATATTTCGGCAGTATATTTCGGAAAGTTGGAGCAATTTAATTGACGAGCGAGAGATCCAAATAATATATAAGCAAGGGAAGGCTGGAAAAATATCTACAATAGTTTTAGCAAGTAAAAGAGAAACGTATATTTCATTATATACTATAAACGAAATCAATTATTTCCAATTAATAATATGATATTAACAACATTTTATCCTGTTTTTAGCGTTGGTTTATGTCATAATTCTTTTCTGCATCTTTACGCAATATGTCCCCAATATATTTGATATTATAAAGCCATTGAATGTATCTCGTCCGTGTCGATATTTCATTCTAGCCGAATATTTTATTGATCAGCAAAAGTACTTTCATATTATAGCAATGAACATAAACATTGGATTGCTTGCTTTAGGAACCATTGGATTAGCAACCGAAACATTTGCATTAGCGAATGCATTATACGCTTTCGGTCTGTTTAAAATAGCTAGGTAAATATTATCATTCCTCTTTTATTAAACATATGGTTACTTTAATCAAAACTTGTTATATTTGATTTTTTCAGTAGAAAATATTGCTAAATAGCGAGTTTTATGATTGAATTAATTTAATGATATAAATTATATTTTTCATTCAAAGGATATTATTTGTTGTATTTATTTTTTCTAATTTTTCTCTATTTAATTTATTCGTGCAGTTTCAATATTTAAATCAGATTAATATTTCGTAAAATATATAACACGTTGTGATATTACTACAAATAAAATAACTATGTAAGATAACTATAATGTTAATCTATTGAACTGTTGTCACATGTTAGACGGCTTATTTAGTATATATTAATACCATATATCAGCTAGTGAATAAATTTTTATAGTTACCGTATGAATGATATATTAAATGGAAATCATCTACAGATATCGGCCACCAAGAAATATGTAGCATCTCGCGTCAAAATAATCGCTGCAGTAGACATGCATAGACGGGCAATTCAGTTAGTAAACCACTTGAATCAAAATATCTATGCATTACATTATTTATTAATTATATTATAATTAATAATTAGTGATATATAAAATTTCATTGAGATTATAATCCTTGAGAATTATTTCGTGTATATCTTAATTTGCTTTGAATTAAGAATGTAATAATTAATTCTCGAATTGCACTAATCAATATGTCTGATATGTATAAAGGAAATAATAATCAGTAATATTCTATTCTGTAAGATATTCTGAATTGTTAAAAAACAGTTTTGGACCTACATACTTGATCTTATTTATGGGAGTAATATTTTCGACAAGTATCAATATGTTTTACGTGAGTAGCATGTTATTAATAGTAACAGAAAATATCTATCTTATTATCTTTACGAAATATTCAAATCAGTTAAAGTTGACAATTTTTATTTTTATTATCGTTTTTCATTCAATTTACATGTATCTGCTTTCAGTTATTTCGAATAATAACGACAAAACAAAACAGGCTAGAAATTATTGAACATAGTTTGCTTATAGTTATGCACATCATATCTTTGATCGCAGCAAATTATGCCGGACAACAATTTATTAATTACGACTCGCACGTATATCGAACGATGTAAGTAACCTAATTAATTATTACAGTTTTCTGGAGACATACCGTTTCATTTCTTAAATAGTTTAACTATAAGTCACGCAGTTTTTAATCTGGTCTTGTTTTTTTTATCGTACAATATTTTCTTGCAATTATGCAGATGTAACACGCAATGGTATAATGCCCCCTTAAAAACGCAGAAATTGATACTTTTCTTGATACAAAAAACTACAAAATGTTACAAAGTTGACGCCGGTGGTATGTTTAGTCCGAGCTTAGAAGGCTTAGCCACGGTAATAAAATAAAAATTAATATTAACCAATACAACAGTTACAAACAACTAAAATACCGAATATTTCAGGGTTTAAGTATGTCTGTTTCTTATTTTATGGTATTTTGTTCTATGTAAGTATAAGTCACACACAACATACCGTTTTTGCTCCCTGATCTTGGAGATATGTAATATACTATTGCTAACAAATACTATAATGAATAATAATGATGAACAATAGAAATATTGAAATGTAACCGAAGTACAAATAAATAAATCTGTTTTATATTCGATGTTATAATATCATTAAACTATGTCAATATTTTGTGCCAGTCGAATATGTTATTGATCAGCAGAAATACTTTCATATCGTAGGAATGTATATAAACATTGGATTGATTATTTTAAGAACCGGTCTAACTACCGAAATGTTGGTAGCAAACTCTTGTATGCTTTCGAACTGTTTAAAATAGTTGAGTAAATACTATCATTTCTTTTTATTAAACATACCATTATTTTGTCCTTAATTTAATCGTCCTTTTATTACATTTGATAAAACTAATTATGCCCCCTAATGTCTCGTCCGGATGGAGAAACTATGTAGTCGTGCCCCTGCACGCGCCTTGGCAACAGAATTAAAAAAACCCGCCACTCAGAGCCGATGTGAAGTTGGCACCTCATTTTCTAGCACCGCACAAGTTTGAAACTTACAGCCAGCACCGCACCACAAGAGTAAAGTATGAGTCTGCTGCCAGTTCCAGCCGACTTCTGGGCTTCCTTTAGTAGTTCTACAATAGTTCCAACGCTTTAGGTTGATCCCGTCGCGGATGCCGACCTTTAACTATTTTTAAATAATTTTTGAATCTCAGCACCAGCACCGCATCACAAGAGTAAAGTATCAATTTGCTGGCAGTTCCAGCCGACTTCTGGGTTTCTTTTAGTATTTCTACAATAGTTCCAACGCTTTAGATTAGTCCCGTCGCGGGTGCCGGCCTTTAACTATTTTTAAATAATTTACTCTTGTGATGCGGTGCTGGCGCTGAGATACAAAAATTATTGAATTTATTGAATTATTGAATTATTGAATATTTCCAGCAAGTGTATAAGACCTTTGGTCCTTTTAACATAGATCTTTTCGCTTCCGCGATTAATAAATGCGACGCGTGCGTCTCTTGGTTTCCGAACCCGGGTTCGCTTACAACAGATGCATTCGCTTCCGCATGGGAAGCACTTAATTTCTTACGCCTTCCCACCATTTATTTTATTACCACACGTATTACGAAAACTTATAGACGACGAAGCAACGGGAACTCTGATGGTACCGTGATGGCCATCATAAGCTTGGTTCTCGCTATTTCAACGACTCCTGATATCGAAGTCATTAATTCTATCTCCCAGCCGTCTCTTACTTTCTTCATCTTTCAGGTACCATCATTCATCATGGAAGATTCTCTCCCTGGAGGCGAAATTTTCAACGAGGCGTTTAAGACACGCTTAGTGCCTCCAGTAGCCATTCCAGCACTACGATCTTTTCGGAAGCAACCATAAAACAGTGTCAATGGTGGTACTTTCGTCGGAGGAGTAAAATACATCTATATTCCCCAACGTTTCTCAAGTACTGGAATTTCTGGCTCAGGAAGCATTCAACGTTGCTTCATACTCGAGCTTGAATAACATGAGATCAGCAATTTCCTTAATCTCTCACAATAAGATTGGGAACCATCCTATGGTCAAGCGTTTCTGCAAAGGTATAGCAGCATTCAAACCACCGCGGCCTCGGTAGGACTTTGTTTGGAATCTGGCCCCTGATTGAACAAAGCTTTCTACGATTTATCCGTATGATTCTCTCTTCCTGAATATCATTACTAAGAAATTAGTCATTCTTCTTTCGCTTGCCCCAGGTCAATGAGTTTAAACTCTCATCTCTTAGAATTTCACAAATCTCTGTAGACGATAAGCTAATTCTAGGCTATCCAAATCGAATCAAAACCTCAGCGCCGGGCCGTTCTCACTCTCTTTTTTCCTTTTCACGATTCGAAAACTATAAGAATTTTTGTGTCTTTCGCCTAGTACAATTTTACTTGGAGAGGATTAGATCATTACGTCCTGCCGGTTGCAATGCTTTCTTCATTGCACCTAAGAAATCCCTCAAGGCGGTTACAGCACAAACGATAAGTCGCCGGATTTGACAGAGCTTAAAATACTGCGGAGTTAATAGTAATATGTTCTCAACCCATAGTACGTGTCATGCCTCTACTTTGCGGACAGCCCAAAAGGGTATCTCTCTAGACCTAATTAAACGCGCAGCAGGTTGGACCGGGACAGTCTCGCATCTTTGCGAATTTCTACAATAAGCCCATTATCAGTATAGAGGACTTTAGTAATGCAGTTCTTTCATTATGATATTTTACCTTCCTTTCTTCTCTCTCTTGAAAGAAAACATAGGAGTCAAATAATCCTAGTTTTAGTTACCCTCTTCTTTCATATAATCACTACCTCTAACGAGGTTATATTATTTTAATTTTATTTAATACTTTCGGATTGATATTTTCAAGGCAAATCGCCAGGATTTAAACAGCTACATAGTTTCTCCATCCGGACGAGACATTAGGGGGCATAATTGTTAGATTGAACGAACTTACCAATGAAGTTCGATCCTAATTATGCTCTTTTGTCTCGTCCGGATGGACGCCCTCCCGTTTATTTTGTATTTCTCTTAACATTCCCACCCCTATGTGTGGTGATTAGCCTCAATGCTTTAAACTTATGAAAAACGAGGGCGCGCGCAGCGCACGGAAACACGGACGCCACGGCACGGAGCGACGTTTGCTTCTGAGTGACGGGTTTTTTTAATTCTGTTGCCAAGGCGCGTGCAGGGACACGACTACATAATTTCTCCATCCGGACGAGGCAAAAGGGCATAATTAGGATCGAACTTCACTGGTAAGTTCGTTCAATCTAAATATTATCTTCAGTAAAAATACCGCCGGAACGAACTTTATAAGGAACGAACTTTATAATCGATTTGATATGATTTGAAATTACTTTTTCTATTCACAGAATAAGCTTCGCTTGTTGCGTTTATTATAGTAGACTTTTTTTCTATAGGGGATGTTCCAGAACAATAATTCCAGAATTCATGGGGGCGTAGAACGGATTAAGGCGAATCAAAAAGTATACCGTTTTGCGATACTTGCTATAGTTATCAAGTTATTTCTAATGACAGAAATCTGACGAATGAGCTCACGCCGAGATGATCTTAAAAGAGCCGCTTGTGTTTAACTTAGCTCAGTCGATCTAGCAACATCTTTTCCCTCGCTCCGCGCCGGCAATAGTTACTAAATTAACTGGATAGCGCTCTTTTCCGAGTGGCTGCAATGCTTCTCCAGTCACTCATCTTGGCGCGCACTCACTTGTCAGATTTCTAATAACTCGATAATTATTATACTACATGTACAATGATTATATGCAATAGTTACGATTTTAACGCATTCGATTCATGATGTTATGTATTTCATAACATGACTTTCATATATTAGTATATGTTAGTTGCATGTACTAGCTAACTACAGTCTTTACAGTATTATGAAAAGTATATCAAATGCGAATCATTTACAGATATATACTACTGAACAATATATCGCGACTGAACATCTCATGACTGAATAATCTACAATGGACATACATAGCTGGGCGATATAGTTAGTACTATGTAAACTATGTAAATAAAAAAAATCATTTAATACATCCATATACAATAGATAATAGATTATATAAATAATAGAAATAAATAATAGATTATAAATATTGCATATATCCGTTATTTATATTCATAATCAATGAATTATATAAAATTCATCTAAAATTATAAATTGAGGATCATTTTGCACTTTAATTTAATTTAAATTACAAAAATTTAGGGATATAATCATTAATTCGAGCTTGCGAACATGTCTAGTATATGTACATGAGGGGAATGTAACAATGAAAAATATATTTTATTCTGTAAGATATTCTGGATTAAGAAAATGAAATTTTTGCGCCAATCTACTTATTCTTATCATGTTTATGGGAATTGTATTTTCCACAAACATCAATCTATTTCACTTAAGTAACGTTAACTAACGTTTACGTAATTATTTATATACAGATGTTTTATTTCTCGTTGGCATGATGAAAATGTAACGGTTTAAACCACCAAATCTTTCAACAGATTTACACATGCCTGTTTTCAGTTCAAATAATAACGTCAGCGGAAAATATATTAGAAATTGGTGAGCATGTAATGTAAAGTTTGCGTCTAATAATTTTGATCGCAGCTACTTGCACCGGACACCGGACAATTTATTAATTGCAATACAGACATAACATGCTTACAATATGTATTGTACCAATGACGATATAGATAATATTGTTAATAAAATTTAACATGCATGGTACAATATTTCCTTAAAGATGCAAAAATTGAAAATAGGAAATTGATATTCTTGTTGAGACAGAAAACTACAAAATGTTACGAAGCTGACGCCGATGGTATATTTAGTCCGAGCTCGGAAGATTTAACCATGGTAAGAAATTATAAATTTCTATTAACATAATAGTTATAACAATTAGAACGAATGGATTCCTAATACCTTAGGGCTTGAGGATGTCAGTCTGTTATTTTATTTTACTTTACTCCATATGAACATAGTGTCACACACACAATACAACACAACATGTATACATATAAAACACCACACACAGATGCTACAAATAGCTATCGCAAAACTACAAAATGTTACAAAGTTGACACCGGTAATATATTTAGTCTCAATTTGAAAAGCTTAATCGAAGTAAAAGATTTTATGTTAAAATTATAAGTCTGAGGCAATAGTCATGTGGAATAATTACATAAAAAATATCATTAAAAAGAAAGTTCGGCAGACAAAGTACTTTGAACATGATAATACTGTGGTCGCGCACTATTCAATTCACAAAGGTGTAAGTCTTGCTCGTGCAATATACTTTGTTCTTTACTGCATCTATACGTCCTCGGCGGAAATAAAAGTATGAAATATTTAAATGCACAGTATAGTTGAAAATGTAGTAATTTAGTAACTCTCCTATTTCCTTAATAAAACAAAAATATAGCTAATTTCCAACAATAATCCGTTCTCCATTTTATTGCACATTATTTTAAACTGCTTCACGTTATCTCTGGACATATGTATGTAATTCATTTTTAAATTCTAAATGTGGACTATATACCTTTAATATACAAATAACATGCAACACAGAAAGGAGGGCGGAATGAACTTCTACAGACTATAGACGTTCAGTAAAGCTTCGACCGTCATTTGAGATGGGGTTCCCCGGAGAACGGTACTATAGATTTAATCACATTCTCCTCTCATTGATTGGGCTCTGGCCATATAGTAGTAAGAAAATCAGATGGATTTCTTTTATATTAACAACACTAGTATTCATATCGTATTTACTTATTCAGGTATTGACATCGCCCTCCATAAATAACTGTTTTATATCACAGTTTTATCGTAGAATTATATCTGCGCACGTGTACACGTTAAAAGATAGTCCTATCTTCTTTCACTTAAATTCAATATCCCCAAATGTGCAATGTTATTTTATGTTCATTTTATATTTCGCCTCGTTATCTGAAACTTCACTTATTTTTACTGTTCTATTGATTGTATGTGTATTTATTTTAATTAATAAAAATAACTTTTATATCAAACACTCCGTTATGTTATCGTCAAGGTTTATTATTGCGTAACTACTTTAAAATATGAATATACATATGAGAATTATACCATTTGTCCTATATTTTATATTTTAGTTGAATTTTTATATAAAATATCGCATATGTATCTTACTATGTACAACATGTTACATTTTCAGTTGCTAAAATTAGTTTTTTAGGAATATAATCTCGAACTTCGTCTTAGGATGTTATCTTTTGATTTACTAATTTCGCAGTGGGCCCTAAAATTCATTACTATTTATGCTGCTATAAAAAATGTAAGTGTGGCAACAAATTGATCTGAAATTAATTGTTATATACGATAATATCTATTATATATATGCTAATAGGTAAAAAAAATACATGAATATATTCAAAGTAACTGGAGCATTCTTAGGGACAATACAGAGATTGAAATAATACGCAAAGAGGCTAACAATGGAAGAAGATATACAATTGCTATAGCAGGTAAATGATATGTATATTTTAAATTACTTGTTTCTTATAAATTTTGATTGTCTGATATATTTACATATTACTTAAGTTTTATATTTGACACAACTTAATCCCTTCATCATGCCGATGACGAAGATTTACATTATATTTTGCAAAATATTGCCTCAGAAAAAAATATAGCTATCAGAAAAATGAATTTTTCAAATTTTCGAATATTTATGTTATGATATATTTTATTATATTAAAGTTCTACAATAGATTAATATCTGAAACGAGACACATTTAAAATTTTTGATTTACTGAATATAATTTTAAAGTCGTATTTGCTTCCGAAAAGAATATATTGATATTGATATTGATGAAAAAATTAAAATTTTCTGTATTTTTATGGACATGAAATATTTAGATTTATTAAACTTTCAAAGTGTGTCTATGAATAAAATAACAAAGATTTTGAACCTGTTTTGAATATGGAATATTATTTTAAAATCTATAGAATCAAATAGTATGAGTACAAAAATAAAAATTATCAAAATTTGTAATTATTTATCAAATAATTTTGAACTTATGTGTAATTTAAAACGCTAAAGTACTTTTATCCTTAACAGTAGATAGTATATTTTTGTAATAAAATATGCAACTCATAGATGGTTAATTTCACAACGAGAATATTATTAATAGGATTTTACGCCTGACTTTTTAGTTTTGAATTTTTAATTTATAATGTTTTCTTTTTGTTTAATATTATAATATATATTATATTAGGTAAATCGGAAAGTCCATTTAGCGGCAAATAGCTATAGCTAGAACTGTCGTTAACCTCCAATGTCTAAATGAAGCTTAATGGTTTGTTTTGATATCTGTCAATAACATTCAGTACATAAAGATATACGTTTGCATCAATAACATTGTTTTTTACTACATCGAAAATGTTGAAATTTGAGCCAAATAAGCATCATTTGCGCGAAGTGTTAATCTTTTGCTTCAATTGAAAAAAAACTGCATCTGAAGCTCATCGAATGTTTGTAGAAGTTTATGGTAATAATGCTCCTTCCGGTAAAACATGCAGGGAATGGTTTCGACGCATTAAAAGTGATTATTTTGATGTAGAAAACAAAAAACATTCTGGACGGCTAAGAGTATTCGAAAATGAAGAATTGCAAGCATTGGTGGACGAAGACTTATGTCAAATGCAAAAGCAACTTGCAGAAGCATTAAATTGTGCTTAATCTGTCATTTCCGATCGTTTGAAAGCCTTAGGAAAGGTTTACAAGGAAGGAAAATGGGTCCTATATGAATTGAAACCAAGAAACATTGAAAGGTGAGAAACCACTTGCGAAATTCTGCTTACTAAGCAACAAAGAAAGGGGTTTTACATCGTATCATCACTAGGGAAGAAAAATGGATTTATTTTGACAACCCCAAATGTCGAAAAACTATTTGCGATCCCGGCCAACCCTCAACATCGACGCTAAAATGGAATATCCACAGAAAGAAGGCATTGCTCTCTATTTGTTGGGATCAGAAGCGTGTGCTGTACCATGAGCTGTTGAAAAGTGATCAAACAGTCACAGGGGATCTCTATAGAGAACAAATGATCTGTTTGAGCCGAGCATTGCACGAAAAATGACTAGAATATGAAATGAGACAGCATAAAGTGATTTTGCTTCATGACAACGCTCGATCTCACGTCACAAAATCTGTCAAGGAAATGTTAAAAGCACTTCGCTGGGAAGTGTTACCCCATGCAGCTTATTCACCAGACTGTGCCCCTTTCTGATTTGTTTCGGTCGATGGCACACGCACTTGCTGACGAATGCTTCAATTCTTATGAAGACGTCAAAAAATGGGTCTTTGACTAGATAACCTCCAAAGATAAGTCATTCTTTCGCTGCGGAATTCGCTTGCTGACCGAAAGATGGAAAAATGTCATCGCTAATGATGGATAATATTTTGATTGATGTACATTTTCATTTTGTTTCTTAAATAAAGCCATACATTTTGCAAAAAAACAAACGGAACTTTCCGATTGACCTAATTTATCTCTATTTCTTTCTCTATATTTTTGCAATTTTTTCACCTTTATCATTTTTAAATTAATATAAAGTAAATAAAAAATTATTAGAAATAATGAACAAGAAATTAAATATAAAATTATTTTTAAAATTATTTATATTTTTTATATTTATATTATTTATATTTGGTTTTATATATTATTTTGGTTTTATATATATCTTTATAACATTTTATATTTCATGTTACAAATACCTTATAAGGTAATAGATAAAAGTAAAATGATTCAATCGGATTGAATTGAACAGAAACTAAATTTTTACGATTAATTGATAATTGATGAGTTTGATATTATATTCTCAATATGGTTTTCTTTTATAAATAATGAAATATTTTAGCTGCATATTGAAATGTTTTTTTTATTTGATAAAAAGATGCCCATGCATATTCATGTACGCAAACTTTAAATTTGATATTTTAGCTGCCACTTTGAGTTTAAAACAAATAATTCTTAAACTTGACTTGAAATTCGTCATCAGCATCATTTAAATCTCTTATACAAGGTGTTTGGTAACTCATATATCCATAGTCAATGGAGATGTAGAACTGACTAAAACATAAAACATAAAAATCCCATACCGTTTTGCAATATTTGCAATAATTATCAAGCTATTAATTATAGAAATTTGACGAATGAGTGCACGCCGAGATGAATGATTAGAGAAACATTGCAGCCGCTCAGGGCACAACGCAGCCCAGTCAATCTAGCAACTATTGCCGACGTACAGCGAGACATGGGAGCGGTAAAATAAGACTAGCACATAGCTGAAATAGCGGCGCATTGTCTTTGCCTTCGCCGCGCGTCGGCAACAGTTGCTAAGTCGACTGGGCCGCGCTCTTACCCGAGTGATTGCAATGCTTTTCTAACCATCTATCTCGTTACGCCAGATTTCTATAATTAATAACTCGATAATTATTGCAAATATCGCAAAATGGTACGGGACTTTTATGTTTGTCTTAATCGAATCTGTCTCCATTGGCTACATGAGTTACCAAACATCTTGTATAAACTATCTCCGAATATAAACTTCCATTAATTTTCGAGAGCTTTTCATTTTCAAGATTTTAAGACCTTTTAGTGCTATTTTATGGAGGAAAATAATGTGAAGGAGTTAAAAACAATGCAATCGATTTTTATAATTTTTAATTTTCCGAAACCTGTACCAGTAATTGCTTTTCCATGCTACGATAAAATATAAATATTACGAAAACCGATTACTTTGTTTTTAATCATTTTATAAAAGGACAAATTTTATTATTCTTTGTTAATTTCATTTGCTATTTAACAGAAGAATTGGTTCGAACATTTCTTTATGAAGAAGCAGTTATTATCTCTACTTAAATAAATTAATAAAATTCTAAAAATTCCAGTAACTGTGTGTTCATTAGCTTCCATCTACATGTTAATACATTGCATCCCAAATTCATTTCTTATTATAATGCCACTGAACGAATCTCATCGATGTCTATTTTTAAACACAACAAAGTGTTTCATCGGACAGCAGCAATACGTTTATATCTCAATATTGCAAATGACATTTGGAATAATTGTTGCAACGATTACTGGAATAGCTACCGAAACGTTTTCGTTATCAAACGCATTACATGCTTTTGCATTATTTAAACTCGCTAGGTAAACTCCGTAACACTGTGGTATTCTCTATTATTAAAAACTTATTCATGTTTTCTAAAAATTTGTTTTACGATCAACGATAATAAATTCTCGAATTAAAAAGATCTTTTTATTCGAGAATAAAATTCGCTTATTCGTTACATCTATCAATTCGTAATTACTAATTTTATTCAATATGACTCTTGATTTTAGTTTATATTTATTATTTGGACATTTATAATACAAATGTTAGAATGTTTATTAGAATAATATAGTTGTCTATAAGCATACATGTTATATTGTGCATGTTATTTCTTTCATGACACGTAGAATTTTATAGTTATCGTATGGAACGTATATTAATTGGAAATGATCTGCAGATGTCTGCGACTAAAAAATACGTCTTATATCGTGATAAAATAGCTGCTGCAGTTGATATCCACAAAAGAGCAACCGAGTCAGTATGGTATTAACAAAATACGAAAATTACCATCTCTTACAGCTTTCTTACTTGGACACTTGTTAGAAGCTGTATATTTAAAACAGTTCCACATTATAGTTTATAGTTCCATATGTAGTTTGTTCCGTATGAATAATATTAGCAAGAGCTGAAAATAAATATAATGGCTTTCTATAATTTTATTTTTAATGTAACTTTGCATATGTGTATGTTGCAAACATGCTTCTGATTTACAGTAATATCGATGCCTAATGTAATCCGCTTAAATAATGAATAATAAGATATTATATATATATATATATATACACATTTATTTTAGATTTTCTAACTTATTAGTAGCAACTTTTGGGACACCGTATTTGTTTTTATTTATATTGTCCGAATGTTCAGCAAGCATTTGTGTAAGTAGTACGTCAATTTCATATCATTGATTCCTTTATCGTTAATTTCGCGAAACTATTTGCAATTGTCAAAGTCATTGAATTTTCTTCCAGTTGTTTCTAATCTTGACCATGAGACTGAGACCATTAGAAATAATCATGTCTGTCCTATGTATATTTTGCAATTTTTTATTCCTAATTATAGGCAATTTTGTTGGACAGATATTCATAAATTATGACACATATATCTATGAAAGATTGTAAGTAACATTGTATTATATATTATATACTTATCGTGCCATTTTGTAATATTTTAAACTTTCACGATTTTAAGAATAAGTAACTTGTATGAAATCTTTTCACTAATTAATACTATCTTATAAACATGTAGATGCAATATACGATGGTACAATATTCCGCTGAAGGCACAAAAATTGATACTCTTTATGATGCAAAAGGCCACGAGAAGTTACAAAGTTGACGCAGGCGGTATGTTTAATCCTAGCTTGAAAGGTTTAGCTACGGTAAGGGGAAATCACGTTATTAATAGAAATAATCGCAATATTATATCAGTAATTAGTATTATATTATATAAAAAGATATATTTTGTTTTTAGACTATGAGTCTTATGTATTCCTTTGTCATGATGTTAACTTCTATGCAACGATAACGGCCATTAACACGAAAAATATCACAATTAATCGCAGTCTATTAAGACGTCTATTTAAGATAAGACGTACAAGAAGATTACAAGAATATATTGTATTTTAAATGTTATGGCAAACCTTTTAATGTTCTCTTTTACATGTAAAAAACAACTCGATTGAACAATTTGAGTGAAAAAATATATTACTTGGTTTTTTTTCACTACAAGTAATTCTTTATTTCTTGCTATAATATTAATTAGTAAGTGTACAAATTTCCTTTTTAGCAGAAAATATGTCGATTTAACTGGTATAGATGGTTGAATTCACTTAAGCATCGGCTATTTAAAGAAAGAAAAAATTCTCTTACTGTTTTTCTTGTTTTTAATTTGCATATATGTATTAATTGTACAAATTAATTTTCAGCCTCTTTTAATGAGAATTAAGGTTTACTTATATACGTAGAATCAGACTATACTTCAGTCAACTATAATTCAGTCAAAAAAATAATTACCACTAATATCGACACATTTCTTACATTTTTCACGGAGCTGGCGGATTCTCATTTGATAAAAAGACGATATTGAGTTAATGAAGTCTTTAATATATTAGGTATGTGAATTAGTTTGATCCATCTGGCGGTCAATTGCTGTACTGTATAATTTTCTAACCTCTAATGTCTGCAAAAGGCTTTATTTTTTAGTTTTGATATCTGGCAATAATATTCAGTTGATAAACGTTTAGGTTTGTAACAATAACATCGTGTTTATCTGATTCGAAAATGTCGAAATTCGAGTCAAAAAAGCATCATTTCCGAGTTCTCATTTTTTTGCTTTCATTTGAAAAAAACAGCCGCTGAAGCTCATCGAATACTCCGTGAAATGCGATTTAAAAAATACATACATAATAATTAAATGTACACATAATAATTAAATGTACGCATAACAGAAAAATATACAGATGCATTGTGAAAACAATAAAACTGTAAGTCATTAAGAATTCTACCGATAGAAGATACTTCTTTTCAGTTGGCAAAAATCATCACATCCGTGTATGATTTGACATCGTTTCTCCAGGTTCTATCGTTTGCAGTACCCTATTTAGTGTTCTCTATAAAATATACTGCATTTTGCATAAAATCTAGGGATGTAAGTTGGAACTGTTTTAATATGCTCCCGCATGATTATTATAATTAACATAATTATGCTATTGTAATAATATAGATACAAAAATTAATGGAAAAAATAGAATGCAATTGGATTACAACAAAACGCAAAGAGGAAAGTACAAATATTACACCAAAATGCCCTGTTTGGATACTTTGTGACCATTGCTATGGGAAGTAAGACGCTTTCTCAACGAATTCTAAAAGCATAATCTATACTGAACTGTTAAAATACTGAATGAAAGAATAATGTTTTATATGTATTTTGTACATATATGTACTTTTCCACTTTTTTGCCAGATTAATTGGTCGCGTCTGTACTTATGTTCCATTGATTGTTAATTTAACGTTGCATTTATTTCAATTTTTTCAGCAATATTGTACTCATTCATATTCATGTTCTTATTGATGCAAATTTTGCCGAAAGTACTCGATGTAGTAGCGCCCTTGAACGAATCGCGACCGTGCGAACTTTTAGGATTGGCTACGTATATTCTCGATGAGAATGCACTTTTTTGTGATATACACATGACAGTGGCTCTTATGGCCGAGATGACTACATTACTGGCCACAGAGATAACGTGCTTGGGCTACATACAACACTCCTCCGCATTGTTCGAAATTACAAGATAAAAATCGAGGCGATAGAATTAAAAGTAAGAATCCTCGCAGAAAGTCAATTACATCAGCTGGAAGCAGGATAATGCATCGAAATGAATAACAAGATTGATTAGTATTAACAGGTGTTATTATATCGTTACAGTTTTCGCATAGAGCACATATTCGACTATTGCATATTCCTGTTTTGGATAAAAATTCAGTGCTCCACGCAAATATAATTGATGCAGTAGTCAGTCACAATAGAGCTATCGAGTATGTAGCGACATGCTATTATCGTTACTTCACGATTAAGAATCGAAATAAAAAAATCTCAGCGGGCAAAAAGCGAATAAATGAAATGCACGATTTTTAGAAGTTTCCATTGTTAAAGGTATTTTGAGTTCCTAAATTCCAGCTTCGGAATATCTTACTTTATCTTTTTGCTGCTTGGCATATGTTCTTTAAGTATCAACATGTTTTGCGTGAGTATGTTATTATATATTAGTAATGACACTATAGTAATAAAAAAATTCGTATGTTTCTGTATTATTATATATTTTATAACTTTGTTTATCATCATACACTGCGCGCTCGTTAACTATTTGTCATTGTTAAACCGTTACCTAATTGATCGTTAAATTTAACTTTAGCTAAACTGCAAATGCACAAATTTAATTGCATTAACTCGATCAAATACATTTGTCGAAGACGAATCATGCGTTTCTACCGCGAATGTCTCATTTTGCATTTTTACCATAAAATGCACATCAAACATAAACAGAGAAATTTCATGCTATAAAACGTTTCTTCGCGCGTAATAGCTTTTCCAGGCAAGCTACACAAGAAAGATGAAAGAGGCGTTCGTGATAACTCTGTTTGTCATGGGTCATTTTATTTACATGTTTGCGAGTAATTTTATAGCGCAGAGCATAACAAACGTTAGTTGCAATATATTCTTTACAACGTAAGTATTCATTTTGCATTACCGACGTTTAGTTTATTTTAGTATTATTAGATTAGTATTTAGTATTTATACGAAGAAATATAAACATTTTGCGTTACCGCATGATTTCAATAATAACAAAAAAAGATATGCGCTAGATAAGTTTAAAGCTTGAGACTACATTTATCGTAGTATGACAATCTTAACGATATTATGATTTGTCACAGAACAATTTATATATAGTGATGTGCACATAACATTATTCTCTCTCTCTCTCTCTCTGTCTCTCTCTCCCTTTCTCTCCCTCTCTCTCCCTCTCTCCCTTCCCCCTCCTTTCCCCCACTCCTTCCCTTGCTTTCTTCCTCCCTCCCTCCCTCCCTCCCTCCCTCCCTCCCTCCCTCCCTCCCTCCCTCCCTCCCTCCCTCTCTCTCTCTCTCTCTCTCTCTCTCTCTCTCTCTCGCTCTCGCTCTCTCTCTCCGTTGAATCTCCGTTCTTTCTATAGGCATATAAGTCAGAGGAACTTCAACAGGTGGTTCTCTTCGGTAACTTACATCATTTAACATCTCCTTTAAAGCGATTCAAAACATTTTTTAGACATACTTATTGATGTTGATTAAAACGGCAACAGTTAGTAAAATATTTGGCTATTTGATAAAGCTACGATATGTGTATAATTAATACTAGTCGTGATTGAAGCACAATGATAGAAATGGAATATTTATGACAAAAGGTTTTCCTTTTAAAAATATACGTACATATATCGTATTTATAACGTTAGAAAAAAGAGGGAATTATTATAAATTGCACTAGCACTTCCATCTCTGATAAATGTATTACGATTCATATTTTTTTTCCACTTCACTAGGTGAGTGCACTTTTCTTATTCATTCCATTCGCTAACATCGTTAAAAACGTTACATGGAGAATGCAAGTGGTTAAGAAAAAGGTGTTCGAATGTTTTAGAACAAGTGAACAAAAGGAAAAGAAAATTCACGCAGGATAAATTGTTATTCTAAGCACAAAAGCATAAAGAAAAACAAAGCTCCCATAAAGAGATTCATTTGATCGCATCATCATTATAATAAAAATTAAAGAGATTTTTCCTGTAACTACTCCTTAACTCCTTAACGAGGAAGGATCCTTGCGAGAAGCAATTTTAAAAAATTCATAATCCGGGAGTCTTTAATACGTCGTTATACACTGCAGATTCGTGTGCGTATTATTTTTACATGCCTAAGTATGTCATTTTAATATGTTTGAACGTTATTTGACATGTTTGTCATAAACGTCAAATGATGTGATTTAAGACGTTAAGAGACATATAAAAAAGTGTCAGTCAATCATACGCTTATGTATATATAAATAATACACGCAGATTTGGAATTTCATCACAATTTCGAATGCAATCACACCATAGCGCTACCACACTGCGTGTGTACAAATATATTGACATCCATAATGGCACACTAAACCACACGCAAAATTCAATGCAAAATCCAAAAGAAATAATTCTCGCGGTATTTGTCACAAGTGGCACACGCCTCATAAGAAGGTCCTCATCACTAATTATATAATATATTCGCATGGCACTCCTTTTTTACATCACGTTAATACGTTAGCACAGTTGCAGTATTCATATCACGAGGGAACGAAAAGAGGCACCGCGACGCTTCACGTTTCGAATAGAAATGAAAAGGCGTTGAAAGTACACGAAAGCAACTTTGCAATTGCGCCTGCGTCGATCGAACGTAAGGAAGGAACATCAGACGTACGACCCAATATGATACGCTGAGAAAAAAATATTCAGTCACCTGATGTACAAGTAATAAAAAAATTTTCTCTCCAACGTTTACGTATGCACCCTATACGTCCATAGGTCAGAGCTATAATTTGCTCCAGTTACCCTATTGTAATTCCGTGCGACGTCGGTTAGGCGATATCTCGAAAATACGGAAATAGATAAACTTCAAAATTATAACACGCACGATAAAAGATACCGCCGTGAGCGGAGATGGCTGTTATTGGTAAAAGAAATTCTACATGAACGCATCGCGACACTTGCACCGAGATGGATGACACTATGAGTAATTACTATACGATTAATCGAATTCTCTTACTAATTATTGGACTCTGGCCCTACCAAAGGTGTTATCTCAGATATATTATGATAACATTTGTGACCACGATACTTTTGTCCGGCATAATAGTACAGGTATGACACGCACTCTTTGAATGCGATATTTCTATAATTTGACCTATTCGAATGAATTATTGTTCGTTGTAAAAACTAGCGATCTTATGGCTGCAAGATTGCATGTGTAATTGTCTTCGCTGAAGGGTATAGAAATCCGTTTCATACATACTCTCGTAATTAAAAATTGCGCGAAATCATAACGTTAAACTTCCGGCGGAAAAATTCGTCGAAGCTCACTTGAAACTCTTGTATTTCTATTTTATTTTGAGAAAATTCGTCGAAGCAAAATTATTTTCTCCAATGGGGGAAATTGTCAGTAATATTAGCGCGGGAAAATGGCTAGAGGGAAATGTCGGGTTTTCAGTTAATGAGCCTTATCACGATGGAATACAGCATGGATTTTCTTCTAAAGATCCTTGCATACAACATCCCATGGATGGGCTTTACGATAAAGTATAACATCCTCTGCTTCAACATAAAGGATGTAAGTGTACGAAATTCCTCTTTTGGTTTTTCCGAAGAAAAAGGGATTGACAGACGATAATTATATATGTCGATGAACACAGATGCGACGCCTTCTGGAACTAGCACAAAACGACTGGAAACAAATGAGCGACGCGCAGGATATCGAAATAATAAAGAAATATTGGGCCATCGGAAGATTAATCACGTCGGTTTCCGCGAGTAAGCGCGGTATTTCTTTTTGCGCGTGTTCGTTTGTTCGCTCGCTGACGCCTCGGTGACGATTCATTCGGTCATTTGATTACAGTTTTCATCTACGTGAGCACAGTTTGCTTTGTTCTAGTCCAATTGTCGTTAAATTTCGTGGGCACCACAACGATTATAAACGGAACTCGTTTACGATGCCTTCCAGCCGTGGCCGAATATTTTGTAGATCAGCAGAAATATTTTTACCCGATTCTGCTGCACATGGTCCTTGTTGTTCTGTTCGGAGTAACTACAATGGTAGCCACCGAAACGCTTTACATGTCATATACACAACACGCGTGCGGAATGTTTCATATCGTCAGGTAAAACGGAGCTCAACGGTACTTCAACTTGTTAACTGTGATCACAACGAGTTAGGGGACTCGAATTTACTTACGAAATAATGAGAATTTTGCAATGTCCTCACTTTTTTATATTTATTAGGTGTACAAATGAATAATCCAAAATTTTTAGCTAAATTTAAGTTTTGTTTTAAAAGAAAGTAAAACAAATTTGTTAATCAAAGTATTCGCCGTTGTTTTCTAGAACTTTAAGCCACATTTCAGGCAGCTGATGAATTTCATGTCGGAAAAATGTTGTGTCACTTGTGTGCTTTGGGACACGATAAAGTCGTCAAGCCGTTCTCGAATCTCATCCACTGATTTGAAGTGCGTATCGGACAAAGCATGTTGCATCGACCAAAACAAGTGGTAATCGATAAGAGCGATGTCTGGTGAATACGTCAGATACTGCATGAGCTTCCCTACCAAGACTCATTATGATGTCTTTTGTCGTAGAAACAATATGTGGCCTAATGTTATCATGCAACAATTTCACAGTTCTCTTTTGCCACTATACGGGCGTTTTCGTTCTAATTCTTGATTCAAACAGATTGGTATTGATAGCGGTCCGTAGTGTAATTGTTTCATTTTAATAGTTCATAATAAATCACGCCTTTCATATCCCACCAAATGCAGAGCAGAATCTTTTTTCCGAAGTGTTTTGACTTTGCGACCGATGTTGGTGGTTCGCTGGGATTTACCCGTGATTTTCTGCGTTTCAGATTGTCATAGAGTATCCTATTTCTTATCGTCCGTAATAATTTTCCACAAGAAAGACTTTCTACGCTACTTATTGAGAAGAAAAAGACGCACTGCCACTCGTTGATTTTTGTTGGCTTCAGTGAGTTCCCATGTGGAACCCATTTTCCTTCTTTCCGAATCTTCCTCATCTCGTGTAGGTGTTTGGAAATAGTTTGTTGCGTTACTCCTAACTGTTCTGCAAGTTCTTTTTGCGTTTGTGCTGAATTCTTAGCGAGCAGTTGCTTCAAATCATTGTTGCCATACTTCCGAGAGCCTCCAGGACGTTCTTTGTCACTCAGACTGAAATCGCCGCTTTCAAACCGTCTAAACCAAAATGCACACACATCGTACAACACCTTCGCCGAGAAAAGAACAAATTAATTCGCATGCTCTTGCAACATTTTTCCCTTGTTGGAATTCGTAAAGAAGAAAAGTATCGGACGGATATGCACCTTATCTGTTGCCATTTTTCACTATACTGAACTGAATAATTTTTGAGGTTATGTTGAGCCTTGTGCCATATTAAATGTAATTTTTAATAGCTATATGTCAACATAACCGTAAAAAAGCGGGAAATTTGATTATTTGAAACTTAATTTCTTAGTCGCTTAAAAAAGTTTGGATTATTCATTTGTACATCTAATATCATGTATTATATCTGTTAATTATACATTATACTTATTTACTCCGTCTCCTATCTAGATCTATCTCCAGTTCAAGTTTAAATTCGTTAAATTCGAGTTTCTGATTAAAAAACGACCCGATTAATAGGTCGATTAGCGTTGTTTAAATAATGTGCACGGTGTCCGAAACTTGCTAGTCGCGTTATACTCTTTCAGCACTCGCATAGAACAGGTGCTACGCGGAGGTGCAACGCGAGATGCAGTATCCGTTGCCGAGAGGAATTTGATGATGTGTCATGGAATAATTGATGCTGTCAATATACACAAAAAAGCAATCGAGTTCGTAATTATTGTTAATTTGACCGAAAAAAGAATCTCCTTCGCGGCTCATAGTTGCGATTTTCTCTCGTTACTTACTACTGAGATATGTGATTCCGCCCGTAAAAGAAATCGCGCGAATTTTTGACACGCGTAATAACCAACGATGATAGGCAACACGTATTCATGCGACGTGTATTGTTATTCAAGATTTATAGAAATGGCTAAGACGAATTTTGCGTTTGCGTATATGATGGCATTGCCGCTGGGTGTGCTGTCACTGAGCATTAATCTGTATCGCGTGAGTAATTACTGATATATTTACTGACGCCGATAAGATCGAATGATTAACATATCTCGAGTAAATGTTGCTCGACGCAACATCTGCGTACATCGTTTGCACGCAACCGTAAACATATTCCTCGTGAAATGCAAACTGATCGCCGTGTGCCGCAGCTCTCTCGGCTGATAATGACCGACAATTACCACGAGACGATCATCAGCAGCGTGTTCATCTCAGGTCACTTTTGGTACATATTCTTCTGCAACTATATAGGACAGGAAGTGATCGATCACAGCGGCGATATTTTCTACAAAATGTGAGTAACGCGTATGTTCGAAATCTCGGAAATATCCAGTCGCGTGATTGACGGTCACGGTCATTTTTTTAGCTATAACGCACGATGGTATGCGTCTTCGTTGAAAGCGCAAAAGTTATTGTTGCTCGTGATGCAAAGAAGTATGCGACATTGCACGATCATTATGGGCGGCTTGTTCGTACCATCGTTAGAAGGATTCGCCACGGTAAACATCGAATGAAATTAAAGAGAAAATATTGCAGCGGTCTACTTTTGATCAAATTTTGTCTTAGATCCATCAAAAACTTTCTGTTTTAGCTCACAAACATGTCGGTTTCATACTTCATGGTTATACATTCCGTCAGTTGATCACGTTCGCAAAATAAAACTTGCCACTCCAGTCCAGAACATATAGTATTTCACGATGCAAATAATTTTTGTCACAAGTGTAACACTACGAGTACGAGAAATACAACTAATCCAGAAAGCTGTATCAATTGCTATGCATAAAATAAGTGCAAATATTACACAATTGTGTTACCTGTGTGTCATTTCTCAATTTTTCATTCAAACCTTCTGCGTAAAATGCGACACTGATTATTGTCCTGTTATCAGTTACATTGTAGTAATACGCAGTGAGTTCTTTTGTAACGATAGTTTCGGAAACAATGCGACAACGCGACTCTTCTCCGCGCGCGGCAACGAAGAAATGCAAATGAACAACTACAGGAGTGAGAAACGAATGCGAAGGCGCCTGCGTCGGAATAGAACGAAGACAATCGCGTGTATACCAATGCCACCGGCGATGATACATTATTTATATATAATTTGGTCAATTCGCCGTTGCTTGTTTCCATTATCGTATAATGCATAATAATGAAATTGTCTTTTTGGCAAACTCGCAGAACAACAACCGCGTTATTCTCCCCGCGAACATCGTTTTTCGCACTATTCACAACTTCTCTAGCATTTCTCGGAAAGAAAATATAACGCGTAAAATAAAATAAAAAGCGTTAGAGAGAAGACTCATCATAGTAGAGAAGCCTCGTCGTGCGAGCTATCGATGGAATAGTATTCCGAGTATCGCGCGGACATGGACTTTACTGTAAATTACAAAGCGGGTCAAATACTGTTATCGTCGCTCGGTCTATGGCCATATCAAAAACGACGCACGAAATACATCCGCTGCACTTTACTGACCCCCTTTCTCTTATCTTCCGCGATTTTTCAGGTTCGTCGTTTACAATCAATCGAGCAAGCATTAGTTTAAAACTACTGCAGTGCCTATTTAGAAATGGTTCCTTCCATTTTTTTACATGAATATGTTGCATAGTTGAAAATTTATATTTTAAACTTGTTATACATTATTAAATATTATTGATGTATATATAGGGTGTCTTAAAAATACCGAATCCCTCGGATAACTTTACAGGATCAAGTTTCATGAAAAACTTTAAATACAAAAGTTGTAGAAAATTGAATAACGGACTTGATGGTGATCTTGAATTTGACCTTGGCCATGACCTTCAAGGTCATTTGGAGGTCAACTTGCGTTTTTTGAATGGGAACCCTTATTTTTTATTACATTGTTTTTTTTTACCAATTAATTTGAACAACTGTTGTCTAAAACATTTTTTTATTTGCTTAATATTTTTTGAGATGTTTGAGGAAAACTTGATAACTTTTTCAATATTTAACTTACGATATCTCGCTAACTATTTGTCGGAAGAAAAAGTGGTACTAAACTTTCTTGCTTTATTTAGTCTCAAGAAGATATTGTTACAATAGTGCCCTGATTTTTGTTAATTTGATGATTTTGAAATCTCCAAAAGTCAGTAAGTTAACAAAAGTCAGGGCGCTATTGTAACAATATATTCTTGAGACTAAATAAAGCAAGAAAGTCTAGTACTACTTTTTCTTCCGACAAATAGTTAGCGAGATATTGTAAGTTAAATATTTAAAAAGTTATCAAGTTTTCCTCAAATATCTCAAAAAATATTAGGCAAATAAAAAAAATGTTTTAGACAAAAGTTGTTCAAATTAATTGGTAGAAGAAAACAATATAATAAAAAATAAGGATTCCTATTTAAGAAACGCAAGTTGACCTCCAAATGACCTTGAAGGTCATGGCCAAGGTCAAATTCAAGGTCACCCTCAAGTTCGTTATTCGATTTTCTACAACTTTTATATTTAAAGTTTTTTATGAAAACTTGATCCTGCAAAGTTACCCGGGGGTTCCCATATTTTTAAGACACCCTGTATCTTCTCGCCCTTCTACTCCTATATTAGTTGTTACTAGTCTTATTTAGAATATGTAGTACAAATTTTTAATTTCACATATTCGTATATCATACCATATCACTTTTTACAATAGTCGAAATTTCAGGACATAGTATTTATATTAGATTTACGGACCATCAGATATTGAACTAATACATGTATGGTTCGAAGAGATATTTATCGTCGGTAAAAAATATATGTTTAATTTCAGATGTCACCGCTTGTTGTTAACGAATTTAGCGTGGATATTCTTTTAAACGTTTTCTCAGTCTGCGTTCCTACTATATTTCATATATGCAAATATTATAATATGATTCTTAATGGCTATAAAGTAAGTTGTGAATTTTATGAGACGACAAACTAGATCGAGTTTACGACGATAAACTATATCTCAAGAGATTCGATCGTTTTTATTCGGATTTAACCAAATATATGGCTCGCTGATATACCATTTTAGGTGAAAATACTTATAAAGAGAATTAAAGATGACTGGAAATCTTTGAAGGATGAAGAAGAATTTCGAATTATACAAGAACGCGCTAAAGTCGGGAAAACCATTACAATCATCGCGATAAGTGAGTAATAGAATTAAGTTGTGAGATATTAAAAGTTATAACTCAAAAACCCGAAGTAAAATTAAGGAGAACGTTGAATTATATATATGTTGCAGCGTTTATATACGTATGTCTATTTATATTTCTATTGGCATATTTATCACCCACTATTCTCGACGCCATAATGCCGTTAAATGGATCGCGCAAGCCGATATTCAATATTCCATTCGCAATGGAAAAATATATTCATTGGGAGAAGTTTGTTTATGTGCTACAATTATACACATCGTTGATGGTCTTTTTCACCATTTCCTCAATATTAGCTACAGAAGTGCTAGCCTTAGCGTGTATGCAACACACATGTGCAATGTTTATGATCACCAGGTAACGAATCTTCAAACAATAATAATAAAAAAATAGTAAATATAGAAATAGGATAGTAATAGTAGAAATAATGAAAATTATTTTTGATTCGATATGCAACATGCTGTTGCATGCTTCCAGTTATCGAATCAAACGTGCTGTGAACAAAAATCAAACAAAATTATCGTTAAGTCTTGCCAAAAACCCTAATGACTATAAAAGTATCACAGAGGCCATCGATTGTCACCAAAGAGCTATCGAGTTCGGTATCATATTTTATATACTTTATATATATACACATATATATATATATACCATATATATATATATATATATATATATATATATATATACACAAAATGAGGAAAGAGTCCCGGACCGGTAAAATATCTCGAAAACTAAGCGTTTTAGAAAAAAATGTTTCGAACAAAAGTTGTATGATTTTAAGGGAGACATAAAACAACTATATCATTTTATTTACAAATGGTACCATTTTCGAGATATTCACTGATTATTACTTTTCTTAAATGGAAATCCCAATTTTTACTACACCATCTTTTTCTACCAATTAATTTAAACAACTTTTGTCTGAAATATTTTTTTATTTGCCTAATAGTTTTTGAGATATTTAAGGAAAACTTAACAACTTTTTCAATATTTAATTTGCGATATCTCGCTAACTATTTGTCGAAAGAAAAAGTGGTATTAAACTTTTTTGCTCTATTTAGTCTCAAAAATATATTGTTACAATAGCACCCTGACTTTTGTTAATTTGATGATTTTGAAATTTCCAGAAGCCTGTAAGTTATTGAAAGTCAGGGCGCTGTTGTAACAACATATTCTTGAGATTAAATAGAGCAAAAAAGTCTAGTATCACTTTTTCTTTTGACAAATAATTAGCAAGATATCGCGAGTTAAATATTGAAAAAGTTATCAAGTTTTCCTCAAATATCTCAAAAAATATTAAAGAAATAAAAAAATGTTTTAGACAAAAGTTGTTCAAATTAGCTAGTAGAAAAAGATGGTGTAATAAAAAATTAGGGTTTCCATTTAAGAAAAGTAATGATCAGTGAATATTTCGAAAATAGTGCATTTATAAACAAAATGATATAGTTGTTTTATGTCTCCCTTGAAATAATACAACTTTTGTTCGGAATATTTTTTTCTAAAACGCTTTTCGAGATATTTTACCAATCCTTGATTTTTTCCTCATCCTATATATATATACATATATATACATATATATAGGAATTAATAATTTATAAAAAAATAATGCAATAAGCGAAAATAACACAATATTCCAGAATGATATACTATCTTGTTACTGTTCAAGATTCAACAATTTCTTCAGATCTATATCCGGAATAATCTATTTGATTTTAATTCCTCTGATCATTATATCGTTAAGCATTAATACATATTACGTAAGTTTCTAGATGTTAACAATCGAGTCGTTGACAACATATAACCTATTTTTTAACATTACGTGTTTCGTAGTTTTGCCGATACGTTTTGTCGAGTAATATCAGCGATGGAATCTTTTGCTTTTTTATCCTTTTGGCGTACGTCCTCTATATGTTCTTCAACAACTTCATCGGTCAGCAAATAATAGACTACAGCCAATTCGTGTTTGAGACAATGTAAATGTAGCTTAAAAACACGTATTTATCTCCAAGATCAATAATTACGAATGATCTATTAATTACCATGAACTAATCTACGACTTTGTAGATGCAACACCCGATGGTACGCGACTTCTATATATACACAAAAATGTCTTCTGCTGATGATGGAGAGAAGTATGAAGGGTTCTAATTTGATAGTCGGTGGTCTCTTCGTGCCATCTTTCGAAGGTTTTGCTACGGTAAAACAAGAAAGTATTATCCATGGAGGATATGTAACAAAATCCTTTTCTATTTTGTTTAGAAGAGACACGTGTAATGTTTCAGCTCATCAGCACGTCGCTGTCATATTTTATGGTGATTTATTCCACACAACAGTTATAATAGTGGAGTCGAGAGACATGTGATAACGATGAATACAATCAACGAGTACTCTCGTATTTTTACAAGAAGAGGCATGCTATGTTAAATAGCAAGAAACTAACGTGTCTAAAATTTTAGAAACACTTATCTAATTTTAAGTATTTTAAGTATATTCACTTAAGCCTAAATGTCATACGCGCTAATCTATTTCTAAATCCAAATAATCCAAATAATCCAAATAAATAGCTTAAATTTAAACATTCCGTATGATTCTACTCGTTTCGTTCGTTAGATCCTATCATGTAAGATAATCGATGGTTCTCATAATTTATTGCAAAAATTGGTTGTTCAAAAGTACGCGTGAAAATGAACGTGCAATTCACATTTCAATAGGCAGCAAACACCACCGATTCCATCGCTTAACAGATTGCACAGGTTTAAAGATGTATTTCGAGAGCACGCAACGCGCGATCGGTTGTTCTGATCGTTTTGAACCACGAAGAAGAAGCGCTCCATTATAAATTGTGATTTCAGTCCCGACAAGCGCGGATACTTGAACAGGCTCCTTCGACATCCACCACTACCACGCAGTACCTGTTATCTAAACTACGAGCGTAATGTCTCTATTCCACGAGGAGCTCCCTAGCTAGAGGCACTACCGGCATCGCCGGCAAGTACGAAGAACGCATGCGACTCGTTGCGCACAAATCTCCTCGGGTACGCCGAGGCAGGAATTAGCGCATTCTCCAGCGTGTTTCACAGCTGTCTGCCGGTGTGACTAGTTTGTATAATAGCACGTTCGATTTACGCCATCCTGACCGGTCTGATTTTAATTGAGCTCAAGTTTTACGTGCTTCTATCCTACTGCGAAACGTATTCGCATTCCGATAAATATTCCCGACTAGAACTTCGCAAAGTATGAAATACGAAGAGGGAAGTCAAGAATGCTTATTTCTGTTACGAGTAAAACTTTTAAATATATTTCTAATTGAAGACGAGGAAAATAAGGATTAAAGTGTTGATAGCACTGATTTACAGATAACTAGATCCTAGATAATTAGATACTAGACGCAAAAATACGAAAACTGTCAAGTATAGTGTCGAGAATAGCGTTCGATAAGAAATATCTCAAAGATGAAAAGAAATTTTATATCTTACACGATCTCTGAGAATATCTTCGGGTTTAAGAAAAGATATTTGAAGATACATATTTTTATCTATTATTATATTTCCTGTCTTAGAGCATTCTTTTTTGCGTCATTAAGAAACCTAGTTTAGATGATGTTTCCATCGAGAACAAGACGAATAAGATGCAGAAGCTGGAGCAGCTGGAGAAAGAGAGAGGAGGGTGGGGAGAGGGAGGAGAGAGAGGGGAAGAAAAAGCGAAAGAGGCCTCTTTCTTTCGACCTCCGTAGCTCTCCAGGCCGAAAGATCTACGATCTCTTAGTGCATTCTCTGCCAGTCTCGTTAAATACGTTCTCTTCCAGCCAAAACCTTCGTCTTATCCCCTACGTAACGGATGTGCGGTAGCCCCGTGAGGGATAGACTGTCGAGCAAGGAACGTGCGTAATGCGTCAAGATTCTCTCGATGTTCCTAGTGTTCGACAAGAATGTCGAGTATCAACGCGCAAACCATGAAACGCTGTAAAACATCAGATATTCACAATTATGTAATCACGAGATAGTCGCAAATTCGTTATCTCGAAAGTCATCCCTTCAACGTCAACGTGTAACAGCGGCGATGCAACAATACGCAGCATTATCGAGAGCGCAATACTTTTTCTCCCTCTGCCTCCTCACGACAGTTTGGTGAGATAAACGAACCTCTAGCTGGGAAAATTCCATCGTTACTTCCTTTGTTATTTTGCATCGGCTAGCCTAGGAAGGCGAACTATCGCACGCGCGCGGGGTTTCCGGCGAAACTGGGGCGTGTATAAACGCTTGTCGAAACTTGTTACTTGCGCGAGAGCTTTCGTGACTATCTGCCGAGTAGTACAGGCTTGTACAAGTTGCCTTTACAAGTGGCACAAAAGCACGCGAGAGTCTCTCTGCCGCGTTCGAGTTTATAACGTGTCTCGCGTAATGCAGCCGCATAACCACGCCGATAATTGCATCCGCGAATTTCGTTTTCCTCTCGCGAGGCTGCTCCGTGAAGGAAATCCATAAAGGGCCGTGATTGTAACTTGAGTGATGCAGTAACGTTGGTGTTAATATCGCGTTGGTATCCGCTGATGAGAAGCAAAACGAAGATACGACGGTAAACAAGCTCGATCTGTCGCAGCCGATTTCAGTATGATATCCGAGGAACACGCCGTGTCAATTCGACCTACAGACGCTCGCGATGAACGACAATTTAATTAACGAGCGTAAAGATCTCGGGGGAAGGATTAACGGGAAAAACTGAGCGGATAGAAGCGCGAGATGAAAACAATGAGCGCAATACGAATTATCGTACTGTAGAAACGCCTTCCAATCTCCTTTTCATCCGCATGCGTTACCTTCTCCCGCAGTGTAATTTCATCCCTCTAAAGTCGTGCAACTTCAGCGAGCGATGCGGTCACGAGGCCGAACAGTGACCTGTACTTAAGGTCGTGTTACATTTACGAGAGAGGCCTTAAGTTACCGAACTTGTGTGGCTCGTTTCGCTGCGCGCAACACGTAACGGATAGAATGGAGTTGCGGCGAAATTGCAACTGGCTTTATTGCCTTCGCCCTTATTTTCACTCTTCGCCTTAATTGCGCCTCCGATTTCGCCTCGAAAAAAAAAGAGGAAAACATCGAACTGTTTTTATACTTGCGAAATCAACTACGGACGTTGTTGCGTTAATTCGCAACGCGAAGGCGAGCGATTATATGCGCAAATATGCACGTCCAACGAACGCGGAGCGAAGATCCTACGATGAGTTTTCGCGTTTTCGCGCCGTTTGATTGAAAGCGCACTGAGTGTCTCTCTCGTTCTCGTGTGAATCGATACGATATTGGGAAGTTACTGTGTGCATCGCGATTTCATGGTGTGCCGAAAGCGACGTTGACTTCCCGGCACGGGCAAGATGAACGAGCGGTAATTTACGAAGCCACGATTAGGTTTCGCGCCGGAATGCCCATTGCCTGCGGCCCATTGGCCATTGTACGCAAAAGAGATACGCGAACCGATAGGAGATCTTATACGGGACTGACAACGTGTCTACGAAGTGGTGAGGACGGAGGGTGAGATTAGGAGAGATCGAGGGTGTCCGACGTGCCGCTGAGTTAGTGGAAAATAGCGTGACGCCTAGTCGGCGTCTTGTCCGGCTTTATTTCAACCGACGACTCCACTCCCGGAATCAATGAGATAGGAATCAAATCGGAGAACCGTGAAATCACAACTCTGGTGACACGCAAAACTCGCTACTTTGTAAATCTACATTATTCTCTCCCTCTCCCCTCTCCGCCAACGATTTCCTACACTCCGATACAACAAACAATATTTTCGCTGGATCATGCCAAGATTATGGCGCTTTATAAGTTTTCGAGCGAATATGAAATGATTATTGTTTTCCTTCTGTTCACTAAATCCTTGAAATCTTGGTCTCTTCTTAAATCTTAATACTTTGACAGCTGGACTCACATATACGGGAGTTCACTGAGCCAGCAGCTACCGGCCAACTTCACATATACATGAGTTGATTTAGTTTAAAAATTTTTTAAATTTATTCGTAAACTTAAAGAAAATATTCTTAAAAATGTGTGAAAGTGACTTCTTACAGAAAAGCATTCAAATATTGAGTGTCTACACTCAGTTGTTCGAATTTACTTTCAAATGTGAATGTATACACTCAAATTTGACAATGGAGTGAGATTATAGTCAGAAGGATGAGAAATCTACTATTGAAATAATTACGCCTTTTTATTTACTAAATACTAATTATTATTATTAGTTTGAATTTGCAACAACATGTCAACAGCACGCCTTCAATTTGTAACAAAGCTTACAAAAGGTGCCGGCGGCAGCCAGTAGTTTTCGACATTGTACGCCGGCGGCAAGGGAAAACTTTTTTGTGAAACGTGCGGCCGTCAAAGTGTTAAGTTTCCCTAGTTTCTCTTTTTGCCTTGAATATAAGATGTAATAAAATGTGCAGTGACCATATCACGATGATGGATATACAAGATGTATCCAACTTGGAATTTTGATCAGATATGCTTGATATTGGAAAAGATGATAGGATGAATGAAAAATAATCCTAATTAAGTCAGACCTTGTAATGTCCTGATGATAATTGAGTAAGGGAAATCTTTGTAAGATTATAATGATTGGATATACAAAGTGTTCGATAATTAGCTGCCAACTTAAAGTGTGAAGATAAATTGGGTTAAGACAAATATAAAAGTCCCATATCGTTTTGCGAGATTTGCAATAATTATCGAGTTATTAATGACAGAAATCTGAGGAGTGGACACGCACCGACATAGATGACTGGAGAAGTATTGCAGCTGCTCAGGCCACAGCACGGCATATGGGACTTTTATATTTGTCTTAACCCAATCTACCTTCACACTTCGGGTTGGCAGTTAATTACCAGACACCATGTATATTAGAATCCATATTAGGATCTTAATGTTAGAACCTAGTTTAGTTGACCGGATCCTTGTAGGAATTCTTATCCATTATAACTAATGTGACTTGCACTATCAGATTTTAACGAATTATAGTTGATTATTCTCTTCCCTTGATAGCTCATAAAAATAGCCGTAAAATTAACGTGACATTGGATTTCCTTAAATTTAAATTCCTTAAATTTAATTTCCTTAAATTTCCTTAAATTTATTTTAAACTATTTTGCTGTTTGGAGATTAACTATTAGGTCAATCAGAAAGTTCCGCCCGTTTTCTTGCAAAACGTATGGCTTTATTTAAGAAACAAAATGAAAAAGTACATCAATCAAAGTATTGTCCATCGTTAGCGATGACTTTTTCCCATCTTTCGGTCAGCAAGCGAATTCCGCGGCAAAAGAATGACTCATCTTTGGAGGCTATCCAGTCAGAGACCCATTTTTCGACGTTTTCATAAGAATTGAAGCATTCCTCAGCAAGTGCGTATGCCATCGACCGAAACAAGTGGTAGTCAGAAGGGGCACAGTCTGGTGAATAAGCCGCATGAGGTAACACTTCCCACCGAAATGCTTCTAACGTTTCCTTGACAGATTTTGTGACGTGAGGCTGAGCATTGTCATGAAGCAATATCACTTTATGCTGTCTCGTTTCATATTCTCGTCGTTTTTCATGCAATGCTCGGCTCAAACA